CCCTGAAAACCGATTTTCTAAACGGAAAAACCCCAATGAAACAAACTACTTTTCAGAAATTAATTCTTTCTTCTTTTATTTTTATTTTTATTTTTCTTCTTTATTTTAGCGATCAACGCCCCAGTGAATGCGTTAATTTTAACCGCATAAAATAAAGAATTGTTCCTTTTTTTATTTTTCTATAATATATTTCACGATGCAAGTTCTTTTTCGTAAATATTACCATTCGAGAGTGAAGAATCTTTTTTTTCGTTTCAAATGTGTGTTCAGGCTTCAATAATTTTAATAATTAATGCGTTAATTTTTTAATGTGTTAATTTTAACCGCATAAAACAAAGAATTGTTCGTTTTTTTATATTTTTTTATAATATATTTCACGATGCAAGTTCTTTTTTGTTAATATTACCATTCGAGGATGAAGAATCTTTTTTTTCGTTTCAAATGTGTGTTCAAGCTTCGATAATTACCGATTACGAGTATTTCGATTTGAAAAAAATTTACAGATATTAAATATATATAGAAGAGAACAATTCTGGGTTTGTGCTCGCCAAACGCTCGACGCCATTGCTACTTCTCCTGTACATATATTCGAGGAAGGAAGCCACGGACGAGACGATGTGCTCGTGTGCCACGTGCCCATAACACGCTTCTGCAATTAGGCTTAGGAATCGCCATTGTATCGGAAACTGCCCCCCCTCCTGCCCCTCGAACAGAATCCCGACAATGGGAATGCGAGCAATTTGCCCGAGAGAACCGACTCAATTGCAACTCGATCAGGAAATTGGACAAACTATAACCGTGGGCTTCGAGTCTGCATGGAATTCTGTTAGGGGACTGGGCCAAAATAAGACTAAGACACTTTGACAATAAAGATACATTAAATCCTCTTCATCGAGCAAATATTAAAACAAATTTAAATTGTAGCTCGATAGTTTCTCTGTACATATACGTAAAACACTAGATTTATTGATACCTTACATGTTGACGATTACCTTAACCCTTTGCACTTCGAATTATATTCCAATTTTGTTACCAGCGGCTCCCAATGCTTTTAAATGTTTTATTTGAAATTTACCTGTTAAAATAAGTGTTTTATTTACACTGTTATTGTAATCACACTCGACATAGGTGTGCAAAGGGTTAAAATACGATTTTTCTGTTAATTAGAATATGCATTCGTGCCATTGCATCGAACAAATTCAACATAAATTGTTAGAAAATAATATTTACGCGTTCTGCAATTTTAAATATGGAATCTGGTAAATCTAGTAATAAACCCAACCCATCGCGTTCAAAAATATTTTTAAAAAGACACGTGAACAAAGAATTAATTACCTAAATGAAACTCCCTGAGAGTTAAGTCCAAAAAGACTTTATCTAAATGTTAGTCTTGGAATAGAATTGAAAAATTGATATTCGAAAATGTTCAGGAAATAGTTTCATTTAAAATTAGTATTTAGAAATGTTCAATAAATATTTGGATTTTTATAAAAGCACGGCTTTCTTAATTACACATTTCTGAGACCTGTAATTACTGGACTGCGGATCTCCATGCAAATTCATATTTTTATTAATAGAATTGATGAAATGGGAACTTTGCAGAGGGTTGTTTCAACCCTTAAATATAATAATTTTTTTTTTGAGAGAATTAAAATTTTCTATGAACGCAAAAACATCCGCAGTCTAATAATTACGTTTAAATTATAATATGATATTTAAAATCACTGAGAATCAGAGGTAAAAATATGGAGTATGAAGAAAGTTCAAGAGAAATAACGATAAATGTAAAATGTAAAAATTTGGGGCAGAGTGATTATTTTCTAACGAAGGAAGGCTCGATTTTAATCGTCCTGATAAGTATGCGTGCTATTATCATGATCTGTGGAAAGAAGAGCGATATCTTTCCAGCGGGCACTCATCCGTTGATTCCGTTATGGTAGGGGATGCAATTTCTTACTTCGAAACAGTCGACCTAGTAATTATAGAAGGGAAACGAGATCCAAGAAAGTATTTAAATATTCTCGAGAATGTAATAGAAAAAATTGAACGCGTTATGGAAAAGAAAGTTACATTTTTCATCACGATAATGCTGTAATACATTCAGCGCCTGTATTAAATGGCTTTATTAAAGAAAATAATTAAGTTTCTACCTTTCCCACGTTTCCTCGGATATATATTAATATTACGAACAAAATTTACAGATATGGCTTTCTAGACGAATCACCAAACACTTGTTACGCTTATCGATTTATTATTTATTTCATCCCCCCCCAAAAGTTTACTCGATATCGACTTCTGAGCGGTGGATAAATATTGATAAATATCGATAATTAATCAAGTATAATAATTGTCGGTAATTAACTTCCAAGATAAGCATCGTACGTATTTAATTTTGGAATAATAATAATGTATGAACGAAATAGCAATGGAGGTCGTAGTCGTCAGAAGTTATTAATCGCCGTTTCGTTGGCATAGTCAGATATAATCTTGACCCGTATTCGCGGCGGAATTTCATTTAATCGGTCCCCCCAGACACCGAAAGATCTCGGACGAGGGAATTTTCTCCCGAACGACGAGCAAAACACGAACGTTGTTTGAATGCTCGGAGAAAGTAAGGGGAATGCCGTCTCGCAAGGAATTTCGCGCTGGAAAACGTGAATCTCGTAATGACTCGTACTCCTTATAAGCGGCTGCCAACAAACTGTGTCCAGTTGTTCCTCGCGGCTCTGTCATGCTCTGCTTCTTGTTGCTTCAGGGACGAAGATCGGAACAGATTGCCCACGGCACCCGTTTCACCAACCTTCTTCTTTTCCTTCCGTTGAAAAGTTGCCCGTTTCTGACCGTAGACATTCCACCACGGGAAGTTCGTTGAACCCTCCGTCGACGCGTCTAGTCCTTCTCCCGACGCAATGTCGTTTTCGATGCCAAAACTTTTGCATACGAATCTCGACAGCCAACTTTCAGACGGTATTTACACACCACTAATTCTTAATAGATACTCGAGAGGAAACGTACAATGCAATGGAAACAAATGTTCAACTCGTTCTCTTACGAAAAAGAGCGGTAAATTTTCAAAAATCCGATCGAGCAAATTTTTTACAATTTTTATTAGAAACTACGAATCGGTTGTTTGAGCCGTTTATTTTGAAATTGCAATGGAAGTTGACTGCCAGACCAAATCCCTCAAAGGATACTCTTTTTTGGATAATTGGAAACTATCATATCCACAATTTGTCATGGAACCTATTTTTACAGCCTCGTTAAAATTAAAGCGTCCCATCAAGATTTATTTCCTTTACCACGTAATCTTGAGAAATAATCTTTTTAGCTGATCGATGAAAATTCATGTCACCCATATATGGGGTGACGTGGCAGTCGATGTGTTAAGAATGTTAAGAAAAAGGACAAGTTTATTTCTCAGGCACTGGATACATGTACTTTCATTGCCCGCTGAGAATGTTCGAGTTACAAATGTTCGTTTTTGTCTCGAATGTTTCGTTGCATTACATCTTTTCATGTCCAACGGAACGTTTGTGCACAGCCATACTTTTTGCTCTTATATAAATTCATATTTTGTTCGTTTTGTGTCTAAGTTTGTTATTTTTAATCCAGTAAAACTTAACCGACAGAAATATGATCGAGAGCATATACTTTCGAAAAAAAAAATCGATTTTCTGACGGTTCTGGGCTGAAGCATCCCCCTTAGGATAATCGATAATTTCGTATGGATCTGTTCCATCGCGGCTGTGTAATTATTCGCTTCGATTGCGCTATTCGTGACATGGAAATCTTCTCCGCGTTCCAGCAATGGATCGGCCAAATTAATGGAACATAACTAAGCACGCTGCTCGAACGACGACTCCGACGAGCATCGTTTTCTCTTAATTTTCTCTCGAGCGAGAATCGTACATCGGATGGATCCAATCGGGGAATAAGTTCATAGCGTTTATTATATAGGTTTATCCAAATTGAGTGTCACATCTTTCAACAGATGGATTTTTCTTTGTTATATTTCACACACGCCATCACTAAGCGTAAACAAATCATGATGGAACGCTACACACTGTGCAACAACCTGTACAAATTGTTGAAAATTATTAGAAACGTTCAATTTCTGTTTGTTTTCGTCCACTTCGCGAAATTCTTGGTCCGAATAAGCAACCTTCTGACAAAACAATTCGTCGAATTGTGAATAAATTCAAAGAGACTGCTCAGTTTGTAATGCAACACGTGCATACGTATCAACGTGGAGCTAAAAAACAATATTATAGCCGCCATTAATGAAATAGAACCCCAATTATGTAATAGCGTAATAGACAATTGGGCAAAATGAGTCGAGCTCGTGAAAAAAAGCCTAGTCGGTCATTCGAATGATATTGTGCTCCACGATTAATGTTTCGAAGTGGACTTTATATTAAAATAAAGAAACCTGAAATATATCAAACAGTTTGTGTTTTATTTCAATTTAAAGATGCGACGCTCAATTTGGATAACCCTGTATTTTCTTTTGTTTTGTGACGATTTTTTGCCGTTTGACAAAGTGTGTAATATTCATTCGATGGAGCTCTTTCTGCTCTACAAAACTGTGCTGATCGTCTTTTTGAGTAAGTTAATCTTTTATTACTTTTCACGCTTAGAAATGGAATATCGAGGAGGTAAAAAGCAACATTTTCGACGCCTGGCTCTTCTTCGCTTTTTTCTGAAGCTTTTTTCTTCGAAGCAGCCCGAGAAGGTGTCATAGGCGAGTCTACAGCACGGAAATGGTTTGCAAAGTTCAAAAATGGCGATTTTGAGCGAAAGACCTTCCGAATTCGACGAAGAGCGTCTCAAAGCACTTTTGAAGGAGGAAAAATGAAATGCGATCATAAAACGATACTCGATCGTCTTCGTTTAACGAGATTTGTCGAAAAATTGGGAGCCTGTATCTTTTCTTTGGTAAAAACGCTACGAACTTGTTCCCCGACCCAATATTTTTTAATATCATGAAACTCTTTACTCACTTGGATCTCGTACTTCGTGGTAGAGAAGGGTCAGCAATTTCGAAGGGCTCAAGTAATCCGTCAGTCCGTCAGAGGCAAGAACAAGGAAGTCTTCTGTGCCGTCCAAAGGAATGCATTTGATTTCCGGTTCGGCCGTTACGAACGGTTTGTATTGGATGTCGCCTGAAATTTGAACAATTATATTAAATTTAATGACCACGAGCTTGAACCTACGAACACATAATTCGAGCATAATTGTTTAAGAAAGTGACGAGTCTTGCAAATAATAATAATAATTGTTGAGACTGTTAGGTTTTTTTTTTTTATCCCATAAAGTTTATGTTAACTTTCTAATATTCCTCGATTCGATAATCCTAATTCTAATTCTAATTCTAATCCTCATGAGCTATGCATTTGCATCCAGTGATCTTGTTTCAAATTTTATTCGGAATTTTCCATCCCACAGTATAAAGTGTTATTTTATTCGATCGTAATTTTTTTCATTTAAACAGTCGTTAAAAGATTCTCTTCTCTCTCTCTCTCTCTCCAGCGAATTTTTCTGTACGTTTGATCATTAACTGTACCCGGTTTCATTCATAGTGGTGGTAAAGCGATGGAAAAAACCATACAAATTTATAATAACCGGAAGCGTCTATGTTACGGTAGTGCCATTATTTAAATTAGCCGCGCCATTCATTAAATAGATAATTAAAGTTAATTACAGTCTAGTTGAATACTGATGCTCCCCACGCTTCGCCATCGCGTGTTTTTCAGATGTAAAAAAAACCATCGCTTATGCGCAATGGATAACTGTAACAGTTATTTCGAATTCCATAAAATTAAGCATCACGGGGGGAAAGAAATTTTCTCTCATTGTCCTTTCTTTCTATTTCCCTCCGTCAAAAACATATTTTCTAAAAATAAGAAGAGAAATACATAATACAATCTTTAAAGATTCGTTAAAAAACTCTAGCATCTACGTACTATAGATATGGTATTTCATGTATTTTATAAAATTTTCCCCGATATAGCAATTTTTGAAGAAACTTTTATCATACAAATTAAAAAATATCTACTTCACAAAAATGGATATTATTTTAATAAAAATCTTACAGATTCTAACAAAATTTAAAATGCAGTTAATTCTTTCCTCTGATTTAATAATAAGTCATAGGTGCATAATGATCGAAAGACAAATTATAGTTTATAGTATTATAATATATGTATATTCTGCTTCATTAATTTTCACATTCATTTTTCAATCGAGATATATACAGTTGTTAATTATATTTTTTCTAGAACTTTCATATTCGTAATATTTTTAAATGCTTTGTATTAATCCACCGATAGGAAAATAATTCCTTTCTTCGTACCATTTTCCTCGCTTCTGTACGATATTAAACATAAATAACTATGATACGTGTATTTACGGTATAATTATGTAAATACACATCAAACAAGTGAACATTATTTGTGGTTTATCGTACAACATTACAGGAATGTTGAAAGCAGAATTTACGTAAATATCTAATAAACAACGTTTAATTGTTACGCGGTTTCGAAAAATGTTATCTGCGGCAAGGATCAAGATTTGTAAATAGTTTATCTTCCGAACAATACATAGAAAAAATTCAGTAAATGCAGAGATTTTTCGACAAAATTCAAAAATTTCAAATCCGTCTGGAAAAATTATTTTCAGTCGCGGGGGTCGATTACAATCATTTTTGATGAATAGACATACCCCCAAAATCCTACGCATTTTCGAGAAAAAAATTCAGTAAATCCAGAAATTTTTCGACAAAATTTAAAAATTTCAAATCGTTCTAAAAAAATTATTCTCGGTTGCAGGGGTCAATTAGAATCATTTTTGGTCAATAGACATACCCCTGAAATCCTACGCATTTTCGAGAAAAAAATTCAGTAAGTGCAGACATTTTTCGACAAAATTCAAAAATTTCAAATCGTTCTAAAAAAATTATTCTCGGTTGCAGGGGTCAATTAGAATCATTTTTGGTCAATAGACATACCCCCAAAATCCTACGCATTTTCGAGAAAAAAAATCGATAAATGAATGAACTTTTGGTCAAATTTAAAATTTTTCAAATCGTTCTGGAAAAATTATTTTCAGCTGCGGGGGTCGATTACAATCATTTTTTATGAATAGTCATACCCCCAAAATCCTACACATTTTCGAGAAAAAAATTCAGTAAGTGCAGACATTTTTCGACAAAATTAAAAAATTTCAAATCGTTCTAAAAAAATTATTCTCGGTTACAGGGGTCAATTAGAATCATTTTTGGTCAATAGACATACCCCCGAAATCCTAACCAGTTTCGAGAAAAAAAATCGATAAATGAATAAGCTTTTGGACAAATTAAAAATTTTTCAAATCGTTCTGGAAAAATTATTTTCAGTTGCGGGGGTCGATTACAATCATTTTTGATGGATAGACATACCCCCAAAATCCTACGCATTTTCGAGAAAAAAATTCGTGTAGGTGAACAAATTTTATTAATAATTTTTTAACGATGTTAAAATTTTTCCCCAGTTCTGACCGAACATCCTATATTCAACATTCCGCTTTTTTTCTCTAAACTATTAATACTTGTGTATGCAACTGATAAAACAGATCCGATAAACATGAAAGCACGCATCGTTAATGGGTGTCGAGCTATCGCCTGAAGAAACAATTGGCCATTGTGACATTCATTCACGTTTCGTCTCGAGAAATGTGTTGAAACGAGTGCTCGTCGCCTCGAGTACCTTTTATGAATGGAAGTAACAGCAATAACATATGGTTGTAATCCATTACGACTTTTTAGACCATAGTCTAAAAACCGATACTCGTACATGGATGAATTTGAGGGTTATCTACTTGCAAAACCTTTAAAAGAATCCATTCTTTCCTCTCGTAGATTCTCCAAAGAAAAAAATTAAAAAATAAAATTATATTTATCTGAAATCTAGTGTAAAAAAAATAACCAACCTTGGGAAAAGGTATCTTGCTGATAGGAAATTGCTGGCGCGAAAGGTGTCTTTAGGCTACCAAAATTTCGTGAACGCAAAGAGAAATTCTTTCAGACAACGGACCCCTAGAGACACGCGTTTTCTAGCGATGCAAAAACAACGTAATGGGCTGTTAATTATTCCGGGCATGCGATTGTAGCAGCCACCCAGTAAAGCGTGCATTGCTCGGAGCATGGCTGCACGTACTATTGTGTCAGCGGTCGAACGGAACCAACAGGATACCCGACACGCGTCCAGAATTTTATCTTTCCTTTTCCCCACGATACCTAAGCCATAGTTGGCCAGCTGCTTTAGTAAGTGTTGGCCTCTCCCTACTTGGCTTCTTTGCAAACATGCGACTTTTGAAGGGTCAAATTACCTCGTGTCCGACGATTAACATTGAACGACCGCTAGAATTCCACAGGACTTACCCTTATAAACCTAAAACATCATAATTAACCTTAAAAAGGCAAAACCACATCGAACCCACCATTCAGAGCATCAACAATTTGGAAAATAATTTACTTCTCTTATCCTACATTAAGAAATATCATTCTCATTATTTTCTCTATATAGTTTCTCTATTATTTTCCATATAATTTGTATTCTCGTTGTTCAGTGTACACCTTGTCTGCGATAAACTATTTTATTGCAATATAACCTACGCTTTTCAAAATACAATTATCAGAAATTTGTAACTTTACTTAAAAATGGAAAATCTATTTAATTTTATCTCTTCTTTCTACGATATAGTTGAAAACAATTGCCAAGATGTAGAGGAATTTTACAGTATCGATAATCGAGAGATAAAAAAACATAAATAACGTACAAATTGCTTCCAAAAATATATTGATGTATGTATGGACCGTGGAATAAGTATATAAAGAAATAGTAACGAATCTTTAATGTAGAATCTAATAAAATGTAAACACTGCACTCATATTTTTAATATTTAACACTATTTCAATCTCTATCGGTGTCCACAAAATTATTTTAATAAGTATCGATCGCTTCATTCTTCCACTTATCTAAATCGACAAGAGAAATGAATAATAATTGCAACAAAAGTATTATGAAACTTGCTTGCCAAGGTAATAGTAGAATCAAGTTTCAGAAACCGCAGAAACAAGTCTACGAGAACCAGACACAATAAAATAATTAAGAAGGTATGAGAACAGCTCGATGACCACACTGCTATTAAAAATTCTTTTTATCGTCTTCATCTTGTTGGGATTCGAACAATCGCTAATTCTTTGTCGAGTAACAGACCCTGTTAAAACAATTAACTCTCATTTCTAAAACTTCTTTTCAGATTGTTACCCGTGTAAAATAATTTTAAACATTATTTCATTTAAATGTTACCTGTACAACATGTCTTGATACAATCGTTGCATAAAATAATTGTTAAACGGAAACAAAACTGCACATTTGTATTCAATGTTGAAAGAAAAACCTTTTTGCGTATTAACCAAATTGTCGAAAATATGAAGAAGTAAGAAAACAAAACTTCACCTACCAATAACTAACAAACAACCGAACGAATTCCTTGACAGAACATTACAATTTTTAGAAGAAGTAGAAATTATGTCTTATTTAACTCTGTAAATAAATGGTACACTAAAAATCTTAAGTGCGCGGAAAAAGTTCGAGGAAGTAATTCGAAACCGTATTTTTATATGGGAAGAAGCGTTAAGCAGTGTCGACTTACTTTCCGCAGCGAGTGTACTTCGACTGTAAGAAAGAATACAGTTTGGTTTGGTCTTCGACGTTTGAAAGTCATTCGTTTTCATAATAGCGTTACGTGGCGCTTCGAGTTTTGCCATACAAACCGGTGACATTGGTATATCCCGAAAATGTTATCGGCCACAACGTCTCATATAAAATATAATTGTTCGTAATTTGGAAAGTCAAACTTTGTAGATGGGGCAACTAAAATCACAAAATAATATTCCAAAACATCATTACGTATGCTGATCTACAAATTTCTATAGAGATAAAATATTCCTACATCAATAGCAAAAGATTATTACACCTATGTACTCTTTCATTGCATATACTGTATGGACAAAAATAGAAAGGACGAACACGCTCAACAATGTTCAGTGAGTCATCATGCGTGACAAAGTTGAGATCATGACTCGGACTAACCAGAATGTAGAACATTCGAATCACAGAAAATCATATTTAAACACGTGATACGCTATTATGAAATATATATTAAATATAAACGCTGTAAACCGTTACGTATTCCGAAACGTATTTGCCGAAAACATATCTCAAGTGCAATTGGCCGATTACAAGAGAATACTTGCACCGCCATCTAGCGATTATTAGCTTCTTCTAGGCAACAGTGAATGTCATTGCCAAACGAACGATAATGTGTGAAGTATTAAATTAAAAGTAGAATAGATTGTGCAGAGTGAACGATGACCCGTGCAATTCTATATATCGCCGAACGTGAGTACGAAAAGTAAACACACAAATAATAGAGAAATATCGATAAAAATCAGTAACATATGGGCACACCTCAAAAATGCGTAATTTCCTTGTTCCCGTTTTATGTTCGTTGAAATGTTATCACTGTTCAGAATGCAGGAACGTATTTTAAAAATTGATGCGAAAGGTTAACCTCAACTTTCTATCGAAATGCGCGACAGCGAATGAAAATAAATCATTCGATTGTTTTTTTGTCTCGAAACGTTCATTTACACACCCATTCATTACGATCGAGTATCTTATACGTGAAAAAAATAATTTATAAAACTGAAAGACAAAACACGAAATGCTTTTTTTATAAAAAAAAAAAGGAAATATATATCATTATTTGAATAACAAAAAATGTCTAATTAATCTAGGTTTTACTTTGTTTATTTCATGCGAATACTAAATTGTAAAATTTGATCACTTTCTTAAAAAATGTATACTTTCAAAAGGCAATAACTATACTAACTACAGATATGGATTATGCTTTTTGAAATAAAACCAATAAGAATCGACTTACCTATAGCCCTCGAGACACTTAATGCTCCGTTAACTCGCAAGTCTCCCATACACTCCATCACTACTCCTCCCATTTTTTGTATCCTTTGCACTTCGTCCTAAGAAAGAGAACTGTTGTTTTTCTTTTTTGCACTTTATCGTAAACCGTTTGAAAACACACTAGGCATACCGAATATCAATTGTTTTTTTTTTGTACAAACAAACTTTAACCAAAAATTTTATGTCAAACGAGTCATTCAAATAAATCATATACTTAAACATTATTAAATCGCTATTAAAATTGTAAATCTAGAATATTATTTGAAAATGACAATCATAGGAACACAAATAGACAGCGATAAAAGATTATTGGAATTCAAAAGTTATGAAGATTATTTGGATTCCTTGGTAACATTCGTCGACCTTGGATACATAGGAAATCTTTATACTGTGCGTCGATTAGCTGAACTTGGATATCGATGTACAGGTGAAACACTTAGCGAAGAAGCATTCTATCAGCGTTTAAAAGCTGTGAGAAATTTGCTGTTTCCGATCTATAGATCTTACGAGCTAACATCAGAATTTGTAACGCCAAGCAATGCGGTAATGCAAGAACTTGCATTTCGTGAACGTTCAAATAGATTGAAAATCATATCCACTATAATATTCGTAAGAAATTTTACAAAACTTCAATTCGAGGTCTCCGGTTACATAGACTTCAGCGAAAGACTCGAGAAAGAAAATTGGCTTCCGTATTTTCAAGGAAAACAAAAACTATGGCCTCGTGCATCCGACCTCGCATATTATTATTGGAGAACAAACAAAACGTGCTTGAACGAAACTTCTAATTATCAGCCAATTATAGATCCAAAACATGGTCTTCGATTCAAACACTGTCACGACAGACAGTTAATTACCGTTGATCCCAGAATACCCTCTCCAGGTGTAGATACAACAAGAATAAGAGTGCGTTGTCCAGAATATGAACATGTAATATTATATGATCATGTTATTCGGTGTAAAAGTTATACTTAAGCGAGAAATATGTATTTAAGTGCATTTCTAATGTCATAATCGTGTTAAATAAATACTGGCGTGTACTCACTTTACGATTAAGTCGATGAGGATTTACTAATTGAACGACGCTGTCGCGCTTTATTAGTATAGCCGAGGAATCTCCTACCCAGGCAACGTATAATTTTTTATTTAATAATAAGGTGCAAACTGCAGTAGTACCACCAGATAGTTTCTAAAGGGAAAAATGTTTAGGGTAATACGTGTAAGAGTAGTCTATATTTAGTGGAAAGATTATAGTACGGGTGATAAAAAAAAACAGTGTTGCTTCACAAGTCCAGATATGAAACTGTACTGTTTTTTTAATCCGATATGCATGCAAAGTTCCTTGCTATGGACTTTGACATAGGCAACTCCATATATCGCCAATGACACTTGATTGACAGCCACGTCTAATTATGCATCAACAGTTATGTTTAAATCCTATTACCAACAGCACCTTGAGCCATTAGACTCGTATCTTTTAAGTTTACTTCAACCTCCGTACCATTCATAGTTTTAATACTACGACTGGTATAAATTATTTCATCCAATGAACATAACAGAGTTTCGACTATATTGTAATAACTTGTAGCATATCCGTGCCATCTTCGCAAGTACATTCTGTGTTAAATAGCTTTATAAGCCATTGTTCTTATGACATATCCAAGGCACAAATTATACTCTCTGAGCACTAGCATCAAACATGGATTCCCATGCACTATATTCTTTCCACCAAGTATACATAAAATTATATTGCTCACTTGTCTGTTAAACTTTTCTATAAACTGTGCGTCCGTAGTAGTAAAAGCTTCGCGTAAGGCACGCTCTGGATCTGTAGGATAATATATACTTTCCACTAAATATTGATGAAGATAAATAGCACTATATACGGCTGCATCTTGCCCTCCGTGTCCATCGAATACTGCATAGTAATTTGCTACAGAATCGTCCTGAAATTGATAAGCGTTACATAGAATATTTGTCACTTATTTAAGGTGACCCGGTAACTTCGACTACCTTGAATATCTCAGTCATTCTTAGAGATACGAACAAACTTCATTTACAAAAGTTGTATAAGTGGTGGATTTTTAGAAATCTATTTTTGTACATAAAGTATTTTCACATCTCTGAAAATAACAGATATGTTCAAAGTGAATATGATACAAATTCAGAGCCGATGTTTACCTGAATACCGAACATAGCGTGTAAATCATGTATAACGACAAAACGGTCCTCCATCGTTCTTCTACAATTCCTATTTCTACATGCTATTACTTGTGGCAACGGCGTCGAAGGAGGCGGTGGTAATCTATGTACCAATCCACGACAGTTCATGTAGCGAGTACATATTTCAATAAGTTTATCGGTAATGGCTCGCATTAATTTCACCGAGTTGTACGCTGTAAGACAATATACATTGTTATCGAACGCTTGCATTTTTTTTTGCGACTTGGAATATAAAAGTCTGTACCATAGGAACATACCTTTCAGGTAATATTTATATCCATATTCTTCCCGTTGTTCTTCGCACATGGATTTTACTTCTTGTACTACTTGATAAACCAATGGTCCTTGCAAGCTTGCTGGACATGGCCTGAAATATTATAAAATTCTTCAAACGTGTAATTACGTTCGAGGATTTCGAATAACAGTGGTCTCGTGAAATAACAAACTTCGCGTTTTAAATACTACTCTGAAGTTGGATAACGAAACATTAACCAAAACGGGATGCTCGAGGGTAAGAAGGCAAAATTCAGAATTCCATTTCTTTACAGTGAAAATTCTATCCTCACAGTTAGAACCATGGATTTTTCGTTTAGAAATTGTCTAAATCGTAAGCGTAAAGAAAGTATTTTAAAATTAATTTGTAATTCGCGTCGAAGAGACCTTTGTACTTTTTGTTCGTCGATATTCCTTTTATAAAGTACAATCTTTGGTAATTTTTCATAAAATAAACCGTGATCGACGATTGAATTATTATCGTTAATCGTTGATCGCATTTATACATTAAATTTAATCGTTAATTGCGATTTCTGGTTAACAGTAGTATGTACTGTCCTCCGCTCACTTGAAGTCCCGTGGCAGGAATGCGAGAAAAGTAGAGGGGATACACGTATAGATGGGCGGTCCGACTCCTCTTGCCCCTGCGCCCTCCCGCGGGACAACAAGTCAACGGACCACAGTACTTAAATCGTGGAAAGGATAAGCGATTAAAGATGTTGGGGCAAAGATACTCGATAACATATTTAAAATGATCTTTTTCGTATAATTACCAAACTTTTTTGTTTCGACGTCTTAACGTAAAAAAAAAGAAAAAGATTGATTTCCGATATTTGACGTGTAAGATAGCGTTTCGCAATTTAGATATAAGAGATCTATGGAAAGGAGAAGTAACTCGCAAAGAACTTCCGTTCCGCGACCAAGGAGACTGCGCTTTAGATAAATATTTGGCTAAAAAAATAAACGCAAACAACAGCGACGCGTACGTTTCAAGGTTGTTGGAGTCCGAGTCTTACGAATTGCTTTCCAATTGTACGATTCGAAACAAGAGTATCGTGCAATCTTTGATGAACGATCGTCCTGAACGAATCCTCGACGCACCTACATCGTCGGTTTTCGACTGTTACCGACCAGAGCAGGGAACGGCACCTATCATCGACACTTATCAAAATGAACACAACAAAAATTTCGACGACTATTTCAAGGCTGTGGATATGTTGAATGCGGTAACTACGAACGAATGTGACATACCTTACGACGGTACCAGAAATAAGTACAATTTTTAATACTGTTATTCGAACATGATTTGAGATCTGATCGCTCATTTTTAAAGAAGAAAAGAACAAACGAGGCCAGGATTTATAATCTTTAACATCGCATACGATATATTATTGCGATGTTGTATTTACTAAATATTTTTATTAATTAAACAGAGGATCGGAGTATCGAAAATTGAATGGATTAATTATTTAAAACCTGTTATTTCATTCATATTTGAAATATAATTGATTGCAACCAATGATCGAATATTATCACGAACTTGTACCGTAAAATAATTATCATTCGTAGATAATGCCCTACTTCGACAAGAAAATTATTTTGATTTTTAACTCGACAACGTTATCTTATCTTATTATATAATCAGTTATATCAACGCTAAGATCGTAATGGGTTAAAATATAGATCGCTTTACGTATAAAATTTCATTGCGTTTGAAAAAATAACGTAACAAAGAAAAGAGTTATCTTCTTTGCACGTCGCCATTTGTATTCGCGTGATTCATTCTCTATTTTTGTTTAAAACGCGAATGCAATGGAAGAGGATAGTTCGGCGGCAGTTTCGGGCAGTTCAGATAACAATAAATTAGGGCAAACGACGTTACAACGAATGGTGTGGTTTTGGTACGTTCCATTTAAAATTAATCACGAATACCGATAAATTCCTGTTATAATTTCAATTAAAAGTTAGATGATCTTTTTATAGCGCTAAAAAGTTAATTTTTAATGAGAATGATCAAATTCGTGTATTAAATAATAATACGATATCATTGATCGATCGTAAACATTTGTGTCAATTAGTGCATATGCCTTTCCTACTTTAATCGTTTGTCACGTGTTCCTTGACACGACAAACGTTGATAAACAATGACCGTGTATCACGTGTGTACAAATAAGAATAAAACTTGAATCGAATCTCTGAAGAAACCGTGCGTTGTTTGACAACAAACTGCAAGAATATCTCACTCGCGTACGGAGACGTAAAGTTATGCAATGGGAGAGAAAAAAAAAAAGAATTACTGGAAAGTTGTTGGTTTACACAGACCTGTATCGTCTCTGTTTACATTCGGCGCCGGTCGCCATAAAAGCTACCAACGAATAAACATACACGATGTCCACCCACGCACCGACACACAGCAATATCGTTAATTTAAGAGTACATTCACTTACGTCGGATCGAGGTACTGTAGAGTCACGTTGATGATCTCACCAACGATCTCAGCATCGGTCACGTTGTAAAAGTTCACCCGGTTCTCAACGTACGAATTCAGCCAGTCGATCAGTTCGACGAAAAAACGTCTATAGTCTCCGACATAATCGGCGTCGGTGCAATCTTCCGCCATAATTTTCTAACTTTGTAATAAAGTCTAAGGAACGAAGCACGCACTCTGTCCTGTCTGCACAAAGGACACCAAATTCTCCGCTACAATAACTCCTTGCTGTTCTCGAGGAAACGTTAACACGATACTAGGTAACTAGAGCTTGACACGTTAAGACCAGGGTCACACGGGCGTCGAAACGACGTCCGTTTTTATGCCCTTCCTTGTCTTGCAATTGAAAAGACAGGAACGCCGATCTTCTCTGTCTTCGTTGTTTTCAATTGCAAGACAAGGAGGAACATAGAAACGCACGTTGCCTCGACGATCATGTGGCCCTAGCCTAAGCCGTGTCCCCACTGCGTCGGTATTTGCCATTCGGCGAAGACGCTCGGCACCGCCAAACAAGCGTGGATCGACACGACGTCGGTAAATACGAAGCTGTACCGAAAATTAGATCTTAATTCTTTTTTTTTTTTTTCTTTTTTTCACGAGGTTATGTTACTAAGCTTTTGAACGTAACTAATTTCTCTAAGAACAGAGAAAGACTGGACAAATGACGGGGCATCAAAACTAATCGAAATGTACCGCGATCGCTCTAATTTATGAGATTGAAACTAAATATTATAAAGACGTAAATAAGAGGCACGATGCTCAAGATTAAGTATGTTGATAATGCCTTGACAATGCTAAATAATTGTACCGATCGGCTTTGCCAATATTTACGTTCCCATAGCGTAAAAACGTACATGGTATAAGTGATTTTACGAAAGATGCTCTTGCCTCTGATTTCTACCTTCATAACATTTATTTCAACAGTTCCATAAATTAGTTTTAATACTTGTTTGTCCACTATTTTTCCATTTTTAACGGTTTAACAATGACTAAACTCTAATTTTGTCGATGAACTGGCACTGTTGGCTTTGATACAGTTTCTTTACATATTTACCGACATTGTGCCAATCGGTATTTTACACCATGCGACTCCACCGACGCATACGTCCACACTTATTTGGCTTTACCGAATGGCAATTGCCTGGGAACACGGCTTAAGATTATCACACACGAAAAACGCGGAAACGTAAGCAGGAGAAAGAAAATGTATCTATGTTCATACGTGTGTATCTCTTGAACGATAGACCGAACTGTCGCTTCTACGAAGGAGTCGCGCCGTAATCAACCTATTCGTTGATAGGTAATATTTGTGTTTGGATTACATCACTCATTCAACATCGCGTACGCACGTCACACTACAGGCCCGATCGAACGTTGCGTTTCACCGTACATGCGTCTTTCGTAGAAGTGGGGAGGATTTGCCGCGACGTTTAAAACACTATCTCTCACGTTTCTTTATGCCCGGCGTCACTTTTTGCCTTTCCTTTTACCACTGGCCACTTGCGGATTCAGTCTCGTAACAGAGGAAAAGTGCGTAACGGAATTCATCGAACGGTGCACTGCGCATGTCCGTACTCGAAGCTTTGCACTCGTTGCTCCAGCCGCATACACTGCTCCATCTTTTTTTTTTTCTTTGTTAAGCGTAATTGTTATATATTATCATCCGCGTAACTCGTGTTAGTGTCACTTCCTTTCGATTCCAGAATATCTTTCGGAGTTCCGTTTCCGTTATGGTTATTAACACACGCCTCTTTTCCGTGCTTAAAAATGCATTCGACGATTGTTCAAATTTCTTTTTTTTCGATGTATCAACTTACTTTTTATCTCGACTACAAACGTTCTGCTATTTTAACTCTACTTGACCAAACGGACTCTAGTTACACCGTAATTTATAATATAATCGTATAAATATTTGCTTTTATACACAGGAAATTTCTTAACCTAACCAAAACTGTTTATTTGTTTTATAATTTATTACTGCAATTACAAATCTCCTATTATGTACACAGGTATTATACATTAAGCAATATAAATCCATTTCCACCTTTCAGACATTTTGACTTACCTTAATAAAATTCCTTGAACTCATTTTTCTTGTATCGTTTCGCAATTAATTTTCAACATAACATATAGAGCATTGAACGAGTTGGATTTTTCATTAAAATTAAATGCGATATCATTCGATGAATTTGCTTAGTTTATTAATCTTTCATAATATTAGAAAAATCTAGCGCTCCTAAATTATACTACAAGAACTATTTGCGGTATTTTTTTTAGCAACATCAGGGTTTTTCAATTCCTCGCTCATATATTTTAAATACGAATGTTCATATTTGTCTTGCAGCCACTGAGGTAACGGTTCGTTCCAATTTTCAGGCGGTGTATCTCTTCTGGACCAAACATCATTTTTATAATGAGGTCGTAATCTCTCCATTCTCCGATTTTTTTCACTGGCTATTAATTCATCCTGTAAATAACGCGATATTAGTTTTTCAAGAACATTAAATATTTCATGACAAATATATCTTTATAAAATATGTTTCGATAAGTCCCACACACATATGCTTTTTTAGATTTATGTTTCGTCCAAACGTAACAGTTGTGATAATCAGTTTTCCATTGCGTGCATTCGAGTAATTTCCCAAATATAAAGTGCTGATGCAAGCGTGCTGATATGCTTCTGCAGTCATCATATTCTTCTTTATAGACTTCACATGGTCTTATCTAAAATGTACAACATTATCTTTAAGAGTTGTGTAAAATGAAATTAGCTTCGTTACAACAATGATATAGTTTACACTTTACTATAAAAGACTATCTATAGTTATATAAACATCACAAAACTGTACCATCCAATTATATTCATCTATTTCATTTTTTTGTTCCGATGTATCTGTTTTATCAGGCGATGCAGACACATTTGTATCGTTAGGTTCAGGCATCTTTTTGGTTAAGGTTACCGGCCACTTTTGTCTTTGATCGAACAAATGCTTACGACAGTTTATATTTCTAGCCACAAATTAATATGTACATTTTAATGTTCAAAAATATAATTTTGTTAAAACTCTCGCAATCGTACTACGAATGCCAGTAACCACGAGTACTTAAAAGCTTCGAACTTAGGAAATACCTATATATCATATTATGTAACATTTACAAGAGAAATAGAATTCATATATATCGAAATGTCAATATCATAATACATATCAAATTTGAGAAATAAGAAAGGAAAAGTAAGCGTGTAAGTTTGACGAATTTTTTTATTTCTCGTCGCCAATGATTTAGTTTGTATTCTGACCTTAATTATTAAAAACGAATTCACTGGAAATCCGCCTTAAAACAACAATATAAACAAAGTCGAATACAAAATACATATAATACATGACAAATAAACTTCTATTTGTTATTAAAGAGTAATAAAGCCTTTATTTGAATTGCAAGAATTTATTATTATTATCATCGAATAATAAGAATGGGGAATTCATAACGTGATATATTTAAATACATAAATTCATTGCGTTTCTATGGAATTATTTAAGGAATTTAAGGAATTATAGGAATTAATTCTGTATTATTCAAGTAATAATTTGTGATAATCGCAGGGCTCTGTGTTCAAGCCAAAGGGGTGAATCGTCTCTCTATTCCTAAGTCCGTCATTGTTCGTGGTTCGTTACAAGCGCCATTTGTTCGTTCATAGTTTCCTTCAGTGATGCTCATTCCAACACAATTTCGAGCAATGACTAACTTTTATTAAATTTAACGCATCAGAACGTGTCGGAATTTTTTATTACCATGAAACTTTCTGCATATTTGATACGTTTCTTTGTGAAAAGTTTATCTCGTTGATGAAAATCACTGATTGCCGCCACTCCCTCCACACCTCTTTATTCCGGACGTATTGTCTTGTTATGATAGCAGTTCTCTTTTTTGTCTTTCATCCAAAGACGTTTATGACTGCACTGTCGAGATCTGTAACTACTGTCAGTTTCCTAACCTCTTCGCCGACGAATGCCCTAGTGTTTCGTGTTGTGTTCAATTAATAGTGACTTATAATCATATAACATGATGTCGCGGTCAGTGCGTGCAGAGACTCGTAGTCGTGCCAAGGATGATATTAAGCGTGTAATGCAAGTTGTTGACAAAGTTCGCCATTGGTAAATCCCTTAACATATTATAGATGCACGAGGAAATGTTGAAATGTCTTACAAAAAAAAAAAGTAGTATAACTATATTGGATATCGGGAATGGATTAAAATTTTTATTGTTTGTGACATTTAATAAAGATTTTGCATTACACATGTCGGCTATAAACAGACTTCCGTAGCTCTGAAATGTTTCATGCGTGTTGATTGAGTAATAGTGTTCTATGTCTGCTTTTTTAATAACAGTAAATAAGGTAGCCTTTCTATCCGTTGATCCAATATCGATCAGAAGAACGCGCTGTTCATGCAAATGCTTTTATAGGGAAAAAAAATGGGTTACAATAGGGGAAACTACCATGAAGATATATAAGTGGGTGCCTATATCGTCGCTCGATCAGGTGAATAAATATCATGTGTTATATTCAAATATAAGAAGTAATAATAAATACCTTGCTGTTTAGAAGAAGAAGGGAAAGACAGTGTCAGACAAGGAAAATGGTTTGCCTAGAAAAAGCGGACTGGATTCTTCGAATTCTAACTTTGGACTAACGGAAGATTCTAACACGTGTGAGTTGAATCATTATAATTTTTAAAATATTCTGTGTTCGTCACTGGACGATTATATAAAAAATTTTGTTTGGATGTATTAGGTTTCTCAACAGTTAGCGATTCCCAAGGATTAACCGACTTTTCTGCGCATCTGGGCTTCTCTGAAGATTCTAATTCTCAAAATAGTGAACCAATGCCTAAAAGGTTAAAGACTGATTAAAGTTTATTCTGTGACTGTTGTTTGGAAAATGAGGTATTTAGGAAATCATTTATATCTTGTATGAATTTGCACGAGATAAGATTATCTTAGATCATAGTTGTGAATGGTTAGATCGAAAGTTCTTCATTTTCTACATTACCCTATGTTTAGTAAAAACTTTTACATATTGATGAAAAGATTAATTGTACGGAAACAAGTTGAATTGCGTGTAGTGAAATTGAGTTTTTTTTAGAACTAATAACGGTTTCATAAAAAATTTATGTCGAATGTTCGGTCCGTTTTAAGATCTGATTAGAAGAAAATAAAATATAGATTGAAATTATTATTGGAAACGGATTGTCCATTCTAAGCAATCTTTGTATCGTCGCAGTATTATTTCATTTTTTAAATATATCTACATAATATTTTTGTAATACACAACCGTGAAGTAAATAAATATGTTACATAATATATACATATACACGTAACATTATTATTTGCTTCATAGTTATATCTTACAAAAATGATTGAAAAAACATTTGCGCATTATAATCTTGACAATGTATGATAGATAATAGTACATTTATTTTTACTGTAAAATAGTATCTCAAATGCCCTTATTTGTATTGTTCCATTTCAATGTATTTATACCTCTAACACGATCATACGTTCAATAATTATTTGGTAATTGAAGATCATTGTACATATTTCAAATATCATTTCTTGCAATTTACTACTTTAGGGCAAATTTGCATTCCTTCAGATTATGTTATAGCACCGTGACATGTACAAAATAAGCTTCAACATTTACCAATAAAATATTATTATTGCGAATACTTGAATTGATGCCTATATAAATATTCTGGAGGGAATAAAACGTCCTTTAATGAAGTTATAATTTAACTATTTTCATGTGTTCCAGAATAATTGTACTCGAGATTTATAATTTTTATTTGCGTTGGCTTTAAAATTGAAAAAAGAAAATGTGGCATACAATAACTATTATAATCTCTATATGATAATTGTACATATAATTTTTTACTTTTGATTTTAATATTCTGTTTTAAAATATATATAGAAAAATATTTGAATAAGTCATGTGCTTTAATATTCTTTAATACCCATGTTTCAACATATTTAATTAAAACAAAGTTTCTTAAAAAATTATATAATATTTATGCAAATGACATATATCAAAAGTATAAATTAAAAATTAATCGTTATTTGAAGGTATTGTTTATGTTTAGAGTATTGGTGCTTAACAACGATACGAAAATCATTTACCACGGTAAACTTTTTCCATCGTATTGAATAAAGCAGCCTGTGTGTTCAGAGGTCAATGAACTTAACGTGTTCAAAATGTTACTAACACTGGTATCAATATCCATGGGTGCGTTGTTTCCTCCCATGTCTGTACGCACCCAACCAGGATGTAAACAAGTGACTAGGATTCCATCTTCCTTTAAATCGATGCTCATTGATTTTGTTGCTGCATTAAGTGCAGTCTATGGATTGAATAAGGTCCATCAACTATGTTATGATTATTATATAATTTACGCAAACGTGAGACGACTAAGTGTTAATTAGAATAAATGGTTGAATGTTAATTATAACAAACGAATATTACCTTGCTACATCTGTAAGGATAATATCCACCCTGATCATTTTCGGCAATACTTCCAAGAATGGAGGACATATTAATAACTGCAGACCTTTTGATGTTCATCTTTGACTTGTCCTTGAAATTGTTAGATGCTATTTTCAACAATGGCAGAAATGCCTTAAAATAGAAAAAATTAATAACATTTTTCTATAATTTATAGATCAAGAAAATGCAATTTCGAAACGACTTTTTAAAAAGATCCAATGGGAGAAAAACAAAACACGTTTTTATAATATCAATTTTGTCTGCTTTTTATCTCGCAGATTTGAATAGTTTAGCTGTTGAAAGATTTACATATTCAGCAATGCCTTTCGCGTAACTTTTAAATTATAATTCCTACTTAAAATAAATGAATAAAACATTAAAAATTTGTTTCTCGTTAGTATCTGGTATCTCTTCAAGATGAACATTCCGTACAAAGAAATTGAGAATAAAAACGAATTAATGCAACATATTTAAAGGTGCAATTAGATTGTCATATCAATTTTATGTATCATGTGCAGGTATTGGATTATCATGGTTTTTACTCGTTATTATCTACTTATTATTCAGACGTCAAATCTGTTTAATTGGTATACAAGAAACTTACCTTTGTCAATAAAATTGGCACCACTGTGTTTACAAAAAATGTTTCTGTAAGTTGTTGCTCTTTTACGAAGTTGAGTCTTGTAAATTTTGAGCTGACCCCAGCATTGTTGAACAAAACATTCAACCCTTTATTGCCGACTTTTTTGCTAACAGTTTCCACTATTTTGTCATAATTCTTCGTGTCGACTAAATCTAATTAAAAACAGAAAAGGAAAAAAGAATGTACAAATAAGAAAATTCGAATTTAAACAGCAGCAATGAAAATACATAATTATATAATAAAAATGGTTCGCTGTTATTGTTAACAGGACGTAAATTTCTCGAAATTATAATGAATACAAGTTTATTCTATATTTAGCATACCTTTGACTGTAGTAAAATTTACAGTAAATGTTGTTTCACTTTTGCACTATAGCAACTGTTCTGATCAATATAATAGTATTTTTCTTGGAATCGTTACGCGGTGCATACTTGTACTATTATTTCGCCTAGTTTCAAGAATATTTCGAATTATTGCGATTTTGTGGTGAATAGAAAATTGTTCGATCAATAATTCGTATTCCGTTCTCGGTAAGTTGTATTATCTTCCTTTATACATAAATTTCTTGCCGTCAACTTCGTTTATGATACAAAAATAATGTATGGTAAAATATAATTTTACACAAACCAAGAAGACATTCATTTCGTTATAAGAAACTAAGTTTCGAGTATAAATAAAGCGTTATTTTTAACGAAGTATGCAATTTTAATTTGTGGAAAATTCATATCTAGATGTGTATTTCTCGATTTAATTACTATATCTTTCGCATCGCGTTAATTATGTATAAAGTAAGTGTTTTCTACTTTTTCAGAATTTTTTATATTTCTTCCTCGCGCTACATCTTTATTTTTTTATTTAATTGTTTCACCTACACAAAAAATTGACTTAATTACCGTTCTAAAATGATCTCTCTTGCGTGAAATTAAAATACTTGACATTATTGTCCATCAAGGTGACAAAAATATATTATGAACGGTTATTATCAGATAGCAGAAGCACGCCGTGATCAACACGATTCGTAACGTACTCGATTAAATCTTTACATCATCGATTGTTTAAAATTTCGTCGATCAAACTATCAAACGAATCTTTCTCTGCATTGTACCCTGTAACATGAAATCTGACAGCTCTAAGAAAAAGAGATCGTGGTGTCTCGGCTGTAGAAAGAAATCGCAAACCTTGGATTCGGATTTGAGTGATCAAGATATGCGAGAACCCACGGAGCCGTTGGACGAACTCGAGGAACAAAACAATTCTTTCGGTAAGCCTTGATAATTAATGTACAATTTATCGATTTCGTCCAATGTTTTGTTGTTTCTTTTTAATGATATGATCTATGTACGATTATTAACGTCCACATGAATCATCAATTATTTTTTACGATGACGTTGTAGTTTTCTAACAATTCTTTGAGTATACTATATTCTTTGTATAGAAATTTCTCTATTTATATCAGTCTATGCTGATTATAATTGTAATAGTTTTTCACAGTATTCTATGTGATCTTACAATACAAAACAAGTTTCAAAACTGTTTTATTCTCTTCTTTTTCTTCCACATAGTTTCGCAGAATACCATTCTTTGTTGCTAATATTTATTATAAGTTATACATATGCTATTGACTAATGATACCAAATTTCGGCGAATTGAAAATAATTGGAACTTATATTAGTATTCCTCAAGTTAATTTTCTCGGAATATAGTTGGGAAAGGATTCTCAATAAGAAATACCAGTACTTACCTATTTCGATAATGTGAATATTCGTCGATTTCTCAGCCAATGCAGTCAATTCCTGAAAAAATACTGAATTCTCATCTTTTGAAAAAGTCAATGTATTACGAATTTCCGAAATCGCAATACTGTCAATTATTTCATGAAAATACACCGTCCTTGAGGCTTTTGCACATAGCGTACGGTTAATTTAAAAAAATTCGTGAATTATTCGATCATGAAATTGTACGTAAAATATAAGATTTCTGAAATCGATGATAGGATTTTTTAACTGGAAGAAGAAACGTTATGCTGTGTGTCAGAGTTTCCATGAGTATCGATTGTCGGAATTTTTCAAGTTGGCTCGGAAAATCAGATTTTAAACTTCATTCTATAACGAAATCTGCAATGACTTGCACGTCATCACTGACTTGCGTAATCGACGATACATGTTACATGAGTCACTACAAATCAGACTTAAAAGTTGCGCGCTTGTGGTTACCGAGTAACAGATGGCAGTAAACGTATGAAATAGGCGCGTCAGCTCACTCTTGTCTTTCAGTCTTAAGAAGTCGTTCGTGCTCGGTGCATCGAATTGTTCACGTCTTTTTTAAGAAAAGAACAATCGCTCGTTACATTCCTTTATAACGTGGATTTGATAGAAATAGTGAGAACCGACGATGGCACCAATTGGTAAGTCGGACTTGCGAAATGTATCCGGCCGTTACGTAATGTCATTTTTTATTTATTTCGCGGCCAATCTTACCCTTGCTTTATTCGCGTCTCGGCAAGTTGCGAAAATATTCCGTGGCGGCTGCGGCAGTTTTGTTAAGTGTTTCACTAAACCCAAACCCAGTCCACGATTGCAACCTGTGATTAAGATCGACTCCATCGCTTCTTGCGGTTTTCTTCCCTCGGATATTTCGCGTCGCTGATCTTTGATATCTTCCGGTTCTCAAGTAATTTTATTATCGTGTGTTGAGAGTTACGGGTGGATCGACGTGACGTCACGTGACCGTGATCGGGTCGCAATAATCATGGCGACGTTAACAATGCTCGCTAGGCTCGTGTCATTTCGCCCTGCTCACGCCAAATTGCTCGAGTTACCATGGTCCAGGTGCGATGCGTTTCCTTATGGTAAAACTGCAATGGCCTGCATATGCTGTGAGTGTCGAAACCCGGTGATATTTTCTATGCAAACAGGGCTCAATTTTAGCGACTATAAGCGAATACTGTGTTTCTTATATTTGACAGTTACATTCTGTACCGGCAAGGTTACAATCGATCGAATTCAAATAATGTGACTAGATTTATTTAAGAAATTAGTCGACTCGTATACGATCTTCAAAATAATTTAATTCTCATACGATGTATTTGCTAATTATGTGTAACTTCGTGCAAATTGAAATCGGTATACGGGTACCCCCCTCCCCATCACGGTATCATTCTAACGCGGTGAAAGGATTACTGATAATCTTACATAATACGATGCGCGTGGGGAAAACCATGTTTTCATCTTTGATATATTTGTTTGAAAACCGTTTGTTCTACGAAAATATGTTTCAAACAAAAAGTGTAGATCATAAAGTGGGTTGTAAGTGGCTACAAAATCGTGCATCACTTTCTAGGATACAGTCTGCATACATTTGCGCAGTTATTAATATTTTTAACAATAGTACAAAAATAATTATGTCATTTAGAACATAAGTCTTATTTTTGTACTGGTTCTTAGCTTTGTTGAAGAATAATTCAGTCGTGTTTTGCTTGCATATATTTATTCGATAGTCTGCCAAAGTCAGGCTCCATTGTGGGCCTTGTTGTTCGCCGTTCGACCGTCCTAGGAATCACATTTGTGGTTCTTCTCCTAGGACGGCCATTGTTTAAGGTTATCACGTAATGCTGGTAACAGAATCAGCCTACAGTTTACATCTCTGCACCTGCCTGTTGTACCAGCCGTCACATACAATAGTTTACCCATATAACTTTCTTTCGAACGAAAATATTTGGAAATATATTTTAGTAATTATTTATTTTTCTTCAGCTGATCAAACATTCATGTACGACCTGCTCGTTATTGGTGGTGGATCCGGTGGTTTAGCAGCAGCTAAAGAAGCAGTGGATCTAGGTGCAAAAGTTGCAGTTTTTGATTATGTTACACCATCTCCTCAAGGTTCCACTTGGGGTTTGGGTGGCACTTGCGTAAATGTTGGTTGTATACCAAAGAAATTGATGCATCAAGCTGCTTTGCTAGGAGAAGCTGTCCATGTACGTAGTTCATTAAAATTAAGACCGTTTGGAAACATTTTAGGAACCTTTTAATCTTGTAATTTTATTTTAGGAATCTACGTTCTATGGTTGGCAATTGCCAGATCCGAAAACTATTCAACACGATTGGGAGGAATTGAGAACCGCTGTACAAAATCATATAAAATCTGTGAATTGGACCACGCGTGTAGATCTTAGAACAAAGTTAGTGTTATTGCGATTTTATATAAAAGATATGTGTATTTTTTGTCCAGTAAGTGGTCCAACTCGGTCAAAGTCAATGGAAGATTCTTAAAGGATTAAGAAAAAAGGCCTACGCCGCTAGATCTGTTGATTTCAATATTTCTTTTATATTTGCAGAAAAGTTGAATATATCAATGCGGAAGCATACTTTAAGGATGAACACACGCTGTGTGGAAAAATGAAGAATGGAGAACAAAAGACGTATACAGCTAAAAATATTTTGATTGCTGTAGGTGGTAGACCAAAATACCCCGACATTCCTGGTGCTTTGAAACATGGTATAACCAGCGATGATATTTTTAGTTTAAAGAAAGCACCAGGAAAAACGCTTGTCGTTGGCGCAGGATGTATCCTCTTTCTATGACGATCAGAAATGTTAATTTTTCAATTTAGTTTCTATGCGTACGTTAAATTTCTTTAATAAATAAATAGACATTGGCTTGGAGTGTGCTGGATTCTTGAATGGTTTAGGCTACGATGCAACAATAATGGTTCGTTCCATCATTTTGCGAGGATTCGATCAACAAATGGCAAACATTGTTGCCCAGGAAATGGAAAGACGCGGTGTACACTTCATCTATCAAGCTAAGCCGTCGAAAATTGAAAAACAAAGCGACGACCGGCTTCTCGTATATTGGGTCGATAAAGTATGCTTCCAAGCTCGTTTCAAATAATCAACGTTTAACGTTCGCCTGTTGTAACACATTTCCCATTATTTTAGGACGGACAGACCCATCAAGATGTCTTCGACACTGTTCTTTTTGCTATTGGTCGTAAAGCGCTCACAGCAGAATTAAAGCCCGAGAACGCTAATTTAAAAGTTGTTCCTGATTCTGGAAAAATTGACGCGGTAGACGAACAAACGAATGTTCCACATATATACGCTGTCGGCGATGTGCTTCATGTGAGTTTTTTATTTATCAATTTTCAAATTCTAAAATATGTAGTTTAGAGTTAAAGATTAAAGTATCATTTTCTGGTAAAAGAAGTTGTTATGTAAGAGTTTGAAGTAATTTTCATATATCTTAGAAAAAACCAGAGTTAACACCTGTTGCTATACATGCTGGACGATTGTTGGCAAGAAGATTGTTTGGAAACTCAACGCAACAAATGGATTACACGAACGTAGCGACGACAGTGTTCAGTCCTTTAGAATATGGCTGTGTCGGTCTCAGCGAGGAGGCTGCGATTGCTATTCACGGAGACGATAAGATAGATGTGTACCATATGTATTATAAACCCACGGAATTTTTTGTACCGCAGAAGGATGTTTCTAATTGTTATCTGAAAGTTGTTGCTTTTAAAGGCGGTGATGAAAGAGTGCTTGGCATGCACTTCGTCGGTCCACATGCTGGTGAAGTCATCCAAGGCTTCGCGGCTGCTATGAAGTACGTTATTAACTACTTTTGTTTGTTTGTTTTTCAGGCGTTATAAATTATTTTTTATCGTTTCTTTTGTAGGTGCAATTTAACATTCCCAAAACTTAAAGACACAGTTGGCATCCACCCAACAGTCGCAGAAGAGTTCACACGAGTGTCCATAACTAAACGTTCCGGGCTCGATCCTAAGCCAACGAGTTGCTGTAGCTAAAGGGCACGTAATTTTGAAACTCGTTAAATTACTGATACTTGTGAATATTATAAAAGTGCGATCGATACTAAACGTTTTACGTGCTTGCGCGTGACTATTCGCCTCGAAGCTAATTTATTGAAAGAGGTTTTCAATCGAAAATATTTTTTACCAAGTGCATATAGGAGGATTATTAGGATATTACAGTATTTTGAACAAAACGTTGTAAAGCAATTTACGACGCATCCCATCGAAAATGATATTTGCTTCCTACGAAGCACGTTATCGACATGAATTGAATTTGCATGTTGTACTTATAGCGATTTTTATAAATATAATTTTTGCAGGTACAATATATATTATGTATACATTCGAATGGAAATAAATAACACTGAGCATATTTATAAGATGGTCACAAATTATTCCGTAATGGTCAGGATTGGTGTTACAGTTACTAACCAGCGGTAGACTAAAGTTATTTCAAATAAATAACTTTTATTAAAATCGATTATATTTTTAATTTTATGTTTTAATTTAAGTCACATTGATTTGCAAAGTGTGCATGATGTAATGAACTACGAAAAGAAAAATGAAAGTGGTCGGATAAGCGTTTTGCTAATTTCAGGTTATAAACATTAAATAATTAACGTTTGATCGAAATGGCATCAAGTAGTTCGATATCGTCATTTTCGAAGAAATCAACGGATTCGATAAAAAATGGAAGCAGTAATGCCCAGAAATCTTTTAAAGGAGATAATGAGTTTGCACAATGTCCTTTTGTAAGCGATATATTTAATTAGCATTGAATTATTTTTTGAACGATTAGAGTAATTACTGTTCTGCCTTTATGCAATATTTTCCTTCTTTAGAAATTAGAACATAAAAATGTGTTCCTATAGTTGTTAAATTTATTCATCAAAATAGGTATTTAAGGTGGTAATGGTTCCTTCTCTCCTAAGAGTCGAGCTCTCTTTCTCCATTGTAAATTAAATTAAATTTCTTGTATTTAAATCCTAACAGAAATTATTATGGTCCTTCGGAATGAACACCGAAGTACCTCTGATAAATCTGACCACAAAGAATCGAACGATAATCGCGTATGCCTGCTCGCACGCCGTGATAATCTACAATTACGAATCTAAAGAAGCAATGACTCTTCAGGCTCACGTATGTATTTTCCTTTAATTATTGCAGCTTTTTTTTATACGATTTAACGAACATTGAACGTTACAGCAATCTACAGTGAGGACTCTATCCATCTCAAGAGACGGGAAATGGTTGTTATCGGCTGATTTCGAAAGTGATCCAGTGGTCGTAATTTGGGACACCGAAAGCGGGTAAAAAGATCAAAAAACATATGTACAGGGTGGGGCGCCAAAAACAGGTCAACTGAATAACTATGGTACGCTTCGAGGTATTGGTCTTGACCTCCTCTATTACGCCACGGTAATAAAAATAAGTGGTTCTATGTAACAAAAAATATAGCCTCGAGGCAAATTTATTGTGTAACCGTACTATTTGCCTCATCGAACCAAATACGATTGGCTTAATGCATTTTAAGTAGACAAGTTATTCGGGTAATCTGTATTAGGTGTCTCATCCCGTGCAATGAAATAATTCACATAAAAAACACCCTAAACGTAATTTTTTGCCGGCGAAATTATGGTGCGGATCAACAGAGATAATTGTAATTATTGAAATATTTCTAGCGTACCAATTTGCACTCTATTTAATCCGCATGGGGACGACGAGCTAGCAGCTGCAAGAATAAGCCCAAATGCTAAGTACATAGTAACCGTTGGAAACGAAAGACATCAAAAAGTCCAGTTTTGGCTGTGGACTTACGGGAAGGATGAACCAAATAGTTAAACAATTGAATTGTTACCGTATTTCTATATTCCTCTTTAAATTTCAAGTTTTATATTCTCATTGAAACCGTTTACTGTTCGATTGTGCGTGAAATCTCGTGACTTACTCAAATCTTTTGCATTTTTAACCCCTTCAAATATCACAGAAAGTTGGCCCAAACGCAAACATCACGGTTTGTTTACCGCGCGTTGGCGCCTGCTGTTTGGGCCCAGATTTCGTCGAGTTAAATAGTACGGGAAGGGGTTAAAGAATCCCAGAAAACGTTTCTTTTTTTTTTTAGCGTCCATAGAGCTGACCGAAATTGCTTTCGACAGAGTGAAGGAAATAGCTTTCAACGAAGATTTTCCGGAGGAATTTGCTCTGACCGCCGATCATAATATCGTATTCCTCATTTGGGTACATAAACAATACAAACACATCGATATGATGATAAAATTAATTGCAAATATTTGTGATCCGGTGATTAGGCACAAGACAAGTTGAAATACAATTGTCCAAAAGTTGTTGGCAACATACGGCGATACGGGATATTCAATTCTTCTTGTTACGTGTCGGGCACGCAGCAAGCAGTGACAGCAACAGCAAACGGTATCGTTGAATCAGTTATAATTTTGAAAAACCAAGATCCTAGATAACCTGGATAACTAGTTTATTTCTGAAGATAGAAAAGAATATTTAGATATTTTTCTATTACATATGTTTCAGGATACGTTTTGGTTTGGACTACAGTTATGGAGAAAGGACGGGGTAATGTTAGAGACGTGGAAATGAAATACGTTAAGTCTATCCAATTGCAGAAATACAGCATTAACGTGATACTACAACACGATGGGTATTTAATTGTTTTAATATATTTCTAAAATGTAAAATCAAGAAAGATACGGAAACACATGGGTTTTAGACGATCATTTTAGATTCACGAGTAATAAGAACAATTATAATTACTTCGATCAGTCGTACAAGGTAATGAAAGTATTACTAAATTCTATTCGCGGGGAAATATTTGATTTCAGAATGTTAGTGACAGGAACTGCGGACGGTCGAATTAATTTCCATGATCCTCAATTAAAAATTCTTTATTGGTGTCAAAATCGACATCTAGATTCTATACAATCGATTAGTTTCAATCTTCAGTCCACGTTATTAGGTCCTGTATCTACTACTGTCGCATCTGATCGTAAGTTCGTGTTAATTGTTATGGTAAAACATCGATTTAGCGGTCTTACTTAGTCCATGATATCTATATTAAATTAAACAATAAATTATATACTTTAGCACAGTAATTTTAATAAGAAAATAAAGTATAAAGAATTTATAAAGAAACCGCTAACAGATACATTATCTGTTGCAGTTGAATGCGACGAAGAAGATCTAAATTACAAGGGTGAATTTGAAGAAAATTCAGAAAGTAAAATAGAAAGCACTATTTGCGACGAGGGGATAGAATATTTGAAACAATTAGAAAGCAAACTATTGCAACACCAAGACGAAGTTACGTCCGCAACAACGATAAACTTGGAATACATGTTAAGAGATTATGATAAAAAGGGATCATCTGCAAAACCACCTCATATACCTGTAGACGCCACTTCTGAGAACGCACCTTTCTACGTCGATAACTTTTTCGTCGGTAAGACTATTACAGACATTTTATTAATACATATACTTTTACTTTAACAAGTTCGATCCTTTCGCGTTCAAAATTCCTACCCTACTAGGCCATGAACTGTGTTTCTAATAGATATCATAATTCTTTAACGAATCAACTACCACACATATGTGCTCAAAATATTTATAATATTTTTCCAAAGGTTCTTCGACCGGAGTAATTGCATTAATCAAAATTTCCACGTTGAAATGTCAATTTTTCTCAGAAAATGTAAACGCAGCTATTACCAGTTTAGATACGCATCCTCGAAGGTACTCAAGTTTATTTACAAAAATAAAAATTAAGTTCAGAGTTCAATGGCGTACTTTAATTATGCATTTTTGTTTGTAAGATTTAATCAAGTTTCAGGCGAGCTGGCTACACTATACACTAATATTAACTTTTTATCATAAGTGATTATATAGTTACTGGAAACATACATGGTTTGATCTGCTTGTACGATTACAAAAAACGTAAACTTATCACGAACAAGAAAACGCCTACTCTTCCAGACTTCCGTTCGATATTAGATAAGCAAGTAAAAGATCATAATATAGTTTACGTCACATGCCCCCGAAGCCACGATCGATTATCCGCAATTTCCACGTTAAAATATTCACCGATAGGCAAGCATTTCTTCAATTAGAATATACGGGATTGTTTAATAATCTTTGTCGTTTAAATCTACTGTTAGTTTTATGTAAAATTGATCAGGCGATGAACTTGCTTGCGGCCTTGATAATGGAACACTTTGGTTATTGCATCCTATTACTTTGGAACCTCTCGATGAAATTCCTTACAAGCATTCCACGGAATCTATTATTAAAGTGACTTTCACAGAATGTGCCGAGTACATGGCTTACTATGTAAATATCACTAGAATTTGTTATAACAGATATACGGAGTGTATCACCAGATATTACCATCTATTATTACGCGTAGTAAAAAATATAGAGTTGAATGAAAGGTTTACGATTGAAAACCAGAATCTAGAGATTACACGATAATAGTCATAATATAAATGTATATTGATTCTCATATGTACAACAAAATCATTTCTAATCAACTACTTTAGGATAATACGCTGGTAGTAGCAGTATTTAAAAGAAACCATGACTCATGGGCAAGATCGTATCTGTGGGATTTTATTGGAAAATATCGTACTCACTACGCAACAATAAGAGATATACTTTTTGGGCCAGCTACTCCTACCAGCATTGTACCACGATTGTTTTCATTGGGAGAGGATAAGGCCCTAATTGAATATGATCTTAAAAATAGGTAAGACAGATATTTGTAACATTTTGATCCAAATTTTATGTATTTGGTTTATATCTTGCAGTGGACATTATCCACATCCTGGTCTTAAGATAATGGAAACTCATGAAATCGAGTATACCGCTATTCCTCTTTGTCTTTCCTGGTATCCTGAATCGGGAATTGAAAGATTCCTTGTGATCTCCAACTCAGAAGTAATAACCCCCACAAATTTTTTATTCTAGAACACAGGGAATTCAACGTATATTTATTAAAATGCCAAGTATTATTTATTTACAGAATAAAGTCTATAATATACATTGCATGCTACTGCTCAAAAGTTTGGGCATTATTTTATACTCGTGTTCCTTGATTACAGGGTTTCACATTTTAATAAAAGCATCAAAGTATTCGTATCAATTTTTTTAAATATATATTAATGTTTACTTTTCCTAATAATACATAATATTTGGTTTGGTCATTACGTATTTCACGCGTAACAAAGTATCAGATATTTTCAACTTAAAGATCTACGTAACACGTGGATTATATGTTTAGCTATATAATTGATTTAATAAAATACAAAATTATGTTTGACGTATATTTAACTCCCATATATATGTGTAATTATATCAATTAGTACAAGTATCGATTGCTGAACGACGCAACGAAAATGATTCGAGGAACATTTCTAGGTCCAATCTTTGATGCACCAGTCAGACGTTTCAAGGTGATTCAAATTTTATGCTTTCATTAAGAATCATGTTTGCATGCTTTAAATAAAAATATCTTTGATAGGTATTACCCGACAGAAGATTAGAAAATAACAGGTATATGGTGTTTGCGACTGACAAGGAAATTGGTCTTCAAATACTTCCTTTCGATGGCAATCCTTATAAAACTGTAGGAATGATAGGGCATCCGTACAAGGTAGCAGCAAATAGTTATGTATGTTTAAAAACTCCTACTTTTATAGTTTTAATTTTAATAGATCACTAACATTTGCATTAATTGCGATGGTACTATTTTGTTCACTTCTGGTTACAATGATCCGTGCGTGTTAATGTGGAAAATAAAATGCAGGTAAATATTAGAGTCACTTATAAATTGAATATTGTCGTAAGTAAATACTTCTTGTTCGAGATTAACAATTTTTTAATTTTCACGCTTACAATTACTGTTCTGTATTACCAGTAGCCTAATTTCTGGATATATGGTTGTTAAAAAGTAATAACCCTAAACAGTGTTCGTCTTAACTAATTCATTAATTTTTGTCACACGATTCCCAGAACCTTTTATATTCGTTCGTTCTACCCTTCATATTTAATACTTGTTCTTTATCATTATGATATAATTTTATCTCAGATCCGTCGATATAATGGCTAGTCTAGGAGGTAAAAGTCTTTCACCGTATTATGGTCTTATCGAAGGAGGAAGAAATGGCTGGCTTATCAGCGAAATGAAAGATCTCTTCTATTATGCTCAAATTTTACATCAAGGTGAAAATACAACGGCCACTAGAATAGTATCCGAGAAAGTAGCTATTAAACAAATACCAAATCTTATGCGTGCTATTGGATATTATCCTAGTAACAAAGAAGTAATAATTTTTCTTTTTTAGAAACTTGTCTCTCCGAATCAATTTGGTAAATCTTTATTTTAATTGCTATACGTTCATAAGTGTATCGTTTTATATTTTAGATAGAGATTCTTATGGGCGAGATCTCTTACAAAAATTATGCAGAGACTGGTAAATTAGTCGAAGAAATTACGTTCGAGGAGTTCGTTAAATTTTACATAAACCACCGTCCAGCTTTTGGAATATCTTTGAAACAATTGCAAGAAGCTTTTCAAGTCTTCGCGATTCCAAATCGAACTTCATTTTTAGAACAGGAAAATCCAGTTCTGACCAAAGAGCAATTTATCAATATATTATTTGGAAAAGAGCCTACAGATAGACTAGACGAAACCAACGAAAGCTTTGGTTGGCTTTTTTTTTTTCTGAAAAAATTAAATCTTTTTAATCGTTTAAATATGAATTCTGAAGCTTCCGTGCAAACGATCATAAACAATTATTTTCAGGAGAACCATTAACATATAGAGAAGCGTATATATACCTGAAGTTTCTCATTGACAGCGATTCAGATGAAATGAGTTATTTGGATAACGACAAACAGTCCATAGTCGACGACTTTATATTTTTACCAGAGGTATAATATATTACTATTAAAAAAATTTATCTCTTTCATCTATTATGAATTTACTCTTGAAAAAAAAATTCATATTGTTTAAAGAATTCTTTCAGCTAATTTTAACAAATTATTATTATCGAAGGCCTGTAAAAGGCTTTGTTCTCTATTAGCTCTGATTAATAACTAGCAATGTGTTAAGGAGTTTAATAAATGTTAACAGTAAATAAGAAGAGCAATCACTTAGGCTCGCCGAAAGTAATGTATTATTATTTTATGATACAGAGGATATCTTACAAAGATTTCGTCACGGACATCATGGGTATTGAATTGCCGGAGGAAACGAGGGCTGACGACGAGTAATTAATCTGTGTTGTTACTTGCATTGCTGGCACGTTAACGTCGATTATTATTACCATTATTATTATTATCATTACCATGTATTGCGAGTTCTATTAAACATTTACAGATACTAACGCGCGGTTAGTAATCTTTTTCTGCTTCATGCATTTTAAAAAATTCAATATTTTAACGACGAACAGTCTCAATTACGCATTAACTCGCTTTAACAATCAGATCGGTCAAACTGTGCAAATAATAACCATGATTTTGGTCAAAAAAAAAGTAACGGTATCATCTTTTTTTTTTCTTTCTATCTTTAGTACCGACCAAAACTCGTTTCGCTTCTTGTTATTCCGATCAAATACGAACTACAGAAGTTGAATAAATTACAAAGATCAAATACAAATTATCATTAAACGAAAAATAGTAAAAACAACTTGCGTTCGAACATCGTTTTTTTTTTTTTCTTACGTTGTTTTTTAAACGCATCAAATTATTCTTCGATCGGGGTATCGTGTCCGGTACGTCGGAATTTCGCTCGCTCTATACGACGTAGCCTAGGTTTCGCTCTAGAATGCTATACCGCCTATTGGCTAGACTAATCAATTTATACACGGCGCTTTTTCGTCGTTTAAAAGAAGTACAAACAAATGTACACAAAAATTTCATTGTTATAAACTCTAAGGCGTATGTACAGTTATATACAAACATTTCTCGTTATTGTATCAGCTTAAGAAAAATATCAACGTGGAACAGTGTACGATTCGTTTGTTTACGAAGAAGAAAGAAGGAAAACGCTGGGGGGGGGGGTTAACGATGACTGTTCGATTTTCTCTCCCCTCTGGTTAGTTTTCTGGTAATTTACGTTCGAATAAAATTAAATCGAATGTTATTCGTAACATAAAGAACGTTCGATACCTTTTGTGATTTTATATAATTTGAAAACGATTCGAGTCGAGAACTTCTTGACACTCGTGTCTCGAGAACCAAATAAATTATCGCGTTTATATTGAAATTGCGTATATAAAATGCGTAAATAAACCATTGATTAATTTTAAAATGGAATTTCTATCGCTATTTCAAAACATTTTAAGGTTTCAAAGCGTTCAAGATTTATTGTAATAGTTATATTCCTTTGGATATTTAAAGTCTCCGAAAATACCCAAAGACATTTAAAGTAGTTTCAAGTATCTAACTTTATCGTTAATTAAATGTATGACTACAGATCGATAGTAATCATATCAAATGAGATTTGAAAATCTGGAAAATCTTAACAAACTTAACAATAATAATTAATATAAAAAAGCCTGTAAGTGAACGATCTGTACAAGCGCTACATCATTAACTAGCTCAGAAATCCACATAAAAATTAAAACAGTATCGGTAGCGATATGGACGCTTAATTTTGCAAGACTTTCCCTAATTTGCTTCGTCTAAAATTATATGTAATAAATAGCTCACGCAATGCAATCTAATCATTGCACGTAAAAGAATACATCCAATTTATCTGTAAGACTTCGTGCGACTCTTATGCCGTTCTTATTTTACTCGCTTATAATCATTCACATTATCGCTTAAAGTATTTATGATACTGCGTGTTACGCGATTCTATTTAATCGAAGGCTCTCAAGGAACTGTTACAAAGTATCGAAAACGTTCGAATCTTTTCAAATTTGTCAAAATCAAGTTTAAGCTTATTCGAGAGCTTGGAAAGGTAAGAGAATCGATCAGCCATCGTCGAGTATGCCTAGAAAGCAATTTCAATACGCGGACACCATCCGCTGCTATCAGTCAAAGTAGTCCTCGCTATTTTGCACGATACCGTGCTTTTTTCTACAATCCGGACAATACCACTTGCCCTTCGGCGGCACCATGATACCGACGCACTCAAAATGAAACCACTCGATGCGACAGTCCTCGCCGTCGCAGGCTATCATCTCCGAGACCTCGTCGTACGGGCACTGACAGTAACAATACAAGTTTACCGCCCGTTCCGGTATAGACGCGTTAGTTTCCGGCAGATGCGTTTGCATCTGCTGGCTAGCTTCGACTTCGGAGTCGCTGGAGTCGCTGCTGGTCTCCGCCTGCTCCTCCGACTCGGTCGCGGAGGCCGTAGTGATTCTCAGACTCTCCGCTTGGTTCTCTGGCGGTCTGTAAGCCATGGTCTTCCCGCCAAAAGACAATCTCGGTGGCAGGGGCTTCAGACTCGGTACCGTCGCGAACGAAGGCGCCTCCACCTTTCTCCACTTCATCGACGGCTGCTTGTCCGCTTCCTCGTCGCTCGAGTCGCCGTAGAATCGTTTCGGTACGCGCTTCCGTTTCGACGAACGTTTGTTCTCCGTTTCCGAACCGCTGCCGCTGATGTTTTGGTTCGTTATTCCTATTGTGTGATGTTCGACCGCCACGTTCACGGTGTGCATGTCGCTCGCGGATACGCTCGGCGTCGAAGCCATGCTCGGCTGCATCAGCGCCGGCGACGAAGCCGAGAAACCAGGATTCTTTTGGTAAAACGCTTTAGGAATGTTTAGTTTAATGGATTCCACGGCTGGCGCCGTATTACGCTGCTTCGTCCTGTCCCCCTTTTTCCGTTTCTTCGTCTTCACTTTTCTCTTCTGTTGCGGTTGATCGTCCGTGGTGCTGGGCATAGGGTCCGGCGATGGTATCGCGGTGTCCGTCTCCATTAGTCCGTTGTTCAATGGTATCGTCGTCTCCGTAGACGCAGGCGCGACCGCCGCCAGTAGCAGCAGTTGATTCCGTTTCTCCGCGAGCAGTTTGTTCGCGAGCTGCTGCGGATGTTCGTCGTAAAAGTCCTCGTCCGTCTCCGTCTCCTCGGTTTCTAGATCCGACTCTCTCAACAGAAGCTGCGGCGGACAGACTGGATCACCCGAGACCGCCGCGCCCCCGTTCTCCATCTCCGCGGAAACCCCTTTGTTATCCATTTCCGCGACTCTGCCTTCCGGTTCCTGTGCAGCCTCTTTCTCTTTCTTTCGTTCCTTGCGGCTGGACTGTTTCTTCGGCGAACCCTCCGAGGTGGAGCTGTCGGAGTCCGAGCTGCTGCTGGAGCTGGAAGAACTGCCGGACGAGGAGCTGCTACAACTGCAATTCGTTCCACATGAACAACTGCTCGAATCGCTGTCGCTGGACGAGTCGCTCGACGAGGTGCTACCGCTCTGCTTCTTCTTCTTCGGACTTTTCGCTTTCTTTCTGCTCGGATCAGCCTCGCTGACGCTTTGTATTCCATTGCCGCCCGACGGACTCTTCCGAGCTTTGCTCGCGTAATCTTGATTCCCGCTCAAGTTCCCCTCCTCTTTGTCGTCCGCTTTGGGCCCCGATTCCCCCTCCTCCTTCTTCTCCGACCATACCACGCAGTAATCATGGTCGGCCAACACTATGCTTCTCAAGAACGCCACGTCGGTCTCCGGCGGTTCCTGTTCCTTCGCCGGGAAACTGCCAGTCGAGTCTTTCATCTCCAAGCTGGCCGTATACGATTTAAAGTTGTCCCAGATGCCGTCCATGATCTGCGCCCCCTGCTCCTTCTCCTCGTCGTTCTGCTCGACTTCCACTATGCTGTCGCCGACCGGCTCGGGAGAGGCAGGTTTTGGCTCGTCCACCGGCGGCGCTGCGATCTCCTCAGTTGGTTTAGCTTGTTCCGGGGCTTCCATTTCCTTCGGTTCGACCTTCTCCTCCTCGGAGTCCGTGTCGCTCTCCGAGGACAGATTCAAAGGCGGCAGGTCGTAAACGTCGACGACCTTCTTCACGATCTCTTTCGATTCCTTCGTCGACTCGGAGGCGGCGGCAGCGCTGTCGATCACAACCGCCTTCTCCTTGTCCGACTTCTCCTCGTCGACCACCGGCTGTTGGCTCACAGAGTCCGCCAGAGTCGCGCTGACCAACGACGGTTCTTTGTGAGCGGTCTCGTGCTTGGTTAACAGTTTCCGCGAGATGAACCGGTCGTTGCATTCGCTGCAGGTGTACGGCCGGTCCCCGGTGTGCAACCTCTTGTGCACTTTCAGGGCAACGGCTCGCGAGAAGCTGGACCCGCACTCCTCGCACACGAAAGCGGTCGGCGGTATGCAGAAATGATAAATATGCGGCCACTTCTTCTGTAAACATTTCTTGCAGAGCACGCTCTCCGTTCCGTGTTTCCAGAACAAATGTTTCGTAATGTCCGGCTTGTTTCTGTACGCGATGCCGCACCTGTAGCACAAATGATGCAGCTTGTGCTTCCAAACGTGGTTCGAGAGACGCTGTTGATTCCCGGTGGACTCCAAGCAAACGTCGCACGCGTGGTGCCTCTTTCGCAGATGCACCATCAGCCTGAACGCGGATGGAAGGCTCGCCATGGGACAGAGACAGCATCTGTACTTTACGTTGATGTTTGGAGAGTACGCGCCGGGGCACAGGTGACAAAGTAATTCGCTATAACTATAAAAAGTGGATTTACACATTATACAGATTAAGATTGTCTTTTGGTGCATCTTTCGGTTATGCAGGTAAAGTTCCTTGTGTATGGCGGAATGAAATCTACAATGAAAGCATTCGTATGTCCGCACGTCCGGAACGTTGTAGGTACCATTTGTGCTACTGTAAGAATCTAGGTTAAAGAAATTAGAATCCAACTCGTCGAGGGACTTTTTCACTCTGGCGATAAACTGTTCCGGTTGAATGATTATGGCAGGATGCTGGGGCTGAAACTTGTGTTCCGCGAGCATGTGCAATCCCAGTTGTTTACCATTCACTGCTATATGGCGTGCATGGTTGCAGTAGACGCAGAAAGGACTGGCCACTTGTATGCAACGCTTCAACAAATCGTCTATCTCTATACTGTCTAATGTACCATCCACGTTAAGATCGACGCAGGGAATATCTTCTCCGGCCAGCATGATTCCGTCGTTAGGCTGCGTTTGAGGTTGAACGACACTACTTGTTTCGCTATCGTTTACATTTTTAACGTCTTCGTTGATTTCGTTCTTTTCGTTGGTATCTACATTAGCTGCCACTTCTTCGACAGTGTCCTCAGTCTGATTTCCATTCTCTTCTATGTCCATGTTCGATTCGTTTTGACCTTCCGGTACAAGAACTTCGTCCGCTTCTTCCGCGTCCTCGGTCTCGTCCGCGTTACTGCTATCCACCACTGCCAACTTGAAACTGTCGGAATCGCTGTCGCCGTCGATCGCCGGATCGCTGTTATTATTCTCCCTCTCCCTCTCGAAAACATTCGACTTTTTCTCCTCTATCAACGAACTTTCCGCGTTGTTGTTCTCTTCGGACTCTTTGCTGATATCAAAGTTCTCCGCGTCGTCGTTATTGGTCGCAACGGTGAATTGAGAATTCCTATTCGTACATATTTTTATAACTAAACTTCTCTCGGAAGAGGCAATGGCATTGAATGACACCGAAGACTGAGATTCGTTTGATTCGTCGTGATTCGTTCTATTTTCATTTTTACAACTCTCTTCTTTCGTTTGTAGATCCGACGCATGCAATTCCCGCTGAGGACTGAATAACGATCGACTGACAGGACTGTAAACGGAACTTTCGGACACGCGAGAACTAGAATCGGTTTTTGTTTCTGATATGGTCTCCCCTGTTTCATCTTTCATCACATTTTCTTCCGTTTCTTGATGCTCCGAGTTTAGTTCGTTCGTTGATGCGTTAGCTTCCTCGGTGGAATTGAAGGTCTCGGTATCGTATTTGCTAGTTTCGTCGGAATCTGATTCCCGTTTGTCGGACGCGTCCAACATATCGTTCGAACCCGAGTCCTCCTTCTTGGTCATATCGTCCGAGTCTTGTACGTCGTTCGTACCACGCGATACTTCCATGATAGTCTCCGTCACACTATCGTATGGCTTGTTATGGCTGCTAGCATCGGTCGATGATTTCACCTCGGTATCGTTTTGACAAATCTCTCTGTTACTCGTCTCTTCTTTTTCTTTGTAAGGATCTCCGATGTATTTTGAAACTTCCATTATGGTCTCTGAAACAGTATCTTTAATTACATCGTGTACCTCGCTTTGAGAATTTTCGCCCCTGTTCAGCATATCGCTGAACAGCTGACTTTCGTTCAATTGCGAAGCGGTTTTACTGTTCGTCTTTTTCGCATGCGTGTTTGCTTTCAGTTGACTCGAAACACCGTCCTCTATATGCTTAGATCTATTATTCTTTACCGGTTTCCTTAAAACATTTTTGTTACCAGCGTTCACAGTTTTGTGGAGTATATGGGTCGGTATTGTGCCTGTTTGCGCAGTATGAGGTAAAGCAGAACTTATTTCTTTAGTCGTTTCCGTAACTAGACTACACGTGCTCGCATGCGAGCCTATCTGCCTGCACAGAGTGCATATAGACGTTGTGATGTCCTGCTTGGACGCGGGTGAACAAAAGTGATTATAAAAATTGTCCGTTTCCGAGAAAACCTTTTCGCATGTGCAGCAAACTAAATAACACGATCCTTTGAAAGCACCATAAAATTCTTCAACGGATGTAAACGCTACCTCTGGAACACTATGATTCTTTGTTAAATGATATGACAGTCTTTCCGCTTGGCCGAACATTCCAAGACAAAATAAACATATGTGACGTTGGTGTATGTCTCTCATATGTAGAAATAAATTCCAATTCTCGAAGTAAGTGCCGCACGCCGCGCATAAGTAAACCTTCCTCGTGATTTTGAAATTGGGTGAATGCGACACTGTTGACGATTCCGACGTGCTCGGCATCGGTGTCATCGTGGAATTACAAGTACACAAATTTTGCTTTAATATAGAACACAGATTCGACGACGAATGGCACTTCAAACACTTGTTCTTCGACGAGGGTTGAAGACCCAAATATTGCGCATATTCTGTTATTTTGCCTCGTTTGATCTCTGCCTTCTTCTCCTTGCTATTCTTCGACGATGCATTACAATGCGGCGATTGTTCCTGCGCCGCGTTTCTCGATGTATTCGTTTGTGTTTCTTGAGCTTGTGCCAGAATACGTTTCTTAAAACCTTTAAACACAATTTTTGATCCTGTACTGTTGTTCTTGCTCGGCGAATCTTTCGAAGCGATCGAATTGTATCGCAGTAATTGTTTCTCCTCTTCTATTGCGTCCGTGTACGTGCTATCGACGGAAGGTTTCAATGAATTTCCAAGAGATGTGTCTTTAAGTTGCTGTTCTCCCAACATGTTCCACGTATCCACAACTTTACTTTCGCCATCTTCATCTTCCATAATAACACTGCTTCGCTACAGCGATACTACCTGTAAAATATAATAACATCGATATTAAATCGTAATATAATAGATTATTATATACAAGTAATGTCTGTTGTTATAGTTACAAACGAACAAAACTATAGTATCGATAAAGCACTATATCAAGTATTTAAGAATTTCTATTTATTAATTGAAACGGTTAAAAAACTATGTAATATATGCTGCATTGTCAAAATTGATTACAATTAGTATGCACATAAAGCCACCTGTTACACTCAACGTGTTTTATGATAAAAGCAACAAGCAAAAGTTCCAAACTGTATTTTACAAGAGACCTCTACGACAACGGCATCACAATTTTGAAGGTATAAACGTTTCATTTGACAAGAATCGACAACCCAGAAACCAAACCTAACATCGTACATAACATAGATATTAATTCATGTAAATGCTGAACATTATGTTTACAGTACACTGGATAGATAAGAAGCATTTAATATAATACCTCTGATACGAATATTACAAATTTGAGCACATGGTACGACATGCAAGAAGCTCTTCGCTGTGATCATCGGTCCACAATGATACAGCTCCAAAGATTCCATAAAAAACGGATTATCACGGGAAAAGCTAATGTCAAATTAAAGTGAACGAAAATGCACACAGAGCCAGAACGTCACAGTAACGAGTTTCAACAAGAAAGTATTGCTGGTAAGCTTTTGTTGCACACAAGGATGATTCCAGTGTAACGAGGGTTGCGTACCTTCCGGTATACTCCGGCTCGAACGAATTGCTTGGAATTCTAAATGAGCGTGCGCGGCTCGTAAAAAGTAAACGATACAAACAGACGCTCTTGAAACGGTACGAAGTGGAGCACCTTAAGTAGTTCGTCGCGATCCGCGCCGAAAAGGTTAGTAAAATGGCGTCATATCAATGAGTACGGCTCCGTCCGTGCTTCCAACACGTCCCCAGTGATGCCACCTTTCGTCATGTTCCAGCATAGCCCGCCGTAGAAGAGGTTAGACCAGAGTCGTCGAGAGAAATCGAGTCTGTAGTATTTCGGTTCTTTGATAATCGGTACGGAACTTTGAATCTGCTTCGAGGAACGTGATCCGACTTGAGCGCGAGTGCGCTGTTGCCTGGCCCACGGCTGTCGTGCAAAAACTCGAATCGCGAATCGACGGCATCTCTCGTGGACGTACTCATATACGCCCAACGTAGTGCCTGTGATACCCCCCACTCTGGCTCTCAACCTGACCCAGCCAGCCGGAGCGTCGAACTTCGGTTAATAGAACACTTGATTTTCCTCCTCATGGATGTTTCAGAAATATCAATGGCGCCATTTGAATTTTTGCCAGACGGCCGATAAAGCAGGCCGGCACGAAACGATTTACTTTTTCAAGATAATTTTCAACAGTTGTTCTTATCGCTCGAATGCATTCCCGTGCGTATAGATTTACACGTTTATGCTAATTAATGGTAACACGTGCCTTTGGTGTTATAGTAACTTGCAACGAGCTTCGATCAATTTACGAATATTTAATATATTTAATGTACCCTGTTGATCAAGCTCCGATCATAACAGATTTGTAGAATCTGTCGCAGTAAAATAGCAGGAAATTCAACGCGAGAGGCTGTTCGACCAGATTAAGTTGGCAGACTGTTACCGAAAACACGAAGTATCGCGGTACGACAACAACAAATCATGTGCTGATAGGTGGCAAATTGGCGGCAAAAGTCCTATCATTGTTTGCCATGGCGTTATAATAGCAGGTTCATCGCTGCGTTCTTGCCGCCGGCAAGATTTCAATGACAGGACCATGATCAAATGTACCTATGTACTCGGTTCAACGAGAACTGGCAGGAAATATAAACAGAGAGGTCACGTGATCGACGCTACGGCCACAGATAATTGAGTGTTGAAGTTGCTGTTCAGGGAGGCTTTTTTAGCACGCATTAAATGACGCATTAAATCCAATCGAGATGATTTAATCGCTAGTTACAAATTACAAATAATACAATGTTCCGATTTGCCGAAGTAAAAAAACCAGAGCCCCGATGTTCGCAGGTACTGCGTTGCCATATTGTTTTCGCACGGCTAGTAGTAAAGGCGGTTGTGGTTTGCCGCCAATGTACCGACCTTGTGTCAACAAATTGCTTATTAGATATACATTGCAATAAAATTGTTTAAAATATTCTTATAACATTTAATTGTTATCTGCCTACTTTCTATTTAATACGAAACGTTAAAAAGCACAAGATTACGAATACGAAATAATTAAGTAATATTCATATCCTATATTTCGTCAGTTTCCACAAAAATTCAAATTGTTCGATCAATAGTATTTTCTTACATTTTCAGTTACTTTATTCGTGACTTATAATATTCGGAATACTTTTTAAGCGTAATTGTATGTTCGTTGAATGTATTTTATAATTGTTACCATCTTACTAGAATTTTTATCAATTTATATCGTTTTCAATGAAACGTGTGTGTACATTATCGTAGATATTTGTGAAAGAACGCCGGGCGGTTGTGATTGTTGCGAATCCGTCGAAAGGTTTAAGCGTATTTCGATTGGTTTATGAACACGAATGCATTGAGTATGTGCGTTAGGTAGAATGTGTGAATGCGCCAATGCATAATACACCATCTCATTTATTCAGTATTTCATATATATCATTTGTTGATGCTATCACTTTTTGTGTATTTTTATGTGTTGTCGATTTACGACTATACGTAGCGTATGTTGTTTACCGTCGAAGTTAAGAGATTGACGGAAAAATAGAGCAAGCATCAACACAGCTCGTTCACGGACGGTCGGACGTTGTCATTTGAAAACGGAAGCCATCTTGTGGCCGAGCCTCCCATATTATACAGGGAATAATAGTTCAGCGACTATTTGTCCCGTAAAATTGTTCCGTACTTTTTCCATTACGTCTAGACTATGCATGAATTATTGTATCACATGTTTACATAGCCATGGCTGCGACGAGAAAGTTGCAAGGTGAGGAGAAAATGTTTCCAGCATGTTTACATTTAGAAATTTTGTTATGACCCTGCACCACTACAACTTTGCCTACGATCTTGCTTCGCGTCCTGCAGTTTCTCTACCGGTTTAAACGCTTATATTTGCGACTAGTAGCAGCCTATTTTTAACTCGCGTTATCTATTTGCATGCAGGCTGTGCCTGACAGTTGGTACAGGTTGCCAGGGTATGATGGATTGGTATGTTCTGTTCAACTTTTCACACGTTTCTTTGATAGAAGTTTATTCTTTCTGATATGAACTATACTTATGGCAATCTAATGCTGCTTTCTTATGTCAGCATAACCTTTTAAACCATTCAACATTTCATTAGAACGGTACATCATGTATAGTGGTACGATACAGTGCATTTGTAAAGTATTTGTCAGTATAAGTCTCTAACATAAGTTGCTTAAGTATAAAGTAATGTACGATAAGATTTTCTATATTACTATTCACTTTGTGTTACGAATAATTTTTTTTTTTAATAATCCTTAAAGAAGTTCATAATGAAAAAATAAAGAGTTCTCACTGGTATTCACAATGTTTTATTGCACCCATTACTTTTCCAGTTAAATTGCTCGTAGTGTTTAAGTTTTGTGTATATAGTTGAATGTTTGAAACAATTACTGCGCATTGTACCTTAGTAGGCATTCCACTTTACAAAACTTGAAATAATCAAATAAATTATTTAGCGACTGTACATTATAAAAGGTTGTTTATTTTCCGATTGACTGAAAATATACGTGTTATTATAAGAATTATCCTCTGTTTGATTAATTATTTTTTGTATGTTAAGTTTTTGTAATAGTAGTTTTAGATGTGTGTTTATATTTGTTAATAAAATTAATGTGTTTTTTAATTTATTACAATTTGTAAAAACAAAGTTGAATATAGATAAATGTTAGCGATAGATAATGTATGCTTACGCCTTGTATAATCATGTAGACTAATGTATGTATGTTTCTTAAATTTTTAGGTGAAATAGATCGGTGCCTTAAAAAAGTAACAGAAGGTGTAGAGACATTTGAGGACATTTGGCAGAAGGTTCATAATGCTACGAACAGCAATCAGAAGGAGAAATATGAAGCAGACCTTAAGAAAGAAATCAAAAAACTCCAGAGGTTACGTGATCAGATCAAAACCTGGCTTGCGTCAGGCGAGATTAAGGATAAAACTACGCTTCTTGAGTATAGGAAGTTAATAGAAACTGTAAGCATAGTTCGCATCGAGAAATAAAAATTGAAAGAGTCGTAACGTGTACTAAGAATATAATATATTCTTTTCAGCAAATGGAAAGGTTTAAAGTTGTAGAGAGAGAAACAAAAACGAAAGCATATTCGAAGGAAGGTTTAGGAGCAGCTCAAAAACTTGATCCAGCTCAAAAAGAAAGAGAAGAAGTTAGCAATTGGCTTGCAAATTCCATAGATGCTTTAAATCTTCAGGTATGAGAAAGGAGATTGCGTTAGATCGGATTAAAGAAAGATTTTCTTGTAACAAGTATAATTTGCTTTTAATTGGTTTGGATACAGCTGGATACGTTCGAATCCGAGATAGAATCATTGCTCGCTGGAAAGAAAAAAAGGTTAGATAAAGATAAGCAGGATAGAATGGATGAATTAAAAGGAAAGCTTGATAAACACCGTTACCATATCCGTAAATTGGAAACATTGTTACGCATGTTGGACAATATGTCTGTTGAAGTTAATACTGTAAGTGTGCCAATAAAACGACGCGATAACGATTGATTAAAATTTCGTTGCATTTTGATGTTCCGAAAGTCTTATAATTATTTAATCTTTATTTGTTTCGTGGTCCACAGATTAAGAGGATAAAAGATGACGTAGAGTATTATATTGAATCCTCACAGGAACCTGATTTTGAGGAGAACGAATATATTTATGATGATATTATTGGTCTCGACGAAGTAGAGCTGTCTGGAGTTGGTATTCCTTCATCAGCAACTACAGACAGTAACAATAGCAATGAGACTGGAGGTACACCAACCTCGACTAATTCTGGTACTTCGCCCATACCATCACCTCCATTAAGTTCCACAATGCACAACCATTCGAGCGATAGTTCTACGGATAATGACAAGAAAACAAAGGTATATATATATATATCATTGTAATTAAATCAGGTTCAACGATATGGTTTTTTCGGCGGTTCATTATATCGATATACATATATATATATATTAATATATTAGTAGTTGCAATAATTGATAACATGTAGATCATTATCGAATACTTTTATTTTAGCCTGTGAAACCTACAGCAGTCAGGCCACTATTAAATTCACAGGCGAGCATTCCAACCACGGGAAGCACTGCCACTATAAAGTCGAATTTATTGTCGAGCAGCACTCCAAGCAAGACCATTCCCATGACACCTAGCCATAACTCGCCTAGTTCTACAAGTAATCATATTGCAACAACTAATGCAGGCAACTTTGCCACAGTAGCTGCTTCGCATAGTAATTCACAAGCCATCCATTCTACCTCTAGTAAAACATCCTGTAAGTAATTTGTGAAACATGACTTATCGATAAAGAACTACCGCGATGATGGGTATGCTCGGTAGCCTGACGATTTATTATTTAAATTTATAGCTCACAGCAGCGAAAATGGTTTATTGTCGTCTTCGTCCACGTCCAGCGTTACCTCGAATGTGCCACAAACGATCTCACAGCAGCACAATAATCCTGCGCCCATACCGACGACACACGTGTTGCACAATCAACAGAATCAGAATCACAACAGCGAAACCGAAATGACGACGCCGATACCACCATCTTCTTCGCCACAATCGTCAGTCAGCAGTAGGTCTTCGCCTCTGCCTGCAAATTCCTGCTCGCCAGCACCATCCACTGCCAATGGTCTCATCCCTAAGCTTCCTGATGGCATGTCCTCTTTGAAATCCATAGCCCAACAAGTAATTGTCCGAGCAGGTTTGGAAATACCGCCGTCCGAGTCGAATAGAAACATCTTTGATAGTACTAAAGCGAACAATAACAACAATAACGCCACATTGGAAGCACAAATTCCTCCTTTGCTCGGCGTTGCGCCGCTCGGGCCGGTACCTCTTCAAAAAGAACATCAGCTACAGTTCCAGATGATGGAGGCCGCTTACTATCACATGCCTCATCCGTCTGATTCCGAGCGTTTGCGATCATATTTACCAAGAAATCTGTGTCCAACGCCTCCTTACTATCAACAGGTACAATTGTATCATTAGTTGATAATCTTAAGTTGATCGCACCTCGAGAAATAGAATTATTTAATTTTTATGTCCTTTGTAGTTTTGGTAATGTTTATTTTACTTCTTAGGTCCAACTTCCCCATTCTGACACTGTCGAGTTCTTTCAACGTCTTTCAACGGAAACATTATTTTTCATATTTTATTACATGGAAGGTTCTAAGGGCCAGTACCTGGCTGCAAAAGCTCTAAAAAAACAAAGTTGGAGGTTTCACACTAAGTATATGATGTGGTTTCAAAGACACGAGGAACCGAAAGTAATCAACGAAGAGTATGAACAGGTGAGTGGAAAAAAATAAAATTCTACGAGTCCCGATGTAAAGGAGAAGCTTACCGTAAGCGTAATGTAATTATTTCAGGGAACCTACATTTATTTTGATTATGAAAAGTGGGGGCAAAGGAAAAAAGAAGGCTTTACATTTGAGTACAAGTACTTAGAGGACAGGGATCTGAATTAACAGTCCTGTTGCTCATGGAGTCTCCGAAATGCACTATTTCTGTACCGGTATTATCAAAAATCGAAAAGATAGATTTTATTTTTTACAATTCTATATTTTCACAAAATATAATTTTATTTATTGGTAAAGAGTATCTCAGAGTAAATGAAATAAAAAAGAAAGAAAAAGCTCCGTGCATAGCAAGAAATGAAGGCACTTCGTTATATTTCAAACGTTGCGATGGTAATCTCTTCTATATATTCATTTTCGAGAGAAAGAAAACGAGACACGAAATCAGAAAATCGAAAGAAACAAAAAATGCAACTATCACAAAGAATGGAGTAAGTTAATCGGGGACAGTAAATTTTAACTATAAAAAGTAATTATACGAAAGGCACCAGAGACACACTTTTAACATTTTAGTGTGTGGTGTGTGATACAAGAGGAAGAAGTTATACTCGCTGACGACTGACTCTTTAATACCAGTACAAACATGCGTGCGGCCCATCTGCCGTTTGGCGGTAAGGTGGAGGGCGCTCATGCAATGGTATGTCTTAATGTTAGATTATAAGTAGCCTTTTTGTATAAAGTATATTGAGGTATAAAACCCTTAAATTGAATTACTGTACAGAATGTGTAGAAATAGTGAATAATAATATTATGGAATATATTTTATTTCTCATTTAAATGAAACCTAAGTTGTTTCAATTTTTGTCACATCTGGCACATCTTTGACAACCTTGCATTCGGAACATTCCATCCATTAGATTTTTGCTCTCGACCAGGTTACTTAGATACGTTTCGACGATTCAAAAGAAAAAAACAAATGAGGCTCGAACCCGTTCAAGTCAGAAACGTGATCATTACGTATTGTCAGTAGCGTACTCAGAGTAAGCTACTGGTTCTACCGCACATCTTGTCAATTCAGCAGTCTTGATTTCATTCTTTTTCAGCAATCCCTTGCGCGCAACGCATTGTATTCGTCAAAATGGCGACTCGTGATAATCACTGTTCATATGTATTTATGAATAATTTGAAAGAACGAGAAAGAGTGGAAGAGAGAGAGAGAGAGAGAGAGTGTGAGAGTTAGAGAGAGCGTGAGAGAGAGTGAATGATAGAGAGAGAGAGCGAGTGAAAGACAGAGCTATATTGTACGAACTTATTTATTATAAATTGTCGGTACTTCCAAATGCGAAACATCTCCGATGCGAAGCAAAAGAAGAAACATTTTCAGTAGTTTGATATGTACATATATGTATATTTCCTTATCTGTTTGATCTCCAAGTTGTTTCTTGTTAAATGTTGTGAGGCAGTATCGGCATTTGGAATAAATAATTTCAGACAAAAAGTCTTTGCTTCAAAAGATTGAAGTGATCGCTTGGCACGCGTGTTGTTTGTCATTACAAAAGCCTTCGACAACGAGATTAGACATATTGCATCCCTTAGTAATACAGAGAAAAGTCGACGTTTCTCATTAGATCGACTTTAGTGCTAGAATGGAGATCTACTTACTAAACATGAAATAGATATATTCTAAGCAGATACTCTCGTTACAAATGAAATTGCGGCCGCTATGTTTACATGGCAGTACCTAGCAATGGTTTTCATTTTTCTTTTCTTTTCTTTATATTTTTTTCTTTTAAATTTACTTTAGAGGCAACATTCGATGAGATGTAATTTCTTTACAAAAAAAAAAGAACAAAACAAAAGAGAACAAATGGTGTTACGGTAAATTGTTGGTTTGCAAATTCGCAACAAATTTCAAATTTAATTTCCAACACATTTTACAAAGGTTTTGCAACATGGTTACTCCATCACCCAATACCAATGACCCTTCAATAGTGTTCAATATGTTAATGTGTATCGAAGGTGTCATGCTTGTTAATAGTACATTAATGGAAGTTAGGTCAGTAAGACTTACAGAATTACAATAAATCAAGGATTTTGCACTTTACACAGCACTACATTATTCTCTGGTGTACATTTTATGAAATCCGTTTTGTAACCCCCTGATGTCTGAAAACAGATGCAACCGTTCAATGTTACATACAAAAAAGAGAGAGCGAGAGAGAGAGAGAGATAGATAGATAGATAGAAAGAACGAGAGAGAGAGAGAGAAAGATAAGGATTTGTTGCCACTTTATACAGTTAAATAACATTGTAGTCTTTAGAAATCGTATTATAATCATAATGTTAAAACGGAATAGTATTGTTTCCGAGTATTTTGTACTACGAGAACCTGTACAATGCTGATCCATAATTTTCTATAGAGAATTTGAGGAGAAAGTTACAAAATTTTACAACAGTGTGCTGTGTATAACACTTTTGCATTTGTTACAATGTTTTGCTGGTCTTTTAATATATTACATGCTTCTAATCTTTATCTCGCATTTTCTAATAAACCGGGTTCTGCTTTATTCATTCAGCTAGACACGTACAAGTAGAAGAAGAAAAAAAAAAAAAAAAATCTAAATTGATTGTGTAGGCTGATGGGATCTGCTTTCGGTGCTTTATTAATATCATCTAACAAGTATTGCTACAAGTGATAAATGACAATGGTTGAAAGATTGTGATTTTTTTTATTATGTATCTTGTATTGTTCTCCTACGGGAATTAGACGTTCGTTTTGTGCAAAGACTTCTACTCGGACAAAACTAGTACACTTAGACTTCTTCAATACGAACGAATTTGTCTAATTTTACGAACGTTCGAAGATGAAACGTTTAATTTTCCTTTTTGTGTAAGCTCGATTTACTACTTAGTCGGTTTGATTAATTATGTAGATAAAAAAAAAAAAAAAAAAAAAAATAGACGTTCGAAAGTTGCAAAAGGGAATAAAATGTGGTTTTGTAAATTGACAGTTACTTAAGGATATTAATGAAAGCTATGAGTTTTGAATGAAAATACGTATGAGGGGAACGACGGTCTGATTTATAAATAAAACAAAACGACAATGATAATAAAAATATCATCTCGTGTTTATGTTATTTATTAAGAATTAACAAACGTGTCTGACAAAGCAAAACTAAGCCTTCAACCCTTTCTCCCCTTTCCATTACTTTTCCCCTTTATTCTTTTTCTGACACCGTACGACTGTTCCGTGTCGTCGTCCTCGTTATCGTCTTGACGTCTCTTCCGTTTCCCTGATTTTTTACTATCTTCGATGTCCTTCATTTCCTGAAGCAACGCGGCAATGTATTTCATTCTGCTTAGATCGATTAATATTCGGATTAACCAGCGAGGAATAAAAAAAATTTACCATTTTTACAATACGTTGCGCTTCGGCTACTCTTTCTTGTAGGACCATTACTTCCTCCTCTACCGTGGGGTACAACGGTAGCTGTTTAGATATCAATTGTTCGATTCTTTGATACAGCTCCACGTCGTACTGTGTCACGAACGTAATGGATCGACCAGAACGGCCAGCACGTGCAGTACGACCAACTCTGTGTATGTAATCTTTGCTATGCGTAGGTATATCGAAATTTATTACAATATCTACGTGAGGGATATCAAGACCCCTGTAACAATACAGTCGATCAAAACCATTTCTCTCTGCAATTAAATATATTTAATTAAATGTATACAGGGTGTTCGGCCACCTCTAGCAAAAATTTTAATGAGCGATAGTAGAGGCCAAAATAAGACGAAAATCAAGAATACTAATTTGTTGATGAAGGCTTCGTTGCAAAGTTATTAACATTTAAAGTTCCGCCTGTAGAATGACAATCCGGTAAACAGCTGCGTTCGCGCGGACGGTTGCGGCAGGCGAGTGCTAGTGGTTCTCACGCAGCATGAAAAATTCTGCTTACCGACATTATCGACAGCCTTAGATTTTTGTCCACTTATGGGAATGCGAACACCTTACGTTGAATAAGATTCAACCTGTCTTATGAAAATCCAGAAGGGCATATCAAAACTCGTCCGACGAGATTTTCACAGAGAAAGGGTGAATGCCAGTTCCAATACACAATGTTGTGAACAAAAATCACCCACATGCGATTATACACGCCCCACGATTGTCCACAGTGTCCACAAGTATCCACAAATAATCCTTTCAGGCACTAACCACTATGCAATTAAGTAAACACGTACCGCGATTATGTTATTCGTGAATGTCTACGTGTACGTGTATCACGATTCTTCCGAGTTACTTACGAATAAAACTGTTATTAATTTTTCAAATACACTTCAATTTAAAAATGTAAACAGGAATTTAATAAGTATTCGCTGATTGTTTATATCACTGTATTTCTTACATGCTACTTAATACATAACTGAAATGTGTCGCGTGAACTAGCTTGACTGATACTGTTTTACGACTGACTAGCTGGCCGAACACGTGCCGATGCTGCCCTTTGTCTCCGCTGTGTGTGAGAGAGATAAGCGAGGCGAGTGACGTAGAATCGGGGCCTGTTCGGCATATGTTTCTCTGAACCTCGTCGATCGATGGCACAGTCAGCTGCTAGTATTGTTACATTCTTCGCCGTGAACGTAAATCGATGCGAAAATTTCATTTATCCTGCGATTCCTTTTTACATTTTTAAATTGAAGTGTATTTGAAAAATTAATAACAGTTTTATTCGTAAGTAACTCGGAAGAATCGTGATACACGTACACGTAGACATTCACGAATAACATAATCGCGGTACGTGTTTACTTAATTGCATAGTGGTTAGTGCCTGAAAGGATTATTTGTGGATACTTGTGGACACTGTGGACAATCGTGGGGCGTGTATAATCGCATGTGGGTGATTTTTGTTCACAACATTGTGTATTGGAACTGGCATTCACCCTTTCTCTGTGAAAATCTCGTCGGACGAGTTTTGATATGCCCTTCTGGATTTTCATAAGACAGGTTGAATCTTATTCAACGTAAGGTGTTCGCATTCCCATAAGTGGACAAAAATCTAAGGCTGTCGATAATGTCGGTAAGCAGAATTTTTCATGCTGCGTGAGAACCACTAGCACTCGCCTGCCGCAACCGTCCGCGCGAACGCAGCTGTTTACCGGATTGTCATTCTACAGGCGGAACTTTAAATGTTAATAACTTTGCAACGAAGCCTTCATCAACAAATTAGTATTCTTGATTTTCGTCTTATTTTGGCCTCTACTATCGCTCATTAAAATTTTTGCTAGAGGTGGCCGAACACCCTGTATAGAAATGTTTACCTGCTGGCAACGTCTGTAGAAATGAGAATAGATCGATTTTTTGCCTTGAATTTAGTAAGAGCGGCTATTCTTTTGTTTTGCGACATTTGTCCGTGTAATGGAACAGCAGTAAATCCCAAGTTTCGTATAAGAAGAGCTGTTCTGACCGTATTGTTACAAGTCGCGCAAAAGATCATGAAACTGTTGCCCGCTAGCTCGTTTAAAATATGAACTAGATATACGTCCTAAAATATGAGAATGAATGTAAAGAGTTTGGTAAATATTTGATAACAAAGTTACTTGTACCTTGAATTTAACTGGAATGAATATATAGTATTGTTGCAATTTCTCAACAGTCTGGTACTTTGTAGATACTTCCACTTTAACTGGATTCTGCAGAGACGCTCGTTGTAGTTTCTGGACCTTTTTGGTCATTGTTGCCGAGAATAGCAACGTTCTCCTTTCTCGAGGAATTACTCTCAAAATTTTATCTACCTCGACTTCGAAATCTAAGTTCAAAATGCGATCTGCTTCGTCCATCACCTTGTAAAAATAAAATATCGAGTACAAATATTAGATATTTTGTTTTGATTGTAGTTAGGGGTAGCATGAAAATATTAACAATTACCAAAAATTTTAATGAACGTAAATTGAAACCCTTAGTGTTCTCCAAGTGATCGACCAATCTTCCTGGAGTGGCTATTAAGACATGCGGTTTTTTTGCTAATAACAATGATTGAGACATCATGTCCATGCCACCTACTATTACAGCACATTTTACACCGATACTTGACCCTAGAATGTAATACAATCATCAGAAGTAACGGAAACACGTATCCCAAAATAGCAAAATAAATGTAGCTTTTACCTAAAGCTTCAAATTGTTCCGATATTTGAAATGCTAGTTCTCTGGTAGGTGTTAAAATTAAGGCAAAATATCTTTGAGGATTTTCTAATAACGCCTGTAATATGGGGATAGCAAACGCAGCAGTTTTACCAGAACCAGTTTCTGCCAATCCTATTATATCTTTGCCTACAAAATACACATTTTAAAAAGTAACGTACCAATACGATATTTTAGTTTTAGACTTTCAATCGCATGTTATTAAATTTACCCTGTAGTGCTAGTGGAATAGCTTCGTACTGAATTTTTGTAGGAGTTTTCCACTTTAAATCTTCGCATGCTTTACACAAAGCATCTACAATTCCCTATAAAGAAATAATCGTTGAAAATAATATAACTCTGTTGTCATATTATTTTCTTTTAAATACAATGGAAGTATATAACCATAAAATAATAAAGAAAATATAGAATAATTTTTTATGGGTTCTGAAAAGTATTTAAAAATTATTTTCTCATTTTTTAGGTTATGTTACAATCTAAATAATACTTCTTTGATTACTTCAATTGTTAAAAATAATCACCACGGTTGTACCTAACAATACATTGCTATTATTATTTCTTTCATCATTGTTTTTTGAATAGAAATACGCGAAGCAATTTGTTGCATTTAGGTTATATGTATATTAAAGAGATTTCCCAGCCTACCAAATCTTTCCAATTAATTTCCTTTGAATTTTCTTCGTCTACTTGTTTCGTTGAATTACTTTCCTCCATTATTAAATCAATAATTTTTTAGTTCTCGCTTCTATTTATTAAACATCATAAAGAATAACTATAGTAGATACAGTACAGTTTCAAATTTAGTGACGTGTTTTGCAAGTGAGATATCTTAAAATTGAATAAAGAGCTTTTTGCGCTTTTAAACAATTATTAATAATTCTATCAACATTTCAGCCTTAGCATATTTTTATTCTTTAACTTGTATATCTCTAGCATCGTTGCTTTTACATATTTTTTTATATTTTTTGAATTGTTTAAAGTTCTTGATACACGAATCGGATTCTCTCATTAGTAAGCCTAATTCGCAGGAATAGCAATCCAATACGTTTACCAAGAACTTTATTATTAACAAGTAATTTTTTTAACAGCTTGTGTATCTTGGTTTTCTAGTGATAAATAAAACAATGTTAATTTAACGGAAACGCTGGGAACTAAATCCCGATTTTCCCGCTCGGTAAGGTAGAGTGGCGCTGTCGCTAGAAAAACTTGCGGGATATTTTCTATCTTTGTTGCACATTGCATACCTCTACTTTAGTCTCGTTCATCGCCTCCTTTCCCATTCTGTGCTCCTGTTAATATTTTAGTAGGTAGAATCCCAATTTATAAATGGTGCCATATATTTTCGAAACGACCAACGGAACTATCGTTTCCGGTACTTGCTTATATTAATGCATAAATTAAGGTAATGAAAACGTAGTTAATGAAGCGTAGAAACAATTAGTTGTAGTTGTAACAAGGTTTTGTTAAATTAGATTTATTTAGTATTTAGATAAATCCTATGCTCGCATGTGTAAATGTGTTATTCGATCATTTCCCTGTTGGAATGCAAGTAGTGGAGTATTATCCGAGAAGAGGATCTGGACAATTTTACTTAAGCCCAAGGTAACATTTGTTTATTATTAAATTTGTAACAGTAGGTAATTCCAACACATACATGGAACTTTGATAACTACTATCTCTTTTAGTTTAGTAATTTTGGGCGGAAGAATCATGCGTATAAAAGGGAAATAGGTGGAAAAATGTTCCTTCGGATCTCCGCTCGCAGCAACCTCCTTGTGGCGAGTCCTGGTAATTGGTGTTACTCGCGACGAAGCACCAGCGAGTTAATGGCTGCGAATTTAGCGTAATTTATCAGGATGAAAGTGTGGCGTCGCCTCCCATACTCGCCACCAGAGGGGTCGCGCTCTCACAAGCGCTCGACCGACCCCTCGGTTATATAGTATGTACATTCCTCGAACAACTTCCCAATGTTCCAGTCGTCTAAGGCAGGATCTGCTGGAAAGCCTGACTGATGAGTCCATCTAGTTCTCCTATACGACTCTTGCGAGTATTTCGTAAATTTTTGTAACTTCTACGAACGCATGGAACTTTGGACAACAAAAAGAAATTCGAAAAAATAAGTAACTTTTAAGACGGTAACCAAGAGTTATTCGAAGATTTAATGACCGAAAATCGTAGGCTGTTTTTCGATCAGTTAGCGACGTACAAATTAATTTAGATTTATTTCATAAAAGTTAGGTTCACCCATCGGCGAATCTCATACACCTATTCTTCGCTATCTCATTTCTAAACAAATTCTTTATTTCAAGGTTGCCTTCGGATTTCTATGCACCGTCTTCAATGTATATTATCGTCGATGCATCAAACGAGTCTTGCAAACGGACGAAAGTCCCACCGACCCGAGAAAATTCGATCATGGCCGATGAAGACCTCATCCGGACGCACTTCTCGTAACCAAGTCCAAACTTTAAATTCCTTCCTTCGTTTCTCTCAAGATTCTTGCAGAAAAAATACACGACATCCTAGAAAGAAACATAAGTATTCCATTAACACTGGACTTACAGGACTCCGTCGATTCGATGAGTTTTAAATTCCATAGTTAAAGTTAACAGAACTCATAAATATTATTTGTTAGCAATATACGTTAAACGATTAAATTTCTTTTTTGCTTGTTACAGGTTAAATCTTCAACTTCACCGATTGTACGTTATAACAAATTGTTAACGACGGTAATATATTGTTTATTCTATTTTTTGCCAACGCCTTTGTTCAGCACTGTAGGTAACTATAAATTTTACACAAGAAACAAGAAAAAAAAAGTTAAAGCACCTTATAATATTAACGATGTATATATTTAAATACTAGTTACTTTCTGAATTAATTAGCTGCTTTCGCGAATTTGTTATTCGTCTCGTATCCTGTTCCAAACAACTATAGTTCCGAGCACGGGCTTCCTCGATTTTCAGTAAACTGTTTCAATGATAAATTCTCGTCGCCGCCATTCACGTTATCGTACGTAACTGGTTAATTCACTTGTTACGTAAATCCCGGCACAGTCTGCGAATCGTCGGCCAATTAGTTTGCGTCGTTTTTATCGTACCGTCACGGTTCATGAAAAAAGTCACCGAAATTTTTGTGCACGGTCAACTTTTACCGAGAAAAATTTTCCATCGAGAAAAACGTCTTGTATCGTTCCAAGGAAATCGAAAACAGGAAGTGTAAAAATTTTCGATTCGCGGCAGTTGCGGCGATATTTCAACGCTTTGACGGCCGCTGTCACGTGTACGTGATTTTACCCGTTTCAGTTTTAACGCCATCATTATGGTATCCTTACGCTTATAATCCCTTATAATAATATTCCTAGCATCCTCGTGCGCTTTATTTTGATCTATAATGCCATTAGAGAAAACTATCTCAAGTTAATATAGAAAGCAGTTAATAGTTCATCGAGTCGTTCAAACAAAGTTAATCGAAAATTTCAATTCCCATAAATTCATGATTCAGAAATAGTTTGCGATGTGAGTTCCTAAGAATGAAGAAGTAAGCCCGCCTAAATGGAATCGCCTAAATATCTTCCTTTCTGTACGAGATTTCAAGGTGTTCGAAATTTTTTTAAATAGAACACCAACCCTGGGAAAAATTTTAATGGGGGATTCTAGAGGCCAAAGTAAGACGAAAATCAAGAATAGCAATTTGTTGATGGAGGCTTTGTTAAAAAGTTATTAATGTTTAAAGTTCCGCTCGTACTGAATTTTTTTCTCGAAAATGCGCAAGATTTCGAGGGTATGTCTATTCACCAAAAATTATTGTAATTGATCCCCACAACCGAAAATAATTTTTCCAAAATGATTTGAAATTTTTTTTTTCCGTCGAAAAATATCATACCTTTTCGAATTTTTTTCTACAAAGTGGGTAGGATTTCGAGGGTATGTCTAATGACCAAAAATGGTTATAATTGACCCCCGCAATCGAAAATAATTTTTCCAGAACGATTTGAAATTTTTTAATTTTGTCGAAAATCATCCGTTCTCGAATTTTTTTCTAGAAAGTGGGTAGGATTTCGGGGGTATGTCTATTCACCAAAAACGATTATAATTGACCCCTGCAACCGAAAATAATTTTTCCAGAACGATTTGAAATTTTTGAATTTAATTGTTAATAACTTTTTAACGAAGCCTCCATCAATAAATTGGTATTCTTCATTTTCGTCTTATTTTGGCCTCTAGAATACCACATTAAAATTTTTCCCAGGGGTAGTCGAACACCCTGTATTTCTTTTTTTACGTTTTTATAGTACATAAAAGAACAAATTCAACGACCTTCTAAAAGTTAACCGAAAGGATAACTGAACCATTTAGAATAGAGACACTCTCTCTAATATTTACGACGATACCGACAAGGTACGTGAATTGATAAAATTTATATTTGCACGTTTGTTTGATGATAAAACTACGTGAAATTATTTGAGTATTTATAAAATGTCGAATTGCAAAATTTCAGGTCAAGAAACAGTTAAAACTCTTCTGAAACATCGGCCATTCAAAGTGTTAGAAGAGGGTAGTCGAATCAACATGGTAAAATTAAACAATAATAATATATTTTATTTACGAGTTTGGTTTCCCTCGTATACAATAATACAATATAAAATATATAAACTATATAAACAGACGGGACGAACGTATTAAATCTTCTACGGTACAGTTTTCCACTCGAGTATACGTGTCTCAGTCGGAAAAAATTGACTCTATCAGCGTGAATACTTTTCCAAATTGTTTATAAAATGTAAAAGTATTGTACTTGTAGTAGATAATCGACTACCGGATACAGAAAAGCCAAAGTAGAACGCTTCGACGGAATCGACTAGCTCCAGTTTCCATTGCGTTGCAATTTTTACTATTATCTACACAAATCATGGAGGTGTATTATAATATGTGAATATCATCAATAACATTGTACAGCGTGTCCAACGACGAACAAAGGCAAAAGAATTGAAGTCTATACTCGACAAATTCTCATATCATAAACTACCGATAGAGAAACAGTAAATTTGAATTGTTCAGATTTAGAAATTTATCGTAACTTTAAGTAAAAATAACGAAAATATTCATATGATGAGTCGATCGATCTACTTTTCTGAAAACTTAGAAATCACTTTCATTCCGAATTTTCATAGAAACGACACGCACTGTGCGTGTAAAAGAAAAAAAGAGTCAAAATTAGCGATTGACGTATACTTTATTGAAACAAGTGTTTGCGCCGAACCCGAAGTGTCGTGATAACGAGTAACGCAAAGTGGTACAGAGGTCGGTCGCGGATTTTTTATGTGCTTAAAATATTAATAAATTTCCAATCGCCGACCCGTCCTGGAAAACATTTTCCGTCGTGAAATGGTCGCGTTGCCCTTCGCGCGTTCGAATTCTCGAACGCGACGCGTGTATCGTAATACGCTATAAATAACGGATACTGTCACGAAGGTAAGAAAACTGTTGCCCGCGATACGTCGGTGGGATAGAATCGGCGGGCAAAGATGTTTAAGGAGATACTTAACTTGTCCGCATGAACGCGTCGCATAGCGCTTATCCACATAGGCGAAACGGCGCTCGAGATTACCGTGCAGCCAAAAACGTTTCGTGTTAGATTTCCCATAGTGCTTATTTCTGTTTTTTTTTTTTATTTCAGTTTCAACGGCGAGAAGAACACGTCGAGAGTCGTTCGCGGCGCCGTACCGAATCGGAATCACGTGAATTCGCTGCGTACGCGGATCGACCGGCAAAGAGCGAGGATTAATTTCGCCGCGACGATCCGTAAACCGGCGAGCGGACCACTGTCATTCACCGCGAACGATTTACGAGAAGGAAGTCGTTTAGCGGGGCCACACGGCGCGACTACCGTTTCTAGCACAGTTGACAACGCCGGGAACCGCGAGGTTTACGTTACGAGGCGCTGGAAAGAACTGGCCAACCAGGAGCCAACGAAACGAGATTCCTGTTATTCCTTCCTCCTCTTGAGTACGCCGTTGTCTTACCTTGCCTTGCCTCACCAACGTCATCGTACGCGATCATAGTCGTGGCTCGTCATCTGACTCCGTGCTGCGGCGTCTGACGTCATCCCGAAGAACTCGAACGCTGTCAGGCGGCCGATAGAATTCGAAGGCGCTTGGAACTTGTACGCACGAAAGTATTCGAACGCTCGCATTTACATCATAATTACACCGCGGGACAAAAGGATAGCACACTTCCAAATTATTCTAATTTCTGTTTATTCAACATTAGAAATTCAGCTTTTTGTATGCACAGAGTCGCTCGCGGCGAATATCGTCCACCGTGGTTAAGTATGCAAATGAAATTTAGAAAATAATTCGACGATATATTTGTTGTAAACTCGTGCCAGATGCGGCTCGCAGAGGTATTTCTACGGAATATTGAATAGTTACTTGAATCAACGGATCGAAAGTTTTGAGTAATTCTACGTGCAAAACTAATTAAAAAATAACAAATAACAGTTTTCGCGTTCGAGTCGCCATTTTCCAGATAACTGAATTTGAAGACATGCGATCGAATACGATTTGGCTGGGGCGTCTGGCCATAATTCTCTTTTTCTACTTGTGGTCGAAGTCAAAGTAGAATCGCGTGTTGCAAACCAACTTTACTTTTTATTTGCAATTCAGAATCTATCGTCGGGTTCTTTTAATCGATATCTGGATAACCTAAGTAATCGAGAACCTAGAGTCGAAAATTTTTATTCGTTGTTCGTGAATTAAAAATTGGTTATCCCGCTGTTCCAAACGGTCGTATCAAGATGTGTCAATGTTGTAGTTGACGATGGTATTCCGGCCGACGTTGGCAACTCTCCTGTGTCGGTTAACCTGGCCCAGAAACTAAGCCGGAACTGTTGGAGGAATCAATGACCTTGGCACAAGTAATGCCAGGACACGCGTCTGCGAGGAAGAAAGTTCCATTTGCATCTGTTGCGCTGCGAAGCGGAATCGAAAATTTCACGCTCACGGTCAAGACTCGGCTGTTTGTTGTTTGAAACAAGAATAAAGAATAGCGGTAAGTAATTATCCGGACAGAAGCAGAAACATGGCCATGAATGAATTTTATTTCGTTCGAAGCAAATTGCACCGTTTTATTTAGCGCTAGATCCACGGAATTTTAATTTGTCTTCGTGCTTAACACTTTGGCGGCCGCTGTCACGTATACGTGACTTTGCGAGCTAGCAGACGTTGGCCAGTGTCACGTATGCGTGATCTACCGTATCAGTCACCATTTTCATCGTACATTCAACTTATTACGTTTGTTGAGGTTACATTTTTAATCCTAGCATTTTAAAGTTACAAAACGTATAAATATCACTCGTTACCAATGTATGTCGTATTTGTATATGCAGGGTGTGTCGGCCACCCTTGGGAAAGATTTTAATGGGGGATTCTAGAGACCAAAATAAGACGAAAATCAAGGATACCAATTTTGTTGATGGAGGCTTTGTTAAAAAGTTACTAACGTTTCAACGAATGAATTAATATTTGTATTTTACAATATACTTATCGGACGGTTTCCTAAAGAAAAGTTTAATATTTAGTTTCAAATAGAATTAGAGATAAATATTCGATCAATATCTCAGTGATAGGTAAACGGTTGAAATTTTCAAGAGGAGGGAAATGAATATAGAAACAAATTTCCGTTTCCATGATGCAATTTTTGTATGCAATAAATCACGTTTTTTTTTTTTATTCAATTTACAGATATCCAGGAAAACAAATCACAGCTTATCATGTTAAATACAATTCAAAATGGCGAATGGGATGGACAGTATTACGAACATTCGCGAAGAACAATAGAAAATCTGTAGTTGCAAGCATACCATACTACTAAAGGTTATTTCTATTACGTTACACATACATAGACATACACGATGAAAATATTCGATTTTTTTTTTTTAAATTCATTACGTTTCTTGTCCTTCGCGCGGTTTTTATAAGTACGATAATCAAGTACTTCCTGTATATACAAATTAGTCAGAAACAATTTCTCTTCAAAGACTATTAAAATCTACAACAGATCGGTTCGAAAATAGTTCGTCCAACACGTGAACGTAAAACGTTATCAAAAAAACCTCTTGTAAAGAAGAGATATCTAATGCAAATCAAAAAGAGCTAAAGCGAAATCAAGATCACCAGAAATTTGGAGGAAGTTGACCGTCGGGGGGTGGTATGAAACCTTTCGTTAAACTATTCTTCAAAAATTCGTTGAGCCGTACCAACGGCCCACCGCCGATGCATCCCACACTTTGCATGTGCGGACAATATTCTTCCGACAATAAAATCAATAATTTATGAAACTGATTTGGGTACGCGGTCCACAGTGCAGCCCCCGCCACTTCCAGCATGTCCAATAAAAGGGTTGCACAAAGATCCGTTACGTCTATCTGCGGTTCTGAAACGAAATTATACACATCAACGATAATACAACTTAATTATTCATGTTTTACCGCAGCTTAATTACCGATATTTAAAACAGCGGCTAGCCATCGCCACGCATTTTGAAGTCCGTGTGGATTAGTTTTATTAATGCCTTTTCTTTGCGACGTGATAGTAATTGAAGCGTATAATCTCATTAAACCAGACATTCTTTTCACAAATTTCTCATACGTCTCGATCGTGCCGTCATCGTTATATTTATATCCCAACGACTTGTAATAATTTTCGTTCGATTGGTCTGCGATTTTCGGCAGAAACACGGGAATCGTGAACGGACAAGAGGTATGAAAATGTGATAGAATCAAATCGCCGAAATCAGAATGATCGTTCCAAAGTGCTACGATTATCGCGGCTATTGGAAATGCCATTTTTGGTTTGCTCGAAACTAACGTTTCACCTTGGTTCTGTTGAAAAATATATATTACATTCGGTACAGTTCGTTAAAAGTATGTCCTCCCTTAATACAAATTGTACGAAAGCTGTATAAAATTACGTACAACTATTTTTTTAGCCAAAACATCTTTGCAGAATGCCGGCCCCTCCGGATGTTGATTGATATTTGGCGACGATTTTCCCATTAGAAGATTATGTAATCTGTCGTATTTGTCTCTAAGATGCCGTTCGTCGAAACTAGAGATTGCATTTATAGGTATATTTATCGCTTTCTGACATTCGAATCGAAACTTTTTCATACTCGCAGACTGTAGAAGTTCCTGATAACTCTTTGCATAATTCTCCAAACATTGTTGGCTATTCAAGTACATTTGTAAAAATTCCTTATCGACATATTCGTACACATGATCTGACAACAGAAACAAAATGTTTATTCATTTTTCTTCAATCGAAGGGATATTTAAAGGGGATCAAACTGTCTGTTATTTGTATATTTTTTTTTGTAATATCTTTACCTTCGTGTTTGTCTTCATTATTTTGAATATCGCTAATGCTCGTCAATACTGGAGCAATTGCCTCACAATTATTTTCAGTATTGTCAATTGTTTGGGTTTGTAAAACTTCGGATTGTACGTGGCATTGCTTTGCACTTTCCATATTAGCTAAATTTGCTTCGTACTGAGAGTTTATCCTTTCTAAAATATATAAAAATTATACGTATCGCATTTTCATCGAAGTTACAGAAAATAAAAAATCACAGAAATTTCTCACCTATTTCCGATTTAAAAGCAGACAATATTTCACCGATTAGATCAACCATTTTTTCTGTAACATTCAAATCGGCGGATGTTACATCCCCTGCCTGTGCATAGAATACGCAAGTTATGTTTACGAACGTAATCGTTTAAAAATGTTTTTCAGCGTTATTTCTTACCTTAACTTTCTCATTTATACACTCCATTTGATTATGCAAGTCTTGTAATTTCACAGTGTAAGAAGATAATACGTTAGTAACAGAACTCTCGTCTCTACAATTTTCAGAGAGAGTTATAATGTCGCAATACATGGTTTTAAACGCATTTCTAAAGGTCATTATTTTTTTAGTCAACTCCTCTTTTTCTTTCATTCTTTTTCTATATTCTTCGAGTTCCATTTGCCGTTCCAGTCTTTTACGTATTTCTTCTTGCTCTACAATCTTTTCCTCCGCCAATATATATGCATAATTCTCTTTACTTTTACGCTCGCGTTCTTTGGCCATGTGAGAGCGAGATATTTCCATATGCTCTTTTATAGCTTCTCCGCTTTCCTTCATATGCTGGCAGTGACGCTCGATCTCCTTCTAACAATACAAAAATAATACATTTTGTTATCAAATTTGTTAAACGCGCCTAAGATAGAATGTTTTCGTTTTGGACTCTGTAACGTTAAGGGCTTGGGCCTATATTTCAAGCGAAATAACAGTCGCCTGATATTCTTCTTACCCAAACTTCTTCCTTCCTCTGATATTCGCTTTCTAAAAAGATTTTTTTTATTGAGAATGTTATGCCACTCTGCATAGAGATTTTATTATTCTGCATTTGACCGGGCTTCTGCGAAGGTTTGATATTGCATATATTCTGTTCATTTTCTATATTCTCGGATTTCTTTGACTCGTTTTTGATCGCCGTCGAATTTGAACCAATTAAAATCCCGTCTTTCAGTCTCTCCGATATGCGAGAAACTTTCTTTAGAGCCGATACTTTGATACAATCAAAGTCAGAAACGATATCGTCTATGTTTTGCATCTGTCAAAACATAAAAGTTTATACTCGAAGCCCGCGATAAAAGAGCGTAAACAACGTTTACGGGAACCGTAGAAGTATACTTACTTCTTCTATTTTGTCTTTAGCGTTAATGGAGCGTGGCATCTTGGCGGCGCAACGAAAATAGAATATAACTTAATAAATTTCGTGTAATAGGATATTTACAAAAGGTTAAAAAGTTCTGTTATAACCTATAAACTTATTTTTGCTGACATTTGCTCTACATATATACAAACACAATTTCATATGTACTTCAGTCACAGAGTAACATCTTACTCTATGCTCCAGCCGTGACGTTACGATAGAATACATCTATGAACTCTATTTTAGAATACTGGTATTATTCGAAAATGTCGTAAAAGCTGCTGCATAGAAATACTTGTTCGTGTACGTTAAAGACGCGCTGTATTAATTGAGACTCGTTTTCGCGTGATAATAAAAGGACAGGTAACTCTAGTTACTCTAGTACGAGCCATGCTCAGTACAGTAAAGCGCGGGAGTCCGATTTTCCACTGAATAGACAGAGACGCACAAATACTGCGTACTCTTTCTATCAAGTGGAAAATCAGACTCCCACAGTTTTATTATTTCTCGTTTAATCGATTGTGATTAAAATCACGGCTTCTCCTGTCATGGAAATTCATAACAGTTTTCGATATACAAGAAGCTTTCTTTAGAGCCGATACTTGGAAACAATCACAGTCAGAAACGATGTCATTTGTGTTTTATTTAAACAACTTCTATATTTACTATAAATTATTTTTCATTTATATCTATGAAAGAGTAAATATAGATAAATATTGAAAAGGAAATTTGTTGGGGAGGTATGAAATTTATGATTAATGTAAATAAATGAATTAATATCAATTTTAATACAAACAATCGTTACACAGGCATCTAGCTCTGGGCCCGAAAATACCCAGGCGTGGTCTAGCAAGGGTTAATCAAATCTTTAACCAATTTAAACAAAAATATATATATTTCGTCGGTTTATTCAACTCGTATTACAATTTGGATATAGTTTGATACATTTAAAAAAGTGAATTTTTAGAATTGCAAACCATCCTATCTTTGGTTATATTACAAAACATCGCCTTAATGTGGCGATATGGCGGTGCAGTGCAGTAATTATAATAAAATTTTATTCTTAACCAAATTAAATAACCGGTTAGCGTGACCTGGTAACTTTATTATAGAAGGGCAAGAATCATTGTGGCTAGTATACTTGGTACTGTATAGTACGCGTTTAATACGCTCGGTGTAAACCAAGTCGAAGACATTTTGAATCGGATCGTTGGAAATTTCAAACTTACCTTGCAAATAAATTTGATCGTATTATCGAATTATTGCCCTTTTCACGCGATGTAGGAAGTATGACTGACTTGTTTACAAAAATTTTGTTACCCGACCTGTTTCGTTTGGAACGAAGCAATGAATAACTAACACCTCTGCGCTGTAAATTGTTGGTTGTTAGTAAAGGAATTATGTGCACGTTCGAGAGCAATTGTATTTGTTCCTTGTATTGACACGTAGGTTAGCTTTTTGCAAAAGGTTGAAAAGAAATACCAAGACCTTCGCGTATATTCGAAAAACATGGACGTGGAAAAAATTGCTGTGTTCGCTAGCGTAGGATTTGCAATAGCCGTTGCAGCGTTTATTTTATGGGGTCCTTCCCCTAAACCTAGAAAAAAAGGTACATCATAAGTGTCTTTGATCTGTACAGTTTTTAGAAAGAAATGTTTCGTTTCTCTACTGGTGGAAAGTGTTTCATTGTTGTACGAATCTTTTTTTAGGAAAAATCATAGGAATCAATAATCTAGGGTATACTTGCTTTCTAAATTCCCTTTTACAAGCATTAGCTGCGTGTCCAATATTTGTTGGATGGTTGAAAGAACAGTGCGAGAAAAGTGGCAAAGTTACCTTCATTTCGACTTTGCTCTCTGTTTTCGAAAGTATGTCGTAATTTTACTATTAAAAACTTACGTAACATCGATACAAATTATATAATTGATATAACAATAATCTGTATATCGAACTAGAAAATATTATAAGAAAAATATAAAGGTTTATCAGCTCGCGATACAACACACCGATACTAATAGATAGAATTTGGTTTGTTAGAAATCAATGGGTATGCAGAGGATCTGTACGGTGATGTAACACCAATCGAGATAATTTCGTCTCTTGGTAATCTGTGGAATTTTGCACCAGGCCATCAAGACGCGCACGAACTATTTCACGTTGTACTTAATGCATTGCAAGCAGAAATTCAACCTGTAAATAGGGTATGGCTCTTCATAAACAGAAGTTATTAAATAGACGTTATACGTACAGCGAACAACTAAGAATTATTGACAAAAATCATTTCAGAAAGGTTGCTTGTCCGATGCTTTATTGCAAAGTCCAACGATGGTAGTAGATGCAACAAACGCGAGCAATTCGTTATCCTTTAGAAGCGTATCTTGCAACGATATTGTATCTGTCAATAGAAATCCTAATACTCCGAACGGATTTGATAGAAATTGTAACAATCATGTAATGTCTTCAACGCCGTCGATATCGAGTATTCCTATCGCGTATAATAAGCCTGGTATGATCCTTGCCAGATCTTCAGAACTGCTTTCAAAGAATATCGGAGCTGGAGAGAATAAAGAATCGTTTAGATTGTGGAACTCTTTATGTGCCATACCTGTTTCTAATTCTTCATCGATGTCCATAGAAGCTCATCCATTTTCGGGTTTATTAACTAGTCAATTACAATGTAGTAACTGTAAATGGAAGGTCAGTTCTTTGTTTGGATGATCTCGTTATCGCATTTCATTATATGGAATAAATGTAAATATTTCTTACAGTCTGCCGTTCATTACGACAAACTCGAAACAGTTTCGTTAGCTTTGCCGCCCCTGGGACCACATATTAGGTCACATTATACATTGGAAGAACTGTTAGCACGTTTTGTAACTAGCGAAGTTATTCAGGATGTGTTGTGCGATGGATGTGAAACGCGTTGTTTATCCACCAAAACCTTAACTCTTGGCAAACTACCCAAGTGTTTGTGTTTACATATATCAAGAACTACGTGGAGTAATTCTGGAACACCAATTAAGAGAGACGATCCAGTAACATTTCCACAAATATTAATATTGGATCCTTATACTTTCACAGAAACTAAAAAACGAAATGCACGGGTAAGGTGGACATATCTTACATTAATAAATGTATTTTCATGTTTCGTGTATATTGAAAATGGTATATATATTCAGCAGGGTGAGCCCGAAGCAACTATGTTGCTCGCTAATCGCGCATCATTAACGGATAAATACAAGTTTCAACTGCGCGCGATCGTGGAACATCGTGGATCTGTTGATTCTGGGCATTTTGTTTGTTACAGACGAGGAAATAAATTGGATCAATGGCTGTATACATCAGACAACGTAGTTGAAAGCATATCTTTGATCGAAGTTTTATGTGCCACGCCATACCTTCTGTTTTATGAACGTATTAATAGTAAATAAGTATAGTTGATAACGAATTTTAGTCGTCGTAAGAGAGGACGTCGTTTATTTTCCTTAAAAAGTTATCCAAATACTGATCTTTCTCGATTTCTACAGGTTTATAGATTCGTATGTGGATCGTCGAAATATGATACTAATATTTTATCCAAACCAAATTGGATAAAAACTGAGTGCACAGCTGTTCTACCAAAAAAAACTTTTTATTTCAATTTTGTTTCTTGTTTCTTCAAACAACACAAGTAACACTTTTATATGTTCATACTATGTTTTAGATTTGGAATGTAAGAGTTACAAGCTCTTTGTCTATCAACATTTTAATATTTATATTATTTTGTTTACCTATTGTCCTCAACCCCATTCATTTATCTACATTATATAATTTCTCAAACATTGTATATATTATCAATGGCATTAATAAATACAGCACTATTTCGTTGCAAAGGTTATTATAGGTGTTTCAAAATTAAAAAACAAATAATCTTATTTAAATAACATATGATACATGTAAAGTGCCAAAAAACTAATATATCGCTGTTTTTATCAACAAAAGTGCTTAAATATTTTCAACTATTCGAAAATTTGTTTTTGAAAAGTTGCCTCGTTTCTCCGTTCCCCTGCAATTTAGAATAAAAAAAACAATCATCTTTGGACGATTCGTATGCAAATTTACAAACTGCAGAAACGAAAGAAAATTCATGTTTTGCTAACTCCTTATAGAAAGTTAGTAATGTTTTTTCAGAAACGATGAAGAAGCATGCTAATTTACAATAACATAATAATGAGGGAATTGAAGAGACTGCTCGGGTATTAGCGGTAGCTTCTGATATAATTATTTATTATATAAGACATGAGAATGCTTTATAAAGGGAGTTTTATTATTTTTTGCATGTATCATACTTCTGTTAGAATAATACTTGGAACGCGAAAGCAAAATGCTTACCAGCATTCGGGGTTTGGTAAATTTTATTTACGAATAACAAATGATTATTTTAGATTTATTCGTAAAATAATTTCCGTTCACGTTTCGATTGAAAATTTCATTCGTAAATTATCATTCGTAAGTCACCCAGATATGGGTGACGGCGGGGTATTTTAAACGCACATTTAAGCGATCGAAACCACGGACAAAGCTCGTTTACGAGTGAATCTAAAATTTGTATTGTTATTTACGAATAAAATTTTCTCAACTTTGCCAGTATTATTTCTTTGTTTGTGTCAAATAACAACTATTCTGTCCACTAATAGAGAATCTACAGTTTTATTTGGGATCTTAATCACGATGTCAACGGTAGTCTTTACATCGTATAGTTGCGATAGAATGTAACCGACGCGTCATTACTCAAGTAGCGTATAATTTTCAATTTTAATTAACTAGTACAAGTCCTTTAATTTTATTAATAGAGATCGAATGTAATCAATGATTTAGCCATGGTAGCGATGTTTGTATGCCTAAGGCCAATGATAATGCAGAGTAATCGTACTTTTAGGTGCCTCGATTAACCATTTGGCGGATTTCATGTATTGCAGAGGGGAGGAAAAAGATAACGAAATCGTGGCAAATCAATTCATCGTTTTATATGGTGTGAATCGCTGTTTTGTATAACTAGAGCTTGTGAATTTGTTTCTAAATATCTACCGAAGCAATTATTCATAACGAAATATACATATAATGAGAGTCTTCTTTAACTTGATCATCTAGAATACCCTCATTCCTTTTAATGACATGGACAAAGTCGGGCAAACAGATTGCTTGAATTGAACAGGTAAATATTTTCCAAATTAGCAAACACATTTTTCACAAGATATTAAAGTCAATAACATTGTTTAAAATAGAAATATTTTTATTAACACAATGACGCAGTAGTGACCCAAGAAAAGAAATTTAACCATATAGGATACGTTGGCTCTGAAATGATTTTAAACAATAAATGTCACGATTATATGAAAAAAAGGACTAGATGCTCAATTTAGAGCAGCATTTCTCAAATTGAAGTCCGCGTAGACATTAGTGGGGGGGGAGGGAGGGGGTCCACAAGCTCTTCGAAGAACAAAAAATATTATGGGAAAAACATTTTTTATTTCACGATACATCTTTTAATAAGTCTTTTAATAAAAATGAAATATTATAGGAAGAATTATTCTTATTTTGCGATGCAATATATCTTTTTATTAAAAGTAAACCTTCTAAGCTAGAGTACTAAACAATCGACAGTTTTTAAATGAATTATTTGCTGAAATACATATAATTTTACTGTCATTAAGACTAACCGAGGATATAATAAATAAACACAACCATAAATTTATAGATTTTTTTTATTGTTATTTTAATCTTTATATTACATAATATTAAATACATATATTGTATAGTTATAACAAATTATTCTTTTATAATAGACTCGGATACATGGAAGAATTGCTTTTATATTAATAGCTTCTTTAATAATTGTTTTAGAATTCAAGGGGTTGATTGTTCTTCGGTGAATATCTTAGTTGTCCAATCCGAGCAAAGGTTCTATTTTCAACAAAATTATATCAAATAACATTAAAAGACTCGGTGAATTTTGAAGAACTGTGTTTATGTATTCTTTGATATTGTTGCGAGTTTGAAAATTATTATACAAATTATATAAAAGTGTACTGTTAAACAAATTGGCAACCTTTGGCTGCAGATAAGGATAATCTAAAAGCATATTCAAGTCCATGATCGATTTCAAACAAATTTGGAATTCTGCAAATGCATGAATAATATTTCTATTATACGAGTATCGAGAGATTTGAAAATGAGAAATAAAAAATGGTGCTGCTAGTAAACAATCACTAAGCTTAATATTATTGTAGGCATCAATAATCATAGTATTTTTTAAATCGCATTGCTTATACTCAAATTCATGGCTTTCGGATGGATCATTTCTTTCTCTCTTCTTCTTTATAGCCTGAATTACTTCGCTATATATCATTTGAAAATTTCGCAAAGAACGAATTTTTCCAATCTTTAAATTTATTATACTGGAAAATATACAAAAAAGCATAGCGTATATAAAATGTTTATGCGATTTAGATGGGATTTGTTGTTCCTTCCAATATTTCATGCAAGCAATATACAACCTCCATTCTGGTAGAAGTTCATTAAGACACTCCATATTCGTAATTCCTAAAGTGTTATTTAAAATTTCTGTTCTTGCGATCGATGTAATTTTTTTAAGATTAGACAAAGGTATAGTATTAATTCCTTCTACTTCATGCCATGCAAGCTCGTTGTTCTGATTTCTCATCATATATTTCATAGTAGCTGTTTCACTGTTGTTTGTTTCAAAGTTTAGAAGCCCGAATATAACTCTAAGAATTGGTAAACTTATCGCAGCACTCGAAGGATTTAGAAAATTGTCTATTTGTATCGGGTAAACAAATAATTTAAAAATTGACAAATGTATGAAATATCCTGTATATTTACCTGTATAAAATTCATCTAGGAACCATGTAGGTAAATTATCAATAGCTGTTTCAATGACTGATTTCAATTTTTTACATTCGTTCATTATTTCATCTACGTTTTCTTTTCCTTTTTCAATTTTTTCTAGGTTTTTATTCGCAGAGTCATTAAGCCCCTGAATATTATATTTTTCAGGGAATCCCAATGGAACAAGCATTTCTGCAGATGGATTTGTATAATTATTTATATTGACTTCTATTATATTTAACACTTCTTGTCGCATTGGTTCAGATATGGTATTCAAAATTTCAGTAATTGCTTCCTCCAAGGTATGTTTACTCAACCAATTAAAAGTTACTCCTATAAGTAATTGGCGATATTCAAATTTGGTATGTATGTGTGGTAATTTAAAAAGATTGAAGAAGTTTTTGAACAAATTATGGTCTGTAATGTCATTCCCTAGCAATACTGCAGCCAATGGTAACATACATTGGTTTAAGCCTTCGAAAGCATTCAATAAGTGTTCGATTCTATAAATTTTACATGGCATTCTATAATTTTTTGTAATTGGATCCCTGACTATACAGTCACTTAATGTATCGAACCGTATATATTCAATTCCATAGAGATAAAAATCAGAATCGTAACTTAGTACAGGACAATTCAATGCCTTTGCTACTGCGGCTGTACTATTATCAGCATCAAATAAACATTGTACAAACCGAATATTCAGCTTTTTCATAATGTCCCTAAAAACTGTCACTATCATTAAAGGCAGTAAAACCTGTTGCTTGTAAGGTATAAAATTACATGCCATATAATTTTTTTCTTTGCACCTCTTTAGAATTCTTTCTAGTTTCATATCACTGTAACCACCATCAAGTATAACTAATGGTGTTACATTACATTTTAATAAAGCATTAAAGAAATCGGACGTGCATTCAGCATATTCATCATAATCACCACCGTAATCAGAATTACAATTTGCATGCTCATATAATTGACAACAAGTACTGTTACCATCAATCACTAAATACGTATCATGCAATTCAAAATATTTAAAATACCAATCATAATTCTTGTTTGTGTAACTTGTCAAACCGAAAATACCCATTTTTAATTTTCTTAGACTTTTTCTTAACGATCAAACTTATCTATTAAATGCGCTTACGCGTTCAAACTTCTGCGTAACGTCAGTGTAGCCAGATTTGATATAATTTAGTGTATCGTCATCGACACTAAAAACAACGAACTTACGGAGAGTTGGGAATACCAGAGCTATTGCAACTTCGGGGAATCGAGAAAGAAGGCGAGTGTGAGCCTTTCCTTCAATGTATTGGAGACGGATGTTTGGATCGTCGTGAGCTCCCCTTTGATCCCTTCTCCTAAGTGTGTAATTCCTGGAACTTGGGCCGTGCGCTATCGATAGCCGGAAACGGGCTGCGTGGAAAAGCCGATAACGAGCTGGGCCTCGACCGAACGGCAGAGCGACTTCACTTGAATCCGGAGATCGAAAGTGAACGGACGTATCATTATAACTTAAGCGAGATCGTACTTGTATTATTTGAGTTAGTTAATAGAGTTGAATCGGCAACGAGAGAAGCATCTTGAATTAAGAGAGCGGAAGTGTACGAAAGGGTTACAAGATTCCTGCGAAATCTTGGTTGTTTTGTTTTATATTCTTTTATTGAGTTAATTAAAGTACTATTTACGTGTGTTCAAATCCTTATATCCATTTATTATTTTCCTTACCTAGCGATCATTATTTGAAACTCCCGCGTCCAAGGAGCAGAGTGCCTTAGCACTCCACGGGCAGCGTTCCCCGCCGAATTCCCTACGGAGAGTCGGAAATACGCCGCCGGACGCGCAACAGCGCAAAGCGCGGGCAGGGGAAGGATACCGGAAGTATGCTTAGAGCGATTCCCGGTATCCTCCCAAATCGTGCGGAAGGGTCACCGTGGGGTTCTTAGTGGGTAAGTCCCGCGCCTATAATAACGGGCGCGGGGAATACCACACACCCCTCCCGCCTTTCCCCAAAGAGGCGGGAGGGAGTCTGTCGAAGATTTTCCCCACGACAAAAAAAACAAAGTCATATTCCAACCTAACCATGTTAATAGCATATGTACATAGGCACAAACAAAATTTCTTTTTGTTTAATAGTCGCAATGTGTGTAGGGATAAACGGGAATACCAGTACGACACGTGTTCCTTGCTCAGAGCTTTATTACGACTGTCGTGGCGTGGCGCCCTACACGGCTGCCACCCCAACTCCATCTAGGGATTTTCCCCTAGGCGCTAGTGTCCCCTACATGATCAGGGAGTCTTAAAATGCGTAAAAATGGGGGAATCGAGATTTGGTAATCGTATGCCGATTGTCGCGTGGTCGAGTTTCAGCTGTTACAAGAGCAAGAAGGAAAGGCTGACCACTCTCCATCTTTCTCGATTTCCCGAAGTTGCGCTAAGGAAGTTCGTCGTTTCTAGTCGTCGACGTCGATACACTCAATTATGCCAAATCTGGCCACACTGCCACACTGCATCCACCCATGTTGGCCAGTGAAACAAGTGTGGTAGCTGCCATCTTTGAGAATGAATTAGGTACGCGCGACGTCTGGTTAATGCCCCATGCACTAGTACATTTCATGGAGTCTGGAGTGTGTAGTACAGCGAGTTTTTTTTACGCTGCTCTATATCTATACACACACACACATCATATATGGGTGATGTGCGCGTATGGTGCTCGCATTTTGTGTGTGCATGCGCGCATTTCGTATCTGTGGGAATTTGTGTTTCATAATTTTCATCGCAAACAAAACGATTAGGAGTGACGTTGCTGTTAATATGCTTTTTTCTCGATTCTTTCTAAGTCTCGGTGCCACATGATACTCAACTGTTATACATTTCGTTCAACAGAAGTAGAGTATCGTTGTAAACGCAGTGATACGTGTAAAAAAGTAAATTCTAGCGACCGTGGATGACACGAAAATGTTCCCACGTTCCCGCTTCGCAAGCTTGTGTCATGCGTGCGTGTAAAATTCCTAATCAAGGAAATGAACGCCCAGGGGCAGGAACATGGTCATGCTGTAGTCGTTTGGGAATGGGAAAATCGTCACGGACGATGGAGGCCCTATAGTCCCGCAGTATCGCAACACCTCGAGAGGGCATATTGCAAGAAACTTACACGGGTCTTTCTTAACGATGCCGACCCAAATTTGGATAGGTTCGATTTTAAATATCGTTTTGTTTATGTACTAGATTTCCCAGACAATCTCTGAAAAATCATAATTCTTAGATTTGAGTTACAAAGTATTATTCAATAATTTAAATCTACCGGTTAGAATTGTTTGTTACTTTTTTGTTACGTGTACCTCCCATAAATTTCACGATACTTTTATTTATCCTTGTCAGTCAATAGTAGCGTTCCTTTCGTTCATAGCTAATGACTTTTTATGTTTGATACTATAAAATAACGAGAATCCGAGAGCTATGTATACTCATGTTGCTAATATTTGAAACAGGTATTACATAAATTTGAAAACTAAAATGCAATGTAGCGAGGATGGAGATGAAACGCATAATGTCAGAAGAAAGTTTTACCTTCCAAGTTCGCCAGCCGGGAAAGGAGCCAAATGGGAATGGGCCGGCGATACGGACGATTGGCATACGTACGATATGGAAGTACAGTGTTTTATAGAAGAAGCATGGGCAAGAGTAAATATTTCATCGTATAAAACAATTTTTATCGCCGGATAGTTTCTTGTAATTGTAAATTTTATTTTATTTTTTCTTTATTTTAGGGTGATAAAACTATCGACGTTTCTAAGACGTATTTAGGTTTTCCTTATATCATTAATTTTTGCAATTTAACTCAAGTACGTTGCTGTACCGGGTATGTGAGACCAATACGACGTATTCAGCAAGCACCGTATCCTTTAGTTAAAGTTGCTTTGGAAGAGTTACAGATTATTTCTGGAAAGAAATCTACATGCGTGACCATTAAAAGTTCTACTGCAAAAGCATCGCATAAAAAGTCGTCCACGGGAAATATGAAAAAAAATAATAAAAAGGTAGATAAAAGCATTTGTCGATAGAAATATGTACGTATTATTATAAATTGATTTGTGTTTCATTAGGGGAAAAATGGGGATAATGGTCCAACAAACATCGCGCGTGTTATATTCAGCAACTTCAACATATTTAGTAATAAACATGGTATAGAAAACAGTAGTTCGGTCACGACTATCGAATCTGGTCAAAAAAGAAAAACATGGGACAATGTTCTTGACGTAGATTCTAGTAGTACAAAAAGTGGTCGAAGACCCAGCGTCGATACTGTTTCTACGTATTTGAGTCACGAAAACTCGGTGGATTTATTAGATAGCAGTGTGGGTAGCGACGATGCATTTAAAGACTCCATTTTGGGTAATTTGCTGCCTTTTCTTTAAATTAGTTTTACGATTTTAAGTATTACATACGAAATGAAATTTCTATAGGCGCGGAAGCTGAAGCAGATGTTATTTCTCAGTATGTGAAAGTAGTAGAAAGCGACGACTCTGATTCTTGTCCCGTGTGCCTTGGTATGCCTGAGCCATTGACAGTAGAATTAACTCGCTGTAGACACAGGCTACATCTAGCATGTTTGAATTCAATGCTGAGTTGTCAACAACCTCCCATGTACATACAGTGCCCTGTTTGTCGTTTAATTTATGGAGAGAAAAGAGGGAATCAACCACCAGGAACTATGAATTGGACAAGGATACCACGCGCTTTACCTGGTTTCCCAAATACAAATACAATTCAAATAACTTACGAGTAAGTGCATGTCAAATACATTTTTAATATTTGTATTGTATAAAAGTACGTAGGTAAAGCACAAATACACGTAGAAGAAATGTCTATTTACTGATAATAATGTTTATTTCAGTATTCCATCCGGAATTCAAGGAAACGAACATCCAAATCCTGGGCAAACCTATTATGCTGTAGGTTTTCCACGCGTATGTTACCTTCCAGATAATAGTCTGGGTCGAAGAGTTTTAAGACTATTACAAATTGCTTTCGAACGTAAATTGATATTTACAATTGGACGGTCGGTCACTACCGGAAGAGAAGATGTAGTCACGTGGAATGAAATCCATCACAAAACTGAATTGGGACCATCGACGTCCGGCCACGGCTATCCCGACACAAGTTATCTTGATAGAACTTTAGCCGAATTAGCAGCGCAAGGCGTGACTGATGGCCAACCACTGTCCACTCTAAATCAAGAGTTACATTGAAATAATGTTTGTTTATGGTTTTATAAACACACAAGTATCGATGTTAATGTACTACATGCAGCTTTAATCTTTTTCAGGGTGCGAATGATAAGAAACAGTATCGCTTAATTGTGTCTAAAATAACAATCTATTGCTATGAAAATTATAGTCTTTGAAAGCTGTACTTTATGAATAGTATCCCTTTATCCTAAGTGCAATTATTCGAGGAGATTACAAGATCAATTTTATTTTGCGAAATGTTTTAAACGATCGAAGTATGGTAAGCAACGTAACAACAGTATTTGATTTTCTACAATTTATATACAGGGTGTTCGGCCACCCTTGGGAAAAATTTTAATGGTAGATTCTAGAAACCAAAATAAGACGAAAATCAAGGATACCAATTTGTTGATTGGGGCTTCGTTAACAAGTTATTAACGTTTAAAGTTCCGCCTGTAGAACGGCAATCTGCGAACAGCTGCGCATGCGTGATAGTGGTTCTCACTTACAAAACTGTAAGGCTGTCGATATATCAGTTAGTAGAGTTTCTTCCGCCGAGGGAGAACCACTATCGCGTGTATGTAGGTGTTCGCAAATTGCAGTTCTACAATCGAAACTTTAAACGTTAATAACTTTTTAACGAAACCTCGATCAACAAATTGCTGTTCTTGATTTTCGTCTTATTTTGGCCTCTAGAATATCCCAGAGGTGGCCGAGTACCCTGTATAAAACTTTTGAACATTTTCGGTAAAATCTTGCATAGTACGAGTGTGCATTAATCGGCGAAAGTCTGAAATAAATGTGTCGACAACTATTTTATCAGTTATGCGAGATCGTGAGCGATCCTTTGTGTATTTTCGAGATCTGTGCATATCGAGGTGGTCAGCGTACAAAAATAAAGTGATAAAGTGGAAGTCAGTCCACAGATTATTTTGAAATACACGCATATATGTATATTTGTTCTAACTTTTATTTTTATTATTTATACATACATTTTTAATTACCGTTAATTACTTACATTTTTATTAAAGATTTATTACTTTCGAATATTAGGCATCCATTAAGAGTTTAAAAGGCATAATGAAATATCAAATAAATGTGTAGGACAAGAATGTGTGTGTGGATATATTTTTTAAGTATGAAGTATATTGGTAGCAATTTAATGTTCTCTGCCTGTGTTGACAAATTTTTTAATGACACCACTTTCGGAAAAAACTTTTTTAATACCAGAAAGATTGTTGTACTTCTTTTCACGAAGTTAGAGTAGTCGAAATATCGACAACGTTTTGGCCAAGTGTTCCAGTACTTATAATCCGTATGTTAGTGTATGTACATCCAGTCAAAATGATTCTAACTACTCTAAGGAAAAACAGTGTCTGTCTGAAAAAGTTTAGCGAAACTGGTGGCTTATTCTTAGAGTGGCAAAAAATCATTTCGATTTGTATACACGTAAGGGAAAAACTTGGTCTTGCTACGCGAGCAGAGCAAACTACTGTATTTTACTTTGGAAAAAAAAAAAGTGTATGAGAATTAAATCGAGGGGTTAATATTTCTCTTCTAAAGATGATCTGTTTTTAAATATTGCGTCTATATCTTTTCCTCGATTGTACATATTAGTACTAATATACTTTCAACTCGTTAGATTATCGATTAAGATACAAATAATTAACAAGAAATTTAATTCTCGTTTATTACGGTTTCTTCTATTTTCTTCGACATTCGTATAAAATTTTGCCCAAGCGTCTTGCTCGTATTATGCATTTTTTTAATACTTTATTTTATTTGAAACATATATAAGTATGTATTTCGAAAGACGAATAAGAAAAAATACATATGTATATTATATACCTGTATTTATGTATCACGAACTTTTTTTTAATCCAATTCGTCTTGTTTATTTTCGAAGTTAAATTTAGCAGAATACAAATTCCTTGTAAATAACGCCGTTTTATTCTTTTTGCATTGGTAGACGATAGGTGGCGCGACTTTCAACATAATAAAATGGCCGAAAACTGATTTTTCTTTGCGGACGTGCGTTGTAGGAAATTTTTAAAGTTTATTCGCGAACAAATGACACAGATCGAAAAAACAATAATGTTCTAAAGGAACGGGAATTGTATCATCACGATTCGTGGCTGGTCGAGCACGTTTATCGCGATTTGGATTGCACGGTGGGAGGAATTTATATATTATAGTTATCTGGCGTTGAAACGTCCGGTAAATTTCTGATGGTTTTTTCGAAATAAAACTTCGCGCTTAAATGAGTGCTAAAAGGCAGAATAAGTGTGTTTTGTGCGACTCGAAATTAGAATCCAAGGAAGCCTTGCAGGCACACTTTAGGTACTGATAAAAGTTATTTCTTTTGACCTTAATTTAGAACGAAACAAAACAATTTCACGAAATACAAATTCATTCGGTGCAAGATCATATTCTTCTGTTTATTCTAATATATCATTTTTAAGCATCGGACGTGAACTGAACAAAAAATGTTTCAAGTAACTTGTACCCTAATCAAAACAGTTTGCTATATTACCAATAGAGTTCAATTCTTCGCGCTATTATTTCAATTGTTTCAATTTTTGAATTATTGAAGTAATAATAATAACAAAACAACGATAAATAATTATTAAAATAAAGATTAAGTTCAAATTACCTGTAGCAAGTAAATCATTTTTATATAATTTATTTCGAAGCCAAATTTTGTTTAAATATTATGTTAAACATCGTTTAAAATTATTTTTCGACCGTTTATTTGAAAAAAGAATAAAATCGCTTTCGTAATGAAAATTACGAAATTATACCGTATTATATTTATGATTTTAAATGTTACAGAATACACTGTTCAAAATAGGATTATTTAGTTTCGAAGATTCTTTATGAAAAAAGTAAATTGGGAAGAGATTATAATTCTTGTAAATAGACCTTTATTCAAAACAAAAACGATTCTGGAAATTCATTAGGTACACATGGACTTGATTAGGGAATTAATCTATCAAATTTTGCTTGTTTGTGTTTGAAATTATAACAAATTTTCCAATACGAGATCTGTTGTATCGCAACATCATGCTTCTAGTAAACAAAGATATATTTTCTAGTAAGACTTTCTAATAAAAAGTTTAAGTGCTATGATCCATTTAAGTTGGAAGAAACGATCTCTTATTATTTAATTTCTGATTTGAATGTATTTAATTATCATCTATTATGTGAAGAATTTGTATTAATACAAAGATTATTAGCTACATTTTCCAGATTTATATTCCATACATTTTTTACTAGCGTATCCATAGCATAAGCTTACAATGACTAAATTGATAGTAAGGACGACAACAGGAACAATATAATAATAAGTTATCACACGATCAATGTTTATAAATACAAAATATAAAATGGGTTAATTATCTGCATATGTACCTGATGAATATCCGTTTAGTCAAAATAGATATCAATATTTTTGAACAATTACTTAAGTTAGTACATGTATATATTATTTATAAATAGACAACTGTTATGAAAAATTCATTTAACGATAGTAACACAATCTGAATGAAAAAAAAAAACACATCATATCCAGAAATACAATTTTTCTCGAACGAGGTTAAAGATAAAGGTCTAGTAGAATTTGATATATAAATTACATATAATATGTGACTATAATTCAGGTGAATAATTTTTGAATATCGTATTTATTATTAAAAAATAATAAAACATACTCGACAGATTTTCATAACTTGTCGTATTGCATATGTACTTATAAAAATCGTAGTTACTTACAAATTAATTTTCTTTACAAAGTCTGAGTCACTTCTGCCGTTTCGTATCCTTTTAATTAAAAACCTATTTACAGGTAAAATTTAAATTAACTACTTCATTTAGCATTGAATTTTTCAAATATTAATTGCATAATCGTGTAACGTAAACTTTAATCATGGGAAAGTCGAATGACTGTAAGTCGAACCGTAAAAATAGTAAAGTTTTGAAGGCCACGATATTTTATCGGGTACAAATACACATTATAATATCAAAATTTTTATTCACCCTTTAAACTTTGATCGACCCATTTATTTTTAGAAAATACAACAGAAAGAAAAGAAAAAAATGTAAATTTATTTGGAAAACTGTAATTAACAAACAAAGCGCTATTTTAATAAGAAATTTTATTGTATATAAAAAGTGAAATACTTTATGCAGAAAGCATGCCAACAAAGAAATAGATACTCGTGGCAGAATTGTGAAAACCAACAAAAAAGCAGACACCCAGTGCGATATGTGCGGACAAACGTTTGATTCGATCACTGCGACGATAAGGCATAGATTTAAAGTTCATCCAAATTCACCGACGAAATTTTATTGTCATTATTGCGGAATGCAGTTTCCTTTAAAGGTACGTTTTGCCCTTACAGATTCTAGTTTTTGTTATCTTAACTATCTAAGCTGTTTGTTGTTTAATTAGACGCACAGGGATAATCATCAAGCATCGCACGATTCGTCCGAAAGTGAAAGGAAAGAACAACACAAGAAGTGCGAAGATTGCGATGTATTATTCTATAACGAGAAAGCTTTAGATTATCACTATCGTTCGATACATAAGAGGTACAATGGGAAATTTGTTTTTTCAACAGTAATTTTTTGTACAATGTTATTGAATTATATTTAAATGCTATTTGTAGAATGGTACATCTTTTCCAACCGATTGCAACACCGCCTCCTAGCAATAAAATCAAAGTGAACTCTATGAACGATGCTCTCAGCGTATATTACTGTCATTTATGCGGCGCTGAGTATATTATAAAATTCAATCTACAGCAACATTTGGAACGAGCTCATACTCAAGTAAAGCAATATAAATAAAGATTATAAGAAATTTTTATATTAAAAAAACGTCGCAATACTTGTGTTATATTTGTGCGTTTGACTTTATTTGTATAATAGGAAGAAAGGGAAGCCGTTCCGGAAGACTTAATAAAATGTACAGTATGCGCTGCATTATTTTGTAGTAAAAAAGCATACGAAGTGCATAACAGCTATCACCAACCGGACGATTTATATGTAACATCGGAGGAACAAAGATTACAAACAGTAACTAAAGTAGATCAAGATTTTGATATTAGACGGGTAGAAGGGGTAGCCGATAAGTATGTTCCAAAAATTAATATGGCTAAAAGACCTGCTAAGAATGGTAAAAAGGTATAGTGATTCAATTACCTTGCCTAATTTTTTTTATTTTTCGTACTTATTATTGCGATCGATAACATTTTTATTTTCGTAGACTAAAAAGATACAGAAAGTAGAAGTAAAGGAAACGGAAAATTATCCGTCTTCTGATGACGAACCCACCGTTACTAACGAATCTAGCGATTCGGATAGCGATCTTCCATTGAAACAAAGGATCTGCAGCTAACAGAAATCTTTTGTTTATAAAATATTTCCATACATTTGAAAGTTTCCAAATATCACAACCGTCATTGTGAAGTTTTCATTGTATTTGTTTTAAATTTTATGCACGCATAAGACACAATTGTAGATGATAATCTCTATATTAGTATTTTTCTATTAATATATACATGTATTTTGGTTTAGTTTTTTGTTGGCGGCATCTTTCAGTAAATCAATTGGTTTGAAGGAATTAGAATCCAAATAAAATTTGGACTTGAAAATTGAATATGTCTCTACTAAACGGACTCTGATTAACGACAAGTGTTGATTTTCAGTTCTATGTAACTGGCATAAATATTACAATTTGTTTCTTAGATCGAGCGTATAATTACATGGGTTTTAAATATTATTGATTTTATAATAAACAATATCGCAATTACACGAAGTATTTTACGATTTCATTTTCTCTACAGAATCGAGCATGAACATGAATTGTACAATTAAACCTATGTATGTTTATATAGAAACCAGATCGGTAGTCAACAATTTAATTCACCTTATCACGAATAATTTCTATATCATTATATAGAAATATGTAGTTTGTTTAATCGAATGCTTGTTCAATTTGTATCAAAAAATTATGATATAAAATGATTAACATACGTTACTCTGTGTCATTAATGATATAATTTTCCTTGTAAAGAAATTAATAATATTAAATAATTTTCTCGTAAATAAAATCTGCAACATGAATCAATATTTATTTCTTATAAAACAAAAATCTACAATATGGAAGTTCGACAAATAACTTGTATCCTTCTACAAATAAACTACAATATTTTTTGTTATTACGCTTACGTTGGTTATTACGGCAGTTTTAATACTAGGCGAAAGAAGCTGGTGACTTTTACGAAATAGCGTTGGCTACATCTTCCGTCAAACACGGAAAAGATGCGGTCGCCATTTTGCATTATTGGTTTTTACGTGTATATGCAGTGCAGCTAGTTTGCTATTCCAGTTCTCGTTACGTATCGTAAAGCTTTAATTTGCATAACTTTGTTAATTTCGAATTGTTGAGAGGCAATAGTAAAGGATGGGACGTAAAAAGAAGAAGCAGTCGAGGCCCTGGTGCTGGTATCCTTTTCCCAAACATCCTTCGTCGAGGGATACTTTACGTAACTGTATTTTTAGAACATAAATCACGGTCACGAATTCTTTTACTTTCAGAAAGGTGAGATTAAAATCACAATGTCGTGTCCGACTTTTCTGTTGCCTCTTGTTTTCTCGCTCGAGGATACCTACGATATCGTAGAATATTCTTTCGAACGTGTTAAATTTGTGCAGCGGGTTAAAGTGGCTGATTCTACGGAAAATCGATATTTCGTTAGCAACTATACACGTCTGGCACTTCCACCGTTCGTAAAAGGATTTGTTTACGAAATAGAACTCACTGCTCTAATTGTGTTGTTAGGGTATATCTTGCATTGACTGCTTTAAAAGCATTTTGAGATAAGCCACTGATATCATTTAATAAAGAACGAAATAATGAAAATATTATTTATACTAGTATAATTACGTATATTTAATCTGTTTTTAATATTACTTCTGTGCTCTAAATACTTCATGTTTCTATTAAGAAATCAATTCAAATAGATTGGCATACTTTGATTAATATATTTTAACGGGTATAGATTAATCAGAGTTTGTTCTTTTTTCGCGTGAAGTATATAGTAATGTATTTATACATATTTATGTATATTGTGTAGAGAATATTTGGTAATAGGTGGCAGAAAGTTTAAAGGACAAGCAAAATTTTATAGAAGACTTAAGACACATTGTTGTACAGCATTAAACTCGAACACAATTTTATAATTATTGGTTTTCATCTTGTTTAAATGATTACTGCCAGACATCCTCTGTATTTACATTTGTATATTCCTTAATACATTTACGAAGGTATTGTAATCGAGAATTTGAAGACGAGAAGATTCTAATTCAGCATCAGAAAGCAAAACATTTCAAATGCCACATTTGTCACAAAAAGCTTTATACGGGACCAGGCCTTAGTATACATTGTATGCAGGTAACGCGAATTGATTCTCATGTTATGGAAGTTTAAAGATCAGTTTAAGCGTAAAATAAATGTTTTCGATCGTTTCAGGTACATAAAGAAGCAATAGATAAGGTACCTAATTCTTTGCCAAATCGTAGTAATATTGAAATAGAAATTTATGGCATGGAAGGTATACCACCAAACGATGCAAAAGAACACGAAAGGCAAAGGAACGGAGGTAGACCTGGCTCGCCGAGCTCCGGCGAAGACGAACCCGTTCGGAAGAAAACGAAACCGGAGGGTTTGTTAGGTTCCGCACCCGGTGCAGTGCCCACAGGGTCGAATATGATGCAAGGCGTTATGCCAGGTATGGCAGCTCATCCGGGTATGCCACCGATGGGACAGTTCCCACCGCCCATGCACCATATGATGGGACCTATGGGTCATGTAGGTCCACCTTTCATGGGACCTGGGTATGTATAATGTTTATCTTTTAAAAAAGCAGACAGCGCGAAAGAAGAATAACTTTTGTGATATTAATTTAATGGAAGTTAAGTAAATACAATCTTTTAAAGTTCTCAAATTTATAAGTACCGTGAAAGAGAAAACGACACAAAAGAGTGAAATAATGAATGCCGTTCTTCTTGTAGTATGATGCCTGGAATGCCAGGTATGCCTCCAGGTATACAACCACCGGTGTCAGGCGCGTCTATTCCACCAGCCCGACCATTATTTCCAAGCGCCGCAGCTGTCTCAACAGCCGCGTCTACAGCTGTGACTTCCCCCCTGGGCACAGACTTTAAACCAATCACGTCGGTAGCTGGTGGTTCTATAGGACCTATTAAGCCAACATTCCCTGCTTACAGTAATACTGATAGTAATACCACTACTAGTAATAATATTGGAAGTGATCAGAAAGTGAATCTTATAGCAACTACGAGTGCTGCTATTAAAATTATTCATCCGCCAGAGGATCTTAGTTTAGTAAGTTCGATGAATTAATATTTATCAGATGCATGTATATGTTACTGCCGAGCACAGGAATTAAGAAAGCAAAAATTTGCATATTTCAGGAGGAAATTAGAGCGAGACTTCCGAAATATCAACGAAGGCAAACAGAAGAGTCTCGAACCGCGCAGGCAGAGGCTTCTCAGCAAGTAGCCGCATTGCAGCAGCAACAACAACAACAGCAGCAGCAACAACAGCAACAACAACAAGCTGCGGCCGCTAACGCGGCTGCCGCGTTTCAGGATCAGCAACAAAGACAACAGGCTGCATTGAATGCCCTTCAACAGCAAAGATTTCAGAGACCTCCGCAGGCAGTCATGGTTCCCGCGTCAGCTGCAATGCCTGTTAGTTCTGTTGCCTTGATGGCGCCACTTATGCGGCCAACTATGACCCTAGCTGCACCTGCTCTGATTCATGGAGGTAACATGATGCGACCGCCCCCCATGGGCCTGCCACCAGGTAAGTCTTTACGATTTTGTACGCTCAGTCCGTTCCAACGAGAGCATTCCCGCAGTTCCCCATTAATCGACGTGAATATCAGAATTATTTGAAATTTCGTTACACGCTATATCCGATATTTCAATATTGAACTATCGAGGATGATTTAAATAAATGTGTATGTTCAACTTTCTCACATAATATCTTCTATAGTTTTACGTTTACATTTTTGCTTTAGAAACGATATAAAGATCACGTTTTAGTTTTTCGCATCATACACGTTAACGCATACATACACTGCTCGATCATAAGTATTAGCACACTTGATCAAAATGTTGCCGATTTTTTAACTATAGTAACATTGCAAAAAGAAGTAAAACAATTTTCCGCGGGGGCCTTTTTATAGGTTGAACTATCTATTTTCTACTTTCAGATTCTCATGTTGAATTTCTTTAAAGATCTATTTGCACTAAGAATTGAGTAAGAACCTATCTTATTCGCTTACTAGTGCGAACGAGTCTGGAAATTTAAATTAGGAATGTCAAAATAGAGAATTCAACTTTCAAAATGACTTCATGAAAATCGCCTTTTTTTTCACGAAATTAGAATGTTTCAAATATTGACAACGTTTTGTTCAGTGTTCTGATGTCTGTTAATGTATGTATGTACAGTAGTGTCTGCTTAAACGATCGAGATCGAACGTGGATATTTAAATCGAGAGGTTTATTCCAGAAATTGGTTGTCCGTAGTTCACGTTATTAAATCTGTTTGTTGATGCAAATCGTAGATAAATTCTAAAATATGGTGGAAATAACTCGTGAACATTTAAGCGGATACCACTGTATATTTAGAATCTTAGAATCGAGTGCTGGCGTTAGGTAATACATCATATAATTTTATTCATAAATTGTAACGGTAAACGATATTTACTCAGGTATTGAAATAATTAATGTCGGTCCCAACGTAGAGAGACTTGAAAGTTTCCCAATTAGAGAGATAACTTCGGACAATAATAAGTTTACCCAGAAACCTGAAGGTTATTTAATATCCATTTATTATATATGTGTGTAGTTTTTATCATCGAGTCAAAAAATGTTTTTCATTCGACGTACGCATTACAACCTATATTAGAAGCGGACAAAAGTTTAAGACAACTACGTTCTTTATAGGTTATCGTACTCTGTATTGTGCGATTATCTATTAAAAAGATGGTTCGTCTTAAACTTTTGTTCGCTACTTTTGCACTTCATCCATCGCCGAGTTGCCCTTGTCTCCCCCACCCTAATAACAAATTAGAATTACCCGATGGCTAGGGCTGTGTTACGTGTGAATGAGAGCGACAGTGGACAAATACTTGGGGGGGGAGGGGATAATTTCAATCAAGGCACGCAAAAAATATTTGTAATTTCAAGTGTGCAAAAGGCTGGGATTGAAAAGGTTCCAGAAATAACTGTTAATAGCTGTTATATAAAGGTTTCGACTGAAACGATTATGAAGAATCAGATAACGATTATGATTTCAGATAATAAAATAGAAATTTTATTGCAATAAACTGTTGCCAACACGAGTGAATACATTTGTAACATTAGTGGGACTAAAAATGTGCCGCCATGCATTACGGTGCATCGAAAAGGACACTTTTGATCCCAGCATGTCCCAAAGAGATAATTGTTGAGTGAATAAGGTTCTGACGCTTCTGTAGAACCAGAACCATAACCAATACGTTTGAAAATGTCGGTTCTTCATAACGGTTATTCAAAATAAAGATTCTCCGTAACTGTTTTGGGAATCGGAATCGATATTATAACAGTTTTCAATTTCTGGTAAAGAGGAGAAAGGAAAAGAAAGAAGTATGACTGTACAGATAACTAGGAAGCTCAGGATTCACCTCCATGTCAGAGTCGATGACTGCGTGTCTTGTATGTTTATTTAACGGTGCGTTTGCAGGGTGTCCAGTCACTCCTTGGTGAGTGTCAAACGAACCCAGTCCGGTTACTAAAACCGTGTTTTATACAAGCGCAACAAGGTTGGTCCTTAGCAATTAGCATGCGGTGACATGGCCTATATATACATGTATATATAGTTATATATGTATAAATATATGTGCGCGCGTGTGTGTATACTACGCTCACACGCGCACACATCCTTATATTTATTATTATTATTCTTATTAATTATTATTATTATTATTATTATTATTATCATCATTGTCACATTAACCCTTTACGCTCCTCGTGATTTCACACTGTTCGTTCCAATAACTCCAAAATGTGCGATTCCATTTGCATCCGTTTGTCGAAAAGTGTTGCAAAAACGTACAAAATTTCTGCAACTCATACTATAGTATTTCCAATACAATAAAGAAGACAATAGAACGAGAATTTGCTTCAAAAATTTATCAATGCTAGAACAGTTTTTTTTTTACAATTGGACAAGAGTAGACAATACTTTGCTATAGTTTTTGGTAAGATTATATTTTTTGAAACGCTGAAAAATACGTAAAGATATAGATGTGAAAATTTTATCGAGTATTTTATCGATTCTAAACATTTTAATTTGTGAAGAAACAAGTTCCTTATACTTTAGAAAACTGTTTCTTCGTCGCAATGCGGAATAATTACTGTAGCGTTCGTTTAAACGATAAGTTTTCTTGGTCACCGTTTTCAACCAATAACTGTGAGTCCAGCGGACAGCAACAGGAGTAGGGATGTGAACACATTGTGCCTTCTTCTCGCGGAAGGACGATATATTTCTAATCTTTCCAACATAAAAAGGACGTCAAAGGACGCTTTTTAACACGTTGATATCAGGTTAACAAAACAATAGTTCTTAAGGCAAGATTTTTAAGGATATTCAATCTGAATTTCGTCTTTCAATAATTGATCTATTAAGATTCGAATTTTTTTTTTAAGGTTAACTGCTGCCGACTGAAAAGTGATAAAAAATTTCAAAACAGAAATCTTCCTGTATAGCTAGTATTGCAATATACATAAGAAAAAGAATAAATAATTCCTCGCGGATGTATCGAAGATCATATGAAGGTAAAAGAAAGTAGTTTTGTTGTAGATCTAGAGCAGAGTTTGTTGTTGGATTTGTTGGAGCGAAACCAATGATGAGCAGAGCGTGTCGTTGAAGCGCAAAGGGTTAATACACCTAAATATATTTCTGTATATTTATATTATTGTCACTGGGCAGGTGGGTCGAGCGGCCAACGATATTGCATCTGTTCTGATTCCTTCAACGCCGGACAGCCACACTTTGATTTTGGACACATCACGACCCTTTGGACGTGAAATGCCTCTTCTCGAAACTAGAGTATTCGGTATCAGAAGCACGATTACGCTAGATTTATATTTCTTATAATCGCGATATATATACATATATATGTTTGTGTGTCTGTATGTATATATATACACATATATGCATGTGTACAACGCATATAGTATATACGTATGTATATATATATATATACTTGCGTACATATATATCCATAGATATGTTTTTTTTCTCTCCGGATCGATAAAAAGTTCCACTGCGAAATTAATTCGATTTTCGGCCGCTCGGCTGGTTCATCACATATATATATATATAATTTTTTTCTTTCCGTTCCATTAGCTTCTTTATTCATTATGTCGACGTAATCATACATTCTTCTTACGACTTTTACTTACCATCACCTCTCCGAACCGTGTTTACTATCCTGTCTCTTCACGTTACTTACATAGCTTGAAATCCTGGTGTTGTGATACAGTAGTGAAGAAATCGCTTTTTGGGCACGGCACTGACAGTCGTTCGAAGTTGTCATTCTAAATAAGAAATACTAATGCATATTTTCGGCGATAATTAAACTTGTCCCTTCCTTCTTTGCATCCAGAAAGGTATTTCGGATTTTCGTTTTCACTATTTCTTTTCTTATTGTCGTTTACAGAATGTAGGATGATTAGTCAATGTGCAGCAAGAAGCATAATTGAACCGATAGTTTGGTTTACTTGTATTTACGTGATAATAGAACACTTTACTATTAATTTCTTTGTCACGAATGTATGTTAAATTCGTTGGTATTGCAAAGTAGTAGAAAATAGCATCGATATTAAGTATCTTATGTTCCGTTACAACAGAACTATTCATTTTTACAATACAGTTTTTTGTTTCATCGGTTGAAATCTGTCTCGTGCTTCTTTAGAGCTGTTAATGGTATCGAAGGAGAGATTACTTCTTTTGAAAGCTTCTTTTAGCCCTTAAAAATATTTTATATAATCTAAAACTAATATACGTATGTTCAAACCTAATTTTTCCTCTTACATATAACATAAAGCGATAAATAACGATTTACTAAACAATTCTTAACGTTGGTTCAGCTATGCTCTTTGCTATATATTTATAATACTGTTAAACCTTTCGCAAATGCATCTTACAGTAACATTTCGTGGAAAACATATGTTTGAAGTTGTTTAAGTAGCTGAGTATGAAAGGAAAAGAGAGAAGGGATTATTTTTGTTGTATTATTAGCAAAAAACGAAACTTGCAACAAGAACGAACGTAATGTATCTTCCTCACACCATAGCCTAGCTTATGTGTCACACAAACGATTTTAGACAAGATCATGTTGATTCACAGTAAACAAGCGATTTCACGGTACCCAGTATATTTATAATTTATACATACATATAATTGCAGTTGTTTATTATATACTATACGAATATGAGTGCTTAATTTAACATCGGCGAACGAGAGGATTACCATTATGATCAGAATTTTACTGTGTGTTATATTGTGCGTTTATTAATTATCGTTACCAGTTAGTACATACAGGGTGTTCGGTCACACCTGGGAAAAATTTTAATGGGGGATTCTAGAGGCCAAAATAAGACGAAAATCAAGAATATCAATTTGTTGATTGAAGCTTCCTTAAAAAGTTATTAACAATTAAATTAAAAAATTTCAAATCTTTCTGGAAAAATTATTTTCGGTTGTGGGGGTCGATTACAATCATTTTTGGTGAATACACATACCCCCGAAATCCTATCCGTTTTCGAGAAAAAAATTCGAGGTGTGAAAATTTTCGACGGAAAAAAAAAATTTCAAATCGTTTTGGAAAAATTATTTTCGTTTGCGGGGGTCAATTGCAATCATTTTTGGTGAACAGACATACCCCCGAAATCTTGCGCATTTTCGAGGAAAAAATTCGAGAAGGTGTGAAACTTTAAACGTTAATAACTTTTTAATGAAGCCTCAGTCAAGAAATTGGTATTCTTGATTTTCGTCTTATTTTGGACTCTAGAATCACCCATTAAAATTTTTCCTAGGGGTGGCCGAACACCCTGTATAAGCAAATGATTTCAGAATAGGTTTAGATCACTTTAGATAGCATCAAAGTATTTAGTAACGCTAATAATATATTCCAACATTGTTACAATTCTTTGGAGATCGAGAAACTTGCACACAGATTCGGAATAATTTTAAACAGGAATAGTGATCACTACAAGCTTATCGAAAGTGGTTTTTTTTGGAGCAGTGTCTTGGAAGATAGGTTGGCAGCCGAACGATTTGCTCAAACGACGGGAAAGACAGAGTTGGGCATTGTTCGAATAAATATTTATCCAAATTAATTCGTTTTACTCGAATATCTCGCTTGAATAAATAACGATTTTCTTTTTTTTATTCATCAGAGAGAAATTAGAAAATATTTCACAGATGAACCGATGATGTATTTGTTAATTCAGCGTATAGTTTTCCAAACTCAATAAATCTTTTGGTTTGAACAACATTTGAACAAAAATTAATTGTCAAAGGCAATAAGTTACGGTTTCGAGGATAAAGTTTTGCCCAACTCTGGGGGACAGAGTATTTAATGGGTTTCTTTCTTTGTATGGTGTGAGGTTTTGTGTGGTATCACATTTTCTCCGTTTATTGTGACTTGTATTGCGTATGCGGCACATTGCATGCTGAGCTCAATTTCTCGTATAGTTTGGCAATTTGCATTGATAAAAGTTGCTAGATAGACGTAGGTGGGCTGTTAATAATAAATCCTTGCGGGTGTACATCGTTTTAGAAAATTCGAGTCTCTATCGTTTCGCCATTTTACAAAAAAAAAGGGCTGTTTAAGGAGACACGAGGCGTGCTTTGAACACTTGGATCAAAAAATTGTTTTTTATCCTTTTACTCGTTGGTAAAGCATTCTTAAACGCCTGATAGCACTTAAAATAACGTGATCGATAAATGACCAAGAAGTCTATCGATTAGACTGTGAATATTTTCTTGTATTTTTTTATTATATTAAAGAAAAACAAATATCGTTACGAATTCCGAGGAAAGGCCATCGATCGGCTGTCAGACAACTTCCCGTTCAGAAGAGCATAGATTCTCTGGATCAGTTCGGAATATATTGGAAGAAATTCCATCGATCGTTAGCGATCGTTTCTTTCAAAATTCCGTAACTCTTCTACTGAACGTGGCGCGTTCTCCAAAAAAGAAAGAAAGTTAGAGAATTGTTGTTTAAATAAACCGGAAGACAGAGGGCTCAAAGAGGAAGAGCAACGTATTCAAAATACACGTACATAGAATTTTGTTTGTTATGTTTAATGATTACTCTCGCGACGTAAGTATATATAAAGACTATTTACAGATTCTTGACCAAAGTATTGAGTTGAACGGAAAGTTCGTGCATTTCTGTTCAGAATTTTTACAAAATGTGCCTATAGTCTCGCTTTTTCGCTGTTTCTGTGGTTGTTTAACTGTATTAATCTAGTAACTTTAATATACTTGAAATTACAGATTAAAACTACAAATAAATTATACAAATAAAAATTTTAATGGGAGATTCTAGAGGCGAAAATAAGACGAAAATCAAGAATACCAATTTCTTGACCGAGGCTTCATTAAAAAGTTATTAAAAAATTTCAAATCATTCTGAAAAAATTATGTTTGGTTACAAGGGACGATTACAATCATTTTTGGTCATTTCACATACCCCCGAATTCCTACGCATTTTCGAGAAAAAAATTCAGGAATGTGGACAAATTTTTCGGCGAAAAAAAAAATTTTAAACCGTTTTGGAAAAATTATATTCGGTTGCGGGGGTTGATTACAATCATTTTTGGTGAATAGACACACCCCCGAAATCCTACCCACTTTCTAGAAAAAAATTCGAGAAGATGTGAAATTTTTCGACAAAAAAAAAAATTTCAAATCGTTTTGGAAAAAATATTTTTAGTTGCGGGGGTCGATTACAATCATTTTTGGTGAATAGACATACCCCCGAAATCCTACCCACTATCGAGAAAAAAATTCGAGAAGGTGTAGAAATTTTTCGACAAAAAAAATTTTTCAAATCGTTCTAAAAAAATTATTGTCTGTTGCAGGGGTCGATTACAATCATTTTTGGTTATCACGCATACCCTCAAAATCCTACGCACTTTCGAGAAAAAAAATTCAGCATGGGCGGAACATTAAACAACTTTTTAACAAAGCCTCCATCAACAAATTGGTATTGTTGATTTGGCCTCTAGATCCCCCCATTAAAATTTTTCTCATGGGTACCCTGTATATAGAGACATGGTATTAAAAATGCAGGAACTTTCCGTTAAAGCCAATGTGATAAGAGATGGAAGGAAGGAACGGGAGACAGAAGTGTATTCGAGCGTGTTGATTGACGATACATTGTGATTTGCAGGTATGATAGGAGCGTTACCACCAGGCGCGATGCATCCGGCATTCGCAACCCCAATGGGTTTCCCTGGTGCACCGATGTTGGCTCCGATGATGCACCCACGCTTCAGATGATCACCTCCCATGGACGGGCCCACCCCGCCACTGCACTTCGTGCTTTGGGCCCGCCCCTAAATTTTATTAGGGTTCGGACGTGATTGAGAAAGAAGAAAGAAAAGCACGCGTAAAACATGTTCGCTCGCGTGGACACACTTCGTTGATCGGCCGCGGCTGCACTTGACGCATCCTCTCCCACGAAGTTTACACAAAGTTAGCAAAAATCTTTGTTTTTTTAATTATATATGATTGCAAAAACACATCACGTCAGTGCCTGAGAGGATTTTTTACCAGGTGCAGTGGAAACGGTCAGCTATATTCACCTACAATTTGGCTGTCAGTAAAAAAAAAATACAATCCCTATGATCTATTTGCGCGGTACACGCAACGAGTCAGAGCAATAAATAATTTATTTTCGTGGAGGAGCTCGAAAACAATCGGCCAGCCGAGCAAATTTTCTTGTTCGCACGGAAAGCTCAACTAAGGTTCGATCCTTGGTATTAATCTTTTTTAAAATATTGTCATCGGAGTATGTTGCATTAAAATTATAGTTTTATTAACGGGCCAATCCACGCCGAATCGAATATCGGTTTCTCGAGCGACGTTTCAGATTTTACTGAAGTCTCGGTACATTGTAGTCTTTGGTGATATTTAAATTATCTTTTGTTTAAAACCAGATGTAAAACTCAATAATTTAAAACGGTCAAAATAATGTGTATAATCTTCGTACGTTATATTCCTTGTTTGCTTCTTTCAGTAGCTTAATTAGTTAATACTTTATCGAAATAGACCAATAACATATTTATCCAATACGCTGTTTAGTTACTGTACGATACAGGAATAATAATAATAATAATTATAAGACACGCGATAAACGAACATTTTTGGCAATTAGATTTTTAACATCTTTATCATACTTATAAATATACTATAATGATAACTAATGTAATAGCGAAAAAGTAATTGTTTAACTTTGATATGCTAAAAGTTGAAGACTATAATTTCAGTCAGATTTTAGCAAGGTTTGAAGCGTTGGTTAAAAGAATTGCTCGATTTGGCGTGGAATGATTCGAAAGGAAATGGTATCGTGTTGTTGATGGCTGTATGAGCATCGGAAGCTAATTCGTGAGGAAACTCAGTGAGCTGCTGATACAGACATATATTGTTGCAAAGTCACACATGTAAGCAATTGTACGTTGCTTGTTAACGAAGTCACTTCTGGAAGGTATGAACTTTCAGTTGATAAGTATAAGTAGAATGAATTTCTATATATGGCTCCACGTTGTTGTTTTTATTTCACGGTAGACCGTTTCCACGCGCTGTTCCTCAGCCTCTGCACCAGTGTTCTCTTGGAGAGACGCAATCGCGGAAAGGTGGCGTTTCACACTGCAGCTATTATAGACACGGAATTTTATTTTCACTTGTAAGGGAGCATCCCGAGCTATCGATCGGTGATTTCGGTAAAACATTTGTAGAAAATGATCGTTACAAAAATTTCTGTCGCTCTTTTCCGTTTCTTGCCGACGATCAAATTGAGAAACCTGCTTGGATTAATATACTGGAAATAATTCTGTACTCTCGATCGACGAATTCGGTTAAACGGATTTCAGATAAATGTATTTGTTATATTATAATAAATTTAATATATTGAAAATTAATAAATTTTTGTCAGTTATTCTTATTAAATATCGTGTATCGTAACGGAAATTACTGCGTTGGTAATTTATTTAAATACTGTGCAAAATGTATGATATTTCAAAGTACATTATACTACGTGTCTTCATCATCGATTATCACAATTTTCGTGATCAAATTGTGCTCTGCATTAAATTGTTTTGGAGATATTGGACCAAGTAGATTTTTCACTTTGGAGAATTGCGACTGAACGAAGCGTCGAGTATTTTTGTAAGATCAACTACGATCGTTTTGTTAAAATCAACGATTAATAGTTTGCGATGTTTTTTTATTGTTTGAATTTATTTTTCCTACGTTAGACAATTGCTTTCGTCTTCTTGTTCCAAGTGTATATATGAATTGTATAACGATTTTTTTTTTTTTAAATTTGACTATTTTTCATAATTTTGATACGCTCCTGTGAAATATTATTTGCGCTGCTCGGTTCTTCTTGGTAAAAGTATTAAAATGTAAGCCGCAGTGTGAACATTCTGTCGCCTCAGGTTAGTTTGTCACAACTTTTATTTTGTTAACGTTTCAGATCGAGTCGATTTGCTTTTGCGCGGTAATTCACATCGCGGATTTAGGTATTTTGTTTCCTAACGAACAACATACTGAAATTGTTGTAATTTATAGTGTATATGTATATAGTGGGTGGAACAAATTATTAAGGAACACTTTATCAACTCGTATTTGTTACCAAGACGAACAATTTTACTTTGCAATAGTGGAAGATAATTGTAGGTTTATTGTTAATATACAGTAAGGAGCAAAACTAATCGTACACATGGTATTTTAACCATTATTTTACTTAATAATTATTATTTAAATAATGTATGTTCAATTTTGCTTCTTACTATATATAATCACTAATAACTTTCATTAAACGTTTCATTGGAGATTTTAGTAATCGTTTAATCAATTCTCAGCTTAATAATCTGTAATTTTGCTGAATCCAACTTTTTATTTGAATAGTATAATATTGTTGTCTCTTAGAATATAGATAGAGATATCTTATTAGTTGTATCTAACAATTTCCTATAATATTCAAATCGAGCAATTTTGTTAGTTTTTTGTTATTTGTGTTAGGGATACCAGGGACTGCTCTCTTGATATATTTTTCCAACCCACTGTACACAGAATAATTCTAGCAACTGGAATAGATTATAATTTCTTTCTGAATGAAAAGAAAAAAGGTATTAATTAAGTATTTTTTATCTCAGTACACGTAAATAAGCGAGGGAAAAAGCTTAATCACGAAGACTACAAATTATTGTTTAAAATTTGTTCTCTTTCTTATTCACTTTCCCTAAAATCACAAAAAAGTACAAAATAACGTTGTATTACTTTTAGTCACCCACAAAGGTGGATTTTATTTGCAATAAGGTGAATATGATCTATATGAAAGGGCTAATTTCGAGTGCAAAACCTGTAATATTGTTTGAAAATGTATTATAATGTTTTTGAGAGGAATATGTATATCTATAAAATACTCGAGTATCATTCTGCAAAAACACAACAAAATTATAATAAAATTAGACACTCTGACTCTTCTCTTGAAGAAGTCAAGAAATATTTAAAAAATGTCTATACTATTAAAAATATACTAATTTATCGTCCGTTCTGTAAAACCCAGTTAAATAATGGAGTTATCTTATTTTTTGGAAATTTATTCTACCATTCTGTTCTTCGTTTAGAAAATAAAATGTAATCTATTCTAGTTGCTAAAGTTTCTTAAATAAGCCGCTTATTTGCTAAATCGATTATCTCTGCAAAGGGAAAAGAAAAAAAAGTTGATAAAATAATATATGTATATGCTTTCATAAGACTCCCTATAAAATTCCCGTTTAAAAAAAATGCAGTTGCATTTGTTAAATGCACCGATGCGACTGCATCATTTTTTCAAATGGAATTTTACAATTTCGATTGCACCGTTCGATAGAGTTTTTCAATCTCTGCAAAAAAATTATAAGGTACTTGTGTCCTAAACTTAATCTTTTAAGATTTCTTCGCCATGAGTTATAAATATACTTGATATACTCAAAAGTTTATTAAATTATTTTACTTCAAAGTGTTATAACTCTGGAACCATTAAGTTTAGAACACGAGTAGTTTAAAGTGAGAAATTTAAATTTCATTTCGTCAATTTGTAAGAAATGTATTTAAAAAAATGTAAAAGTGATCGAGTGATTTGATGTTGAAAAGATGGAGTTAATCGCTTTAGCTTGTAAACGGCGTAAATATTAATCAGTCGTTATGATGTTAATCGCGATAGTTTGAACGATTGCAATACGTTGACCGTGAAGCAGAAGTAACTGATTCGATCTGAGAAAAACCCTCTTCCTTTGCAAGGAACATGTTGGCGACGCATGAGTGAGTGGTAAGTACGGAGGGTGCTCACAAAAAACCGAATACCAGCTCTCTCTACACTCGACTCACGCCATTTTCTTTACTTTTGTCCTATATCAGATCACTGGCACTCCGATCGTGGGGCGCACGATTCTTTTTTTAATTATTTTAATTATCGTCGGTGCTCGGTTTACAATGTATCAGACCATATGTTATAAATTCTGATATATTTTTAACCGCGATGGGAATTCTAAAACGACTGGCTCCACGATCGGACGAAATTCTATTCGATCCTTTGGAAACAAAAAACTTCTCGTCCCTCCTTTTGTCTTTTCTTATTATTATTCCATCATTATCTTCTCTATCGTTCTATTACTTCCTCAGGGTGTCTACTGACAGCAAAAAATTATCGTCAAAAGAATATTTTTACGTTCATGTAACGCGGGTCTCGATGATCACGATCTGCGACGAAAGGGTAAAAGATAATTTATCGAACCTTTGTTCTCGGGTGGATTTCATTCGTGTTTCGTAGTTTCGTGTTACGAAAGTGTAGCGAAGACGGTGCAAAAAGGAGGCTGCACACTAAGGTCACGAGACTTTTAGTGTTCGTTGTATAGTCGATGGAAAATAATTAAGATCACGAATGTACAGTTTCGATCGAAAACTGTTTGAATCAAGGACATTGGTACTTGCAGAAGCTTTGTACGCGCGAAGGTATATATCCTCAGTAGGCACCCTGTTTGACTATTCTTTCACTCGATTTCTACCAGTACTTCGAGAAAAAATATGAAACAGCATACCGCGCAGTATAACACGTGTACGTACCTAAAAAAAACTACGCATCGTTATGAATATATACTTCATTTTCAGGGGTTGTCTTTCCGAATAGTGTCTTTACGTCGTGATCTGTCGTTTTGCCCGTGATCAGGGACGATTCGTGCGAGTGTTTACTTATAGACAAAATGGCAATTCAGTAGGAAAAACGAAGCCGTCGAAAAGGCGTTTCTCGACTATCGAGGCTGCTAAAGCATGGCTAAAAACGTTGTTCCCCCAACCGCGCATTTCTTTCGTTTTTGAGATTCGGCAGGACAATCTGATGGCAGAATTGGATATGTAGAAGTTCTGTTATTTATTGAGTGTCACATTATCAACTTGTTTCGAATAAAGACGTTCTGTGGAAAGCTCGAAAGATTGGGCGTAGTCTGTCGTTCTGGGAAATCTTTCGTTCATGGATTCACGTTGTTTGGAAAGAAATATTCTTGTTTTTTCTTTTTTGCTACGCGTTCGACCCTTTCGCTGATATGGTTTTAAAAGTGACTATTTCTTTTAGATTAAAATTAGCTGTATTTGTTATAAATAGTTCAGAGAAACATGTTATATGTATATATTTGATTGTTATTTGTAATAATTAATAAGTAATTATCATACGATAGGTTCTGGAACACGAAATACATTACCTAATATTGTACTGTACAATATTAAACCTAATGGTTCAAGAGTTCTATCTCTTGAATTATTAAGTTTAGGGCACGAGTACCTTACACTTTTTTTGTAAGGATTAACAACTCGCGTTGAATAGCCTGATAAATATTGTAGAGTTCCATTTAAAAAAATAAATGCAATTGCATTTTTATCATAATCATAATCATAATAGTTATATCTCCAACTGTTTTAGAGATATACCATGGAACAAAGAAATAGCATTTTCATATTTTCTGTATATACAAGTATTTTATATTCGTGTAAGGAACCAAGATTTTACAGTTCAACTCTTTGTAGCACAGGATTTCAGATAATAAAATAGAAATTTTATTACAATAAACTGTTGCCAACAGAAGTGAATACATTTGTAACATCAGTGGGACTAAAAATGTCCCATCATGCATTACGGTGCATCGAAAAGGACACTTTTAATCCCAGCGTGCCCCAAAGAGTCGAACACTTTATCTTGTTCATCTGCCATGTAAACTATGAAGTTTTTATCGAGCCATTCGTTACATATGTGTTAGACAGTTTGCTAATTTTGTATTTATTCAGTTTTGTTTTACATCGTGTGGGTTTAACAGCGAAAGGGTTAACAATATATCGCCTCTTTTGTATTCTTGTTTTCCTCTAATGTTTTTGTTTTCTTTTTTCTGTGTAGATAAAAGATTGTTGATGAATTTTCTCCCAGAATGGCGGGCGACAGCCACATATTGTTTCAACCAATCACAGCTGTGACCGCTGTTGGACCTTATCGGTCCCTTGCCTGAAGGCAGGCGATTGTTTGGACCTACCGTCCTAGAGTCGAGGTACATGCTAGCTTCCCGACTTTTCATTCGAATTCGATTGCAACGCATAAAGTCGCTCGTGCGCGGTCAGTGAATTTTATCAGAACGGTTGATCGTTATTTACACATTTTTTTATGATATAGAAATTTAAAATCGATGCAACGTTTTAGTTGGTAAGAGAACAGGAGATAAGTGAGAAAGGAAGAGAATCGGGAAGTTCTATGGTCCTTGGCTGCATGGACGCGTGGCTGGACCGAGAAACAATATTAATCGTAATCAGTAATGAGTCGCGGGGTAAATTGTATTAACCGACTCGATCGTTCGGATCGTTGGAACGAGAGAATTATACCGATCCGCACTCCGATAGAACTAGTTACCTATTAACGATTATGAGTTTTGTTTTTGTTTTGTTTTTTTTTCTTTTCATCGAAGGTTGTAACTTATTTGTTGCGATATTTATTAATAGTTCTTAGTTAAATATTAATGGATACTGCCGGCAGTGGCTGGTAATTGTTATGATTTCAGATTCGAAGACGATTAAGACTGAAATGTCTGTGCAGTTCTCTCGTTCAACTGTTCGATCGTTCGTAGAATGCTTAGCTGGCTCTGTGTGTATATTGATACATCTGTATCACACGTTGCGCAAGGACCCTTCATTATCCTGATCCTTTTTACGCTAATAATGTCTTTCCACTTGGTGACAGCGGATGCACGATTCGCTCGTGGGGGTCGCTTTGCTCGAGGAACCGGTAACGCGGTGGCTCTTTGTCATTCTAATATCTTTATTCGGCGGCTCGAGGTATCGGGAATTAAGTGCTACCTGTGAAACGATAGTGAATTTAACGCATTATTATACTTGTCCATATATTTTATATACACAATTGTCTCTAGTCTTTTCCTTTTTTTTTAGATCAATGTACACTACCGGTCATAAGTAGGAACACGGAGTATTTTCTCATCCAGACAGTTTTAGAATAGCTTGAAACAATCACGTTTTACGGATATCTTTATGGGAATTCATAAAAAATATCATTCATAAGTATAAATGGACACATATCAATTTTTATAGTAATATGAGACTAGTACTATTTTTGTAAAAGAAAAGGAATGACAGTAATGGTTTTATTATTACAAATGATTATGCAATTATACATTTTAAGCCTTTGTTATTCTATGCCCAACTTTTCATGGCATCTAAAAATTTTGAAAGTAGATTGTATAGTAGTTGTACGTTTCAAATGTCCTAATACTTATGGCCGGTAGTGTTTATGCGAAATGATCGACGATATGGAAGGTTGTCTGGTGAATCCCTGTTTCGAGATATTTAAATTTCACACCTTTTTTTTGTTTACGAAGCTGGTATATCGATAAAAATTTGTAACGTAAAATGAAATGGCGCAGAAGAAGAATTTTGCTTTCATTAAAAAACAGCAACTAACTTTTGTTATATTCTATTTTTAATAATATCTCTTTTTTAAGAAATTATTAGATAGAAAAGAACATCAGTTCCCTCAGTTATTTTAAAAGAAAAATTTACTTTTTATCAACGTACCAGCTTTAGAAATAAAAGGGAGAGTCAAATTTAAATATTTCGAAGCAGAGTTTTTTCCCGAATAACTACTCGATGATGAATATTATTTTTCGCATAAATGATGAAAAGTTAGATGTACCTTTTTGTGGGATCTTTAATTTTTTCAACGTATTATTATTATTATTATTTTTTTATTTAGTTTCAAAGTTTGCACACGTAGTAGAGTTCGATGGAACTTTGTGATAAAACTAAAATAATAGCAATGTTGTATTTAATATCTTAGTTTTACATGTGCAATGTTTGGAGGATAGAGTTGACGATCTAAGTACTGAAATCGAATTTTAGGTTGCACTTTATTCCTGCGCGGACCGCTCACGGAAATTAGCAGTAGTCTACTCCTTCTACAGCATTATTGTTTTCAGCCGACTGCAACTAAGCAGAACGGGCAATAATGTCCAAGAAAAATAGAGAAAACGGTGGACACACACACCTGTATCTCGTTGAAACAGGATCAATAAAGAAAAATTGTTTAATAACGATGTTTGAGCAGTATCGCGAGTAAGATCATCGTTATTCAAATTATTCGCCAAGGACTCGCCTTATTCGCATGTATGTATAAAAGCAAAGTTCACACTTTGTTAAGCGTATTAAAATTCAATCCTGGCAGAAGAAGTATTTGAGTTTCCGTCACGCATTGAATCAAACGATGATGTTAAACGCGTTAATGCTTACTTTTTCTTTAATCGTTAACAAATATTACCTTTTATATTTTTATCTACAGTAATTCTCCCATTCAAGCGACTGATTTTTACATCAGATTCGAGCACCTTAATTTTTATTGGTCACGGTTTCGTCGTTGGACAGCGAAAATTACTGCAACTAGAATTTTTAAGCGATTTAAAATGTAGTGTTTATTTTCTACGATATAAATTATTATAAAAAGATTCATTTCACTGTACGCGCCTTAATTTAATGTTCAAGAAGAAGCAGCAACGTAAACAAAGACACGAAAATATGTTTTCCAAGCATTCTTAGCAGGTGGAAAGATAATGAAAAGTGTAATACATCAAGAAACACTCGTTGTTCCATTAAACCAAAGATAAGGGTACTTCTGATAGTTATTTAAACCAGCGTTTCTCATTTGCAGGCCGCACGAAGTAAAATCTATCTTTGTGATACATCTGACCCTCCTTTTACACGGTGAAAGCGTACACGTGTGAAAGAAAATCGTACAAAGAAAACTCGTGCAAACACTGATCGCTATAAATATTGTATAAGACTTGTTTCAAAGGACAGAAACGATACAAAATACATTTTTTTTTAATTACTGCATTGATTAAAGGTAAACATTGTTATCGATTGAACATAATATGTTTAGAAAAAAAAGCACCACTGATCTTCGCGAGATCTGTGCTTAACGTTCGAAAAAGAATTTGACCAAATTTAGAAATAATTTCAATTTTTGTTGGAAAACCATTTGATTGCGCAGTGACCAGTTTACGAGTAATTTTCATTTACAGATTAAAGTTGAATCGCAGGATTACAGAGAGATTAATCGATAGAACGATGGCGGACAGAATAATGGTATACGAGTATTCTTCAAACGCCTTGGGGCTAAAATATGGCAGGATTCTGTGCTCGAATACGGTCTACTGTGCAAACGACGACGAAAGTGAAAGCAACCAGCATAATGTGGACTGTCTAATCGACCTCGAAATCGTGCAATAGCTCGCTCGATGCGATGGCTAAAGACAAACTTACCGAGCGGAATAGAGAAGGGGACAAGATAGCGATTACGTGATAGAAAAGGCTATAAAAATGCACGTTGCAGGAGTCCCGACTAGACGCGACCACGCTGGTGCACGCGATGAACTTTTCAACGAACGAAACATCGTTTTAGATTGAATAATTCCGTGAATTATAATTACAAAATGATCGAGTTACATCTGTTTAGTCACTCTGTATCTCAATCGCATTTAATCGTTAGAATAATCGGCAATCGAATTGTCTGGAAACTCTGAATTATGTAATCGAATCGTAATGTGATTTAAGTACAATTTATTTCCAATATTGTTGTTTTTAAATTTCGAACTTGTTCCGTTTAGTCGTCCAATGAAGAAAATTGGTAAAGATAGCGAGTCGAAAGAAGCAAGCCTTTGGTGGCTTTTGGTAGTCTGATGGACGTTACAAATGCGAATCGATGCCTCGACAAAAGTCACGGAGAAGTCTCATGGAGAGGAACAATTGCCTGCGAAGACATTTTGCATACAATGTGAGCAGGGTACAGTCGTTCTAACAATAAGAACTTTCACCTGAATTTTACGTCAAAGGGAAGTGAACTAACGTGACGATAAATCAGTTTACAATTAAGGTTTCTTTCACGCTTGGCATTTTATTTCTTATTACTTTATTCTCTTCGTTAACTCGTGAGAAATGCTCTGCCGCGTTTTCCAATTCCATTTCGCAATAGTTTCCCGCCGCGAACCGAGAAATAATCTCTTTTAATTCTTTGATCAATTTCGTTTGTCTGAAATATCTTCGTACGAATTTACTTCGACGATCTAGACTTTAAATATTTTTTTTTCTTTTAGTCAGAATGGATATTCGATATCGTTGAATCGACCGAATTCAGCAGAAATTGCTAACAAATAATATTTACGAGTTGAAATGAAAAATGGTTGATACTTTTATTGTAAAAGCATATTCGAGCGGAATCGTATTAATTTTCCACTAAATATAGATTAGAAATCTATATGTCACTTGTAGTAAAAGGTGAAAGCTATAACTATGCGTACAAAAATGCAAGAGACCTATCATACCTTATGGTAAAAAGATATTGCATTCTAGAACCATTGATCTTTATCATCGTTTATAACTGCAATTAAATTTTTTATTAGATTCAATAAATTATTATGCATTAAATATTTGATCGATACACGGTTGTCATTGTTACACGTTTGTAAATACAGTGGATGGAATTAATATACTATTAAAAATAATCAATAAAGATTCGAGATAATCGGCTACATCTGCATACGCCATATTAAAAGTGGAACAAGAAGCTAAGAATTAAAAAAATTAATAAAAGTTCAAAAAATTGTACACGCGATTGAAATTATCATGGATTTGAGGATTAAAATTTCTTCTTTCCAACAAGAACTTTTCAAAAGTTGTACAATTTTGGTTCCTGAAAAATTTTGCTTCAGATCTCGCGATTATTAACTTCGACTCGTGTAACAATTTTGTCGATCGAGATTCTTTAGGGTAATTGTTAATTTTGGTTGTCTAGTACCGGATAATTGGTACACCCGCGGTAATAGGTGCATTTACCCTAACTGCAAAGCCTTGAACGGTATCGCAGGAGAACGTCCTTCGTTTCTGTCGACGAGTTTTCAGTTTCAAGCGTGCCGCCGTCGTGTCAACATCGCGCTCGAATCTCTAGCGATTATTCGAAACGATAGTAGTCGACAAATTAATAAGGTGAAAGGTTAGTGTGTCCAACCCGGAAGCATCCTAGGGGGTGGTCGAAAGAACCGTATAATCTGACCCGTGACCGTTTAACAACAGATTTACGTAACTCGACATTACAATACTTTTATAAAAATATTCTCTGTTAGAAATTTACATGGAATTCTTGTCGACTTAACGATATCTTAGATAGACTTAATATCTACTAAATTGATGAAATAAACATTACTTTTTTATATTAATAAATATAAAATCAATTATTTATTAATTGGGTTTCTATTAATTTGATACATCTATAAATGAATATGAACGCAGAAGCTTAAATAGTAATAATAGAGGCCAAAATAATACAAAAATCAAGAATACTTAATTTGTTATAGTTCAAGAATACTAATTGTTATTAACGTTTTAAGTTCCGCCCGTACTCGAATTTTTTTCTCGAAAGTGGGTAGGAATTCGGGGGTAGGTCTATTCACCAAAAATGCTTGTAATTGACCCTTTTAACTAAATATAATTTTTCTAGTAAGATTTGAAATTTTTTAATTTTGTCGAAAAATTTCACATCTTCTCGAATTTTTTTTTCGAAAGTGAGCAGGATTTCGAGGGTATGTTTATTCACTAAAAATGCTTGTAATCGACCCCTGTAACTAAATATAATTTTTTCAGAACAATTTGAAATTTTTTAATTTAAGTTTTTAATAACTTTTTAACGAGGCTTCGATCAACAAATTGATATTCTTGATTTTCGTCGTATTTTGGCCTCTAGAATACCCAGGTGTGACCGAACACCTTGTATAAACGTAGTACAGACGTAGCATGTGGATAATGAGGAAATACATCAGGTGAAAACATTAATTTGTAGTGTCGACACGCGACAGAAACGGATCACGAGAATGCAGACCAGCTGGATCTTTATTTTCCTGAAGGTTTTGCTTCGGTGTTACCTTTGGAAGACCGTTACTGCGACCGAGAGCCTTCGAGTGGTTTACCAATGGAAACAACTGGATTACGAGTGGCCGAGTAACGACACCAAGGAGCATTTTCCATGGTACAAGCAGGAAGACAATCTCCCTCTTGGCCTCGAAGTCACAGACGACAGAGTTTTCATCACGGTACCAAGATGGAGACGCGGCGTTGCGGCCAGTTTGAATTACTTTTATGTCAACGGTGAGCCCGCCAATGTACACTGTTCTATAGATTTTATCGTTAACAGTCCTCGGTATTTACCGTAAAATTTGTCAAAAAATAAAAAAAATGATAAAATAAACAAATTTTTAACATTCTTTAAAAGTAAAATCACCCTAGCTTTCTCACTCATTTTCTAGAGCAGAAGGTTCAACCTTGATAGCGACACATTAAAGTGAACTAATTTAGTAAATTTTATAAGAACAATGGAGCATATAATTATCGTTTAACGTTATGGTTTCAGACACAAGCGAATCGCCCGCCTTGATTCCATATCCGTCCTGGGAGACGCACGAGTACAAGGCCGGGAACGTTCCAGAGATCATCTCAACGTTTCGAATTCGCGCGGATAAATGCGAGAGGCTGTGGGTCCTCGACACAGGATTCACCGACATTTTGGATAGCCCGGAACAGCAAGCACCGCCAGCACTGATAGTCTACGATTTAACGACCAACCAAATGATACGAAAATACGTTATTCCCGAAGATCAGAGGACAGCCGATTCGCTTTTCGCGAATATCGCCGTCGAAGATTATTCCTGCGACGATTCTTACGCTTACTTGGCAGACTTGGGGGGCCCGGGACTTGTTGTTTATTCGTGGAACACGAACACGTCGTGGCTCGTGAAACACCACTTCTTCAATCCGGATCCTCAGGTTGATATCTCTGTCAAACGTTAACGCGTGTTTTCCATGTTTAAAAACATAGAAACTCCTTGCAGTACGATAACCTTTAGCACAGTTTAAATCTACAAGAAACATATATGCATCTAACGTGTACTGTTCTAACTTTGTCAAGGCTGAAGAGTTTAATGTGTCGGGAATATCGTTCCAATGGAGCGACGGTTTATTCGGTATGGGTTTGGCCCCCATAGGCGATGGGTACAGCACCATGTACTTTCACGCGCTGTCCAGCAACATGGAATTTTCTGTCAGCACGAAGTTACTCAGAGATCCTGACAGTGTCAGTGCTCCAGGTGAGGCGACCAAAATAACGAAGTAATTAATTATAATCAGAGTTGGAGGTGCAATTGAGGTGAAGGTACCTAATACGACCAAGCAAAAGTTAAATCGAAATATAATTCATATCATTTGAAAATAGCGTACCCAAGAAATATCGAATTAGTTATTGTAATTTATTTTACTGTAAAAGCGTGCACGATGCTTCTGTATTAATATACCAATTCTCACTTAATTATTCCCATCTTCTAATTACTTTATTTATGTTAGTTTGTATTATATATTTTACGTTTTAGAAAATTCCCATGGTTTCCATGCTCTCGGATCACGGGGACGCAATGGTCAGAGTAGCGTCAGCTTTCTAGATCAAAACACAGGTGTTCTCTTTTACGCATTGACCAACATGAACGCTATTGCTTGTTGGAAACCTCAAGATATGTTTACGACTCAGCAGCAGGATTTAATTTACACGGATAACGTTACGATGATCTTCCCCAACGATTTAAAAGTAATCGCTTTCGATTAATTTACTGGTAAAACGGTTCAATTTGGAAAAGATTTTGTTATTCGTTTTCGTTTCAGATCGATCAAAATGGCCAAATATGGGTGCTCTCGGACCGTCTGCCGACGTTTATGTACTCTCAACTGAACCTCGACGATTATAACTTTCGAGTTCTGACTGGTTCCACTCGTGATGCAATAAACGGCACCGTCTGTTCTATGGAAAGTTTAGTTTCGACCACGGATATGCCGCGCGATCCATCGATACGGAAGTTCATCTCTTCGACAGTGTCCAAAAATTCCGGTTCCGCCAAAAGTTACGAAGTTATGTTCGTTCTGACAGCCGTGGCATTTTTTTTAACAACGTACATTTGAGAAGTCTTTTGAACGTTTGATTGAACAAATTTGTTGCGCGAAACTCGGAATACAAAGAACCGTGGAATCGTCGAGGACATTTTTGCGCGAACAAATACGAGTCGAAGCGAAAGATTCCCATGGAACGATGTCGAAAGACGGTTATGCAACGGATTAGATAACAAGCGATCGAAGGTTACGTACGATTTACTGGATTTATGATGTAATCGGTTTCGAATCAACCGCATTCTGGTTTCGGTAAGCATAATGTCTAATTATCCTTTCCTTATTTAAAACACTGTGACCAGGCCAATCCAACGACACGCTTATTAACATTAACGTGTGTCGATTTTTAAGCATTGCATCGAAGCGTGAAACAGTTGTTAACCCTTTGCATTCCGAACATTGGAAGTTACGGAACTCGTAAATGTTATTTGTCAGCAGTTTATGTCGAATTTGATTAATGTAACAACACGAATACGTAATGCTAATTAAAAGGAAAACTGCATTTCAATGTAAGTATCAACATAACGAGTTTCGGTTTGCGTTAACATAAATGGAAACTTAAACTGAGTTGCGTTGCATATTACGTATGCAGTGTAAAGGGTTAATGCGTGTTGTCGTTGATTTTTATGATGCTATTGTGGATATTTATCGTGGTATGATACGATTCAAATTTCAAGTATCGTTGAAACGAGATGACAACGATACAATTAATGAACTATCAGAGTTGTGACTTAATCGAGGTACCATGGAATAATATTTTACGATTCTAAATATAATACTAACGTACTTTACACTTTTTTAATGGATTTTACCAAGTCTTTTGTTCAATGCTATTTTTACCACGGTTTTATGCATACTTATTTCGACCAAGATGTGTTTTTTTATACCTTTTGGTACAAACAGCGTTAAAACACGCCAAGTGAAAAGTGAAGCATAATCAATTTGGCGCTTAATATGTTAAATCGGTGGAACCTCAAAAATTTGGTGCTATTTTTCTGATTAAAAATTACCGAAAGCCGGATAAATAATAATTTGTACAAATAATTTACTAGGATACATATTGTTGTCATACGAGTTCATCATTATTAATATTTGTATTTTTAAACCAGAATTTCGATTATACGTTTTTCTAAGCATTAACCTTTCATTATTGTATAAATGAGTTTGCATCCGTTAGTTCCTAATTTCGTAGCTCTAGCTGCTTGAAACCTGTGCATATAATAGTTTTAAATATTATTATATCAAACTATTGTATATTAAAGTTACACACTTGTGTTGTAAGTTGTGGTGCTATTTAAACAAAACACCAGCTCTATATACATATGTATTTTTTCATTCTTATTATACAGTTGAAATTAATGTACCACTGTAACTGCAATTCCAACATTTACAGTTATAATACCGCAATACTATTGCTATACTTCTACTGGAATCACTACTATCATTATTACTATTAAAGTTATTAGCACTATTCTCTTGTTTAAACAATCACGTACATTCCTAAAAGCATCTAACATTAACAGGAACTATAGTACACGGTATATTTGCATTTTAATGATCACGTTTATGTATTTAAGATATCTTTTGATAAAATAAAAGTTAAGGAAAATTAAACTTGCTCGTTTACCAGTTATTATCTTCTTCTTTTTGTCTTTATAAAGTGTTGCGGATGCTTGGAATTGTGAAGTCGTTTCCAAGAAATTCAACCAATTAATTTTTCAGGATTCCGGCGGGACTTTATCAGGAAAACATGGTAGCACAGAAGGCACTAATTTCGCGAATTTCATAACATAATTAGTGGAAGGAGAAAGGTTCTAAATTCTAATGACAGAGATAGTTTGAATATTTAGCTTTTATTACCGTAAATTGCTCGTTGATTCTACAGGAAAAGGATCCAGTTGACACACAGATTCTTCTTCATTTCTCCCAGGCGGGAGACTGTGTGGCACTGCGAGTCTGCGACAGTATCGATCGATCCATCGAACTTGCGTAGCAACGTAGCCCCCATGGCAACCAGCGATTGTTTTGCTTCTGTTAAAGATTCGCGAGATCTACTGCAGAGTAGTAGCAGTTTTGTTGACAGAATGTCAGGAATTATGACTGCAACGGGCCTTATGGGAGCACAAATTCGACCTGTTTGTCGTCCGAAAACAAAGGTATCGCTTGAAGGAAATTTTCAACGATTTAGATTGGGAGCACACGAACGTTCCGTTTAAAATAGTTGGCATTTCGACCTTACAAATGGTACTGTGGGATCCATCGCTTCCCGTACTCGCCGCCAGAGGGACTACAAGCGCTCGACCGACTCCCAATATCCTGGCGTCTAAAGCAGGGGTCCTCTTCCTTATCCTTATTCTTATCTTTACCATTTCTTCCACAGGACCAGCAAATTACTGAAAAAGATATTAAACACTAGATTTACGGAAGCCGTCAATTTGACGGATGTCAGATTTCAAATTTAAAATTGCAGAACGCGTAAATATTATTTTTTAACAATTTGATTGATGCAATGGCATGAATACATATTTTAATTAAAAGAAAAATCGTATTTTAAGGTAATCGTCAACATGAAACGTATCAATAAATATACATGCGATCAATACCCGTAAATCTAGTGTTAAAAAAAGAAAATAGGAAATGAAACATCGATGCTTCTTGTGTTACAGCGCGTGGAACTGTCTGGATCGGCCAAACCAGCTCCTTTTATTCTTCGACCCTTTTCTAGCCTCTTCAATCCATATCCTTATGGCTGCTCAGTGCTGTGTAATCATCCAGCAGATTACGAGGCGAAAGAGATTCTCAGGCGAGCGAAAGATTCATGGGTACAAAATAATATTTGATATATTATTATTGTTCACGAGTATATTTAACATAATGTGCTTAAGAAATCACTTGTCAATCAGTGTGTTGGGTAAATGTGTTATTAAATTGTTTAAAATTCATCCTTTTGTGTTTTCCTCAGGCAACTGAAGGGAAAGCGGTATTGTTGCCGGAAGAAATGGACATGATCAGGGCAAGTTTGGCGGCTGCAACGGGTGCGATCGATGCGAGTGTCAATGCTTCCGCTGCGAATGCGGAAATGCACAATTTCGACGCAGTTCCCGAGGAATTGTTTCGTAAATACACCGAGACGGACTCTAGACCGTTGACTCCCGCACCCACGCTTGCCAGTGGACCTGTCTTGACAAACAGACCGAATCAAGAAGAATTGGCGATAACCAGCAACCCGCAAGAACGTACCATGCTGGTCTTGGACCTCAGAGCTAACTCTAAGAACCAGATGGTTCGTTGATGCTAAATATTTATGGATCTCGTCGCTTACTGTACTCGCCGCCAGAGGGACTGTTACACGATCCTCGACTGACCCCCTCAAGTTGGGAGTCCCAACATCCCAGGCTGGGCTAGGTTACACTAACTCAGATCTAACCCAACTGGCTGGGATTCCCAGCGTCTAAAGCAAGGTCTGCTAGGACATTAATACTAGAATTGGCTTCCGGGTTGGAGCCGCGTTCAGAAGACGAGAGAGTCCGACGTTTCGCCAGCATTGCAGCTAGCTTCATCAGGGAATCAAATAATCTCTGATACTGAAGAAAGTATCAGAGGGGACCCTAACTTATACCCGTGTCCATCGTTGCGGATCAGTGCACTATCCAATAGTTTTTAATTGGGCAGCTGGCGAACGATGGACACGGGTATAAGTTAGGGTCCCCTCTGATACTTTCTTCAGTATCAGAGATTATTTGATTCCCTGATGAAGCTAGCTGCAATGCTGGCGAAACGTCGGACTCTCTCGTCTTCTGAACGCGGCTCCAACCCGGAAGCCAATTCTAGTATTAATCACTATGGCCGCGAAAGCCTAAAAAGTATTACTGCTAGGACATCTTATTGGCGAGTCCGTTGAGCAGACCCGGGATGAAACGCGCTCTCCTTATCCTTCTCTTACAAACTGATCCACAGGACCGCCAAATATTTATAATCTGACTTTGTTCTCTTTCGTTTCAGGAAAATGAAACTTTCACCTGGCACGCCTTGACTTTAGAACTGCCGCCAACTCCTCGAAAAGCCAAGATTTTCGTAACCAAATCGACTCCTTGACGTCAATCGTGTTCGCCAAACCCAACGACCAATGCTCCACCTTCTTGCCCAAGCGTAAACACCAACGAACCGGTATTCAAAACAGTCAATTAACATTATTTCTATCAAAGGTTTTAAAATTTTAACTATTTATTTTACAAGTTTCTGTTGTATCATTGAATCCGTATGTTACTTATATTACAAATATTTATTGTACTTTACAAGAGTTCCAGCAATCGCAAAGAGGAAGATGAATCGGGAACCACGAGTAAGGAACACGTAATTATTCGTAGGAGAGGAAAACGATTGCGAAAAGGGAAGTGCAGAAGAGGATCAGCTTATAGACAGCAAGCGGAAGTCCACGATTTATTGGAACCAACCGAGACTCAAGTATCGCACATAGGAGACGGTTCTAGAAGGACTTCGTTAGTAAAACTTAGTTGCCTTTTAATTATCCTTGAATCGTATTTTGTCTTATTAAATTATTTCATTTTCTTTGCACGAGGATCGATGGATCTGTTTCATTTCTTTTCTCTGGTCCGTTGTTTAGAATTCACACGTCCAACGGCGACGCAGAGAATCCATCGTCTCCCAAGAAAGCCTCTGCGTTGACTACAGTTTCATCCGCGATGCCTCCCAGTTTCATCGAGCCGGACATTTTGAAACATTTGTGCAGAGAATTGGATCGAGATAAGGTGGACGCAGAGTTCTCGTACAAGGTAAAATGTTAAAATCAGAATAGTCTCTGATCACATTGGTCAATAAATTTCTAATGATGATTTGTATATTTTTGAAACTTGCTTCGTAAACATCTCCAATGTAATCTAAGATTAAATTAATTTTTTATGTGATATCAGAGAAGAATCGTATTCGAGGAAGCTCTCCGGGCGAAAGGCGAAAGTTATTCGCATTTTAGAGGGTCCCAAACATTCGCGAATCTTACAGTAACAGGGACAACGAGAGTATTTTCTCGCCAAGCGGCTCGTTTCGAAATTCTGGACAGTGAAAGTTTACGCGGTACGTGCATTATCTGTAAAATATCCTTAAATTGTATCATCCTAAACAAATCAGTATAATCCCATAAAATTTCTTTCAGGGTTGACGGTGTCAGAGTACATCGGTAAACACGTTTTCATTTCTTCAGGAAGGAAATTAATTTTTGGCAGAGTGTTCAACAAATTTCAAGAGGAGTCTTTGGGATGTTCCAGGTATATCCTTCCAAATGACATCCACACAGCTCTGCAGGAAATTATTGGGAAACCCATGACGGAAGAACAGGAGGCATATTTTAAATCTATAATTGGGGAAACGAAGGAACCATTGAACTTCAGAAGTTGGTGCGGTCTGTGCGCCACCGTGGAGCGATTACTGTGTCCTCTTCCCCAAAAAGAAATCGATCCTCCATCGTGGTTGGAAAGAGTGGATTTCGAGGCGTTGGAACGGAGACTTCAGTCCTTTGATGTGGATCCAAAACTAAGGATATTTTTAAGAGAGATCCGCGACAAATAAAAATATAATTCATAAACAACGTAAAAATACAATCACTCGTTTCATGAGTCGTTGTCTCGCTGTCATGCGTATATTATTAATACGATTTTTCAGAATCAAGATTCTTTAAGATTAATTAGCTCTGCTGGCTTCTGTTGGCATCTGTTGACCGCCTCTTATATTTCTGCAAACATATAACGATTACTACTGAGTTCTGCCTGCCTCTGCTGGCCTCTGCTGTCCTCTGCTGACCACCCCTGATGCTTCTAACAACATGTAACAATTACTGCTTGTTACTGCTTGCTCCTGCTGGTCTCTGCATCCCTCTGCTGGTCTCTCCTGGTCTCTCCTGGTCTCTCCTGGCCTCTCCTGGCCCCTGTTGACCACTACTGACGTTTGATGACAACTTCTGACATGACGTGTATGTATTAAAGCTTTGTATAGTGTAAATCTATGGCAATAAATGATACAATTTCAAAGAATACTGTGTTCTCATCATTTTTACCATTCCTTTCCTCTCCAAATCATGCCCTTAGTTATAAGATGACAAGTGCCTGCATTCTAGCCCACTTAAATGTCCGTTTAGTTTGTCCGTGAAGCTCCCTGTATGTACAAGTTGAAGAAGACGTGACCCACCGGTGGTACACGATTTGCACCGCCATCTACGGCAAAACGCCCAAGTTTGTCGCGGAATAGTTCGCTATTTCAACGATAGATGGCGCTTATTTCCGACCTCAAGCCCCCTGGTGTTAAAACGCCCAAGTTTGTCGTGAAATTGTTTGTTATTTTCAACGCTAGATGGCGCCCCTTAAGAACCTCAGGCCCCCTGGTGCTAAAACGCCCAAGTTTGTCGTGAAATTGTTTGTTATTTTCAACGCTAGATGGCGCCCCTTAAGAACGTCAGGCCCCCTGGTGCTAAAACGCCCAAGCTTGTCGAGAAATCCATCTAGCGTGGACGGTACGAACTATTCCACGACAAACTTGGGCGTTTTAGCACCAGGGGGCCTGACGTTCTTAAGGAGCGCCATCTAGCGTTGAGAATAACAAACAATTTCACGACAAACTTGGGCGTTTTAACACCAGGGGGCTTGAGGTCGGAAATAAGCGCCATCTATCGTTGAAATAGCGAACTATTCCGCGACAAACTTGGGCGTTTTGCCGTAGATGGCGGTGCAAATCGTGTACCACCGATGGGTCACGGTTCCTTCAACTTATAGACAGGGAGCATCACGGACAAACTAAACGGACATTTAAGTGGGCAAGAATGCAGTCACCGTATTCCACCAGTTTCCATGAGCAAATATTACCATAACGATAGTTACAAAATGTATAAATTGTTTGTATCAGTCACCTAAATACAGTAATAACAACTGGAACAACAATAAATTTATTATACATTACATTTTATTACATTTTATTATACATAGAATTTTGTTTCCAATTTAATATCGTAGCGTCGAGTGGCATGCATTCGAAGTTTCTACGAATAGGTTATCATTCGCAATTAACATTCTATAACTAAGATTACATTCTCAATCCTGTATGTTCGACTTGCATTATAGCGACGCTTCACTTTTAACGACAACACTTTGTTTGCAAATATTGTGTTCACGTTTTACATTCAAATTTTGTCGAAACAAATGCCAGCGTATCATAATCGGTGATTCTCCGTACGTTACAAATTATTTCAAATTTAAATTTAACATGGCGTCTTCTTCTCCCCTCTTTTCGAGGCATAATAAGCAAAGTGTTTTGAAACTATAATGTTATTAAACATTCTCAATACTAAAATAATAGTGAAATCCATCTTCGCATGAATCGAGATTGCGTGCACGAAGTATGCTCATCATTTTTATGGAAACATGTAAGTAATAGAGAATGTGGCGGGAAAAGATATACATTATTGTCTTTTATTATTTTTCGTTGTTACAGTGTAGCGTTTAATTTTATTCAGCTTGGCTCAACGATCTCCATAAACTGTGCAATTAATATTATTATAAATTAACAAAATGTAGCGTCACACGAGACATTTGTGTTCCTAACCTCTGGTCGTTGAATAATGCTTTAATCTTATGTAGGTTTTGTAATGTTAACGAGGAATATACAATACATTGATTATTAAAATGGTGGAAGAAATGGAAACTTGTCAGAATGCTCCCACGAAGAGGGTGGAGGAGAGGAACGATGAGGACGATGGAGGAATGGACACGGACGAAGAAGGTGGATTAAAAGTTGACAACGATATATATATACCTCCGCCTCCCAAGTCTATCAGTAAACTTGACGTTAACGGTCCTAGGCTTATGATTACAAAGATCGTCAATGTGAATTTTAAAAGTTACTGCGGTACTCAAGTCATCGGTCCGTTTCATAAGGTAAATATAGAAAATTCCACCAAGTATTTTGGGTAAATTAATAACACAATCTTCTTGCTTTCCGCAGTGTTTCTCTGCTATTATCGGTCCAAACGGTAGCGGTAAAAGTAACATTATAGATTCTATGCTATTTGTATTTGGATACAGAGCCAGTAAGATTCGATCGAAAACATTATCGGTGTTGATACACAATTCCGATAAGCATCAGAATATAAATAGTTGTACAGTGTCTGTACATTTCCAACAAATAATCGATAAAGTATGTTACGCGTATTACGCCAGTGATCGTTCGAATAAAATTTTAAACGAATCTCTTAATGCGATAACTCTGTTTCAGCCTGGGGCGGACTACGATGTCGTCCCAAACAGTGAATTTATTATATCACGCACGGCGTTTAAAGATAACACATCTTACTATCAATTTAACAAAAAGAAAACATTGTTCAAAGAGATTTCAAGGACTCTGAAATCGTACGGCGTGGATTTAACTCACAATCGTTTTTTAATTTTACAAGTATTCACCGTGATGTTTTGTAATGTAATTCTATTTCTGTTATGATTTCATATCGTTTTACATAAAATTATTGCGTTAGGGGGAAGTCGAGCAAATAGCAATGATGAAACCTAAGGCACAAAATGAACACGACTTTGGGATGCTCGAATTTTTAGAAGATATAATCGGAACAGTACGTTACAAAGAACCGTTGCAAAAATTATCAGAGAAAGTGGAGGATTTAACGAACTACAGAGTCGAGAAATTAAATCGTTATAGAATCGTTGAGAAAGAAAAAACAGCTTTAGAGGAACCCATGCAAGAAGCAGTACAATATTTACGAATAGAGAACACAATAACAAAAATACAACATCAGCTTTATCATTGTAACAGGTAGTTTACCATTGAACCAGACGTTTATCCTTTAAAACTATGTATTATTTGAATTTGATAAAAAAATCTTATTTCAATAGATTCGAGACTATGAAAGAAGTATCGGAGTTCGAAAGTAAGAAGACCGAAATGGATAAAGATTTATCGGATCTCGTAAATAAATTGAAGGAAGTTCAGAACGAGGAGAAGCAGAAGAACGATATAATCGCAGAGAAAAATAAAAAATGGAACAGTTTGCAACACCAAAAGGATGAATTTTTAACAAAATTTGATCAAGTTCGAAAAGAGGACGAGTCCCTTCACGCGGAATTAGTGGCAACGAACAAACGACGAAAAGCCAACATCGCGACATTGAAAACGGTAAAATTTCTTTTATTATTTCTTAATAACACGATTATGTTTTAATTTCGATATTCAGTGATCGAGTATCGTTTTTAGGAAAAAGATAAAATAGAGGAATTACGCCAAGTGCCTGGGAAAAACATGCGCGATATCGAGGAGTGCGAGGAACAGCTTGAAAAGAACATAAAAAATCAAGGAAAACTAAAAGAGGAATTAGAAACGTTGGTGGACGGAGTACGTGAAAAGATCGAGCCGTTGTTGAAGGAACGTTCGAAATTCGAGAAGGAATTAATGTCTTTGAGGAAAAACGTGGACGAAGCGCAGGCGGCTTTCAATATTGCTCAGTCTGAACTGCAATTGTACACGTCTGTAGAATTCAGGGAGAAAGAAACACTGGAGGCGTTCAAGAATTCTTTGACCTCGACGGTGAACGATCTGAAGGAGAAAAAGCAACAGCTGCAAATAATAGAAACAAAAATCTCGAGTAATAAGCAGGACTTGGCGAACGCTCAACGGGAATTCGAAACGGTGAAAAGCAGAGAGATCGAAATGACTTCGAAATTGAAGAAGATGAGGATTTCGTTCGAGGAACAACAATCTGCTATGAGAGCGAACAAATCGAGAAACAAAATTCTGAGTAGCTTGATGAGGGAGAAAAGGGAAGGAAGAATTACTGGTATATACGGGAGACTGGTAAGTAAATAAAGAATTGAGGGGTTTGCGTTGGATTAAATTTAAAAATATGGGTAACAGATGATATAGTAGAATAATGTTCTTGGGTTTCCAAGGGTGTACAATTTATCATCCTAATTAGCATAATTAACATTATTTAAGAAATAATATGTTTTTGATGGCTATGATTCGACTTGCGCCACTTTAAAAATAAACTTTTTCATCGCTTCATTTAACCAGCAAATTTTCGTGTTACAAAATCTTAATGATTTTAAATATATTAGTAACAAGTTCAATCATAAGCAGAATCATGTAAAAATGTAACTATTAAGGTAGCTAACTTTCAAAATAAACGGTTCAATTATTTATTCCTGTTTTTTGCGTACAGGGGGACCTTGGTGCAATAGACGGAAAATACAACGTTGCAATTTCCACAGCTTGTGGCCCCCTGGACAACATCGTGGTCGACACCGTGGCGACTGCACAGGCGTGTATAACTTTTCTACGACAGAACGACATAGGGCGCGCAACGTTCATACCGTTGGAGAAACAGCAGCATTTGTTGTCACGATCCGCACAGAAGATAAAAACACCCGAGAATGCACCGAGGCTTTTCGATCTTGTACGCGTCGAGGACGAGAGAGTACTGCCTGCGTTCTATTACGGATTACACGACACTTTGGTGGCAAATGATTTGCAACAAGCGACGCGTATCGCGTACGGTAACAAACGTTTCAGGGTGGTTACGTTGAAGGGTGAATTGATCGAATTGTCAGGTACAATGAGCGGCGGAGGAAGGTCCGTAATGAGGGACAGAATGGGACAGAAGGTAGTGGCGAACGAATTGTCCGTCGTGGACATCGAACGTTTGCAGACAGATTTGGATAAAACGTACCAAGAGTGCAATCAACTTAGGGTTAAATATCAGTCCTTGGAAAGTCAGATTTTTACGCTGAATACGAATTTAAAAGGTATGGAAGCTGAAAGGGAGAAGTTGCATAACCAAGTGAAGACGTCGCAGGAACAAGAGTCATCGTTGCGAATGCAGTTGAAGATTCAAGAAAAGAAAGTCGCGAACTCGGTCTCCGACCCGAAGAAGGTTCAGGAATTAACAGCGAGGAAGAACACGGCGGAGAAATCGCTGGAGAAAGTAAAGGGAAGTTCCGAGTCCATAGAGAAGAATGTTGCACGTATCAACGTGGAGATAGAGGCAATGTCGGGTAATCGCGTGAAGGATCAGCAGAAGAAGATATCGAATATGTCGAAATCGATCGACAAAATTAAAGCAGAGATTTGTAAGTTGCAAGTGGCGATCAGAACGGCCGAGAGGAACGTGTCGAAGGTGGAGAAGAACATAGAGAGGCTCGAGAATGACGTGCACGATGGCGAGCAAAGACTTCGTGACATACAAAAGGAGAAGCAAAAGTACGAGGAGGAGGCGCAGGAGCTTCTGCGCGAAGTCAATAAACTTTCGGAGGATCTTTCGGAGAGGGACGAGACTTTGCCGGCTCTTAAAGAGGAGCTGAACGCTCTGCAGGACCGAGAGAATAAAATAAAAGCAATTAAAATCGATGTCGACCAGAAATTGGTGAAGTCTAATTCCACGATCAAGGGATTGAAGCAACAGATTCTCGAGTACACGAAGAAAATAGCGCAGTTGAAGCTTCAGTCGATACCCGACGAGGATCCAGAAGAATTGAAGGAATTGACGGAAGAGGAGCTTCTCGAATTGGATAAGAAAGCTATTGTAATTAATTTGGAAAAGGCGCAGAGGAAATTGCCCTCGGAGATCCCTAGTATGCAGCTTATCGCTGAGTACAGAGAGAAGAATGCATTGTGCTTGAAACGCGCCGCTGATTTGGAGGAGATAACGAACGAGCGTAACAGAATAAGAGATATCTATGAGACAGCGAGATGTCGTAGAATTCAAGAGTTCCTCGCAGGCTTTTCAGTGATCACCGACAAGCTGAAGGAAATGTATCAAATGATTACGTTGGGAGGCGACGCAGAGCTGGAGCTGGTCGACTCGTTGGATCCTTTCAGCGAGGGGATCGCTTTCAGCGTGAGGCCGCCCAAGAAATCTTGGAAAAATATCTGCAATCTGAGCGGCGGCGAGAAAACATTGAGCTCGTTGGCTCTTATATTCGCGTTGCACCATTACAAACCGACTCCTCTGTACTTCATGGACGAGATAGACGCCGCTTTGGATTTCAAAAATGTATCGATCATCGGCAATTACATCAAAGAGAGGACAAAGAACGCGCAGTTTATAATTATATCGTTGAGATCGAATATGTTTGAGCTGGCCGATTACCTTGTCGGGATATATAAAACGTACAATTGCACGAAGAGCGCTATCGTCGATCTGAGGAAGTACATCGGAAACCCGGGTATTTCTCAGTCGACGCAAATGACTTCGAAAAATGTTTATCCGTCTCAGCTGCAAAAATTCTGTATACAAAGTCGAAACGAGGACAGGTGTGTGACACAGACTATGGACAATGTACAGGCAGCGGACAAGAATCAAGAAACAAATGAAAACACGTTGCTTCCGTAAGTTGAACAACGTTTCTTAAATTTACTGATAATTCTAGTCTTCGAAGTAGTTGTTTTTTTTTCATCCAACGATCATGTGACAAAAAGAATTTTTTTTTAAACCAATGAAACAGATACGACAACAGTTGAAAACTGAATTGTTATTTTTTTTTTTATAGTTTAAGCGACTTACACCTGTGTCCAACACCGACGAAGTCATCTGTACAAAATAAACGTTCCGAGAAGAATAACGCGATAGACTCGGGCGAGGAGAACATTGATAAACAACCTACGAGGAAAAAACGTCGAATATCAAACATAGAAGCGAATACTTAGTTTAATATTTCACATAGTTAATTTATCTTGAAGTTATTTTTCATATCAGACCGTGACATATAACGTTATAAATAAGCACAATTAATATACGATTAATTTTAAGTCATAAAATGCATTCAAATAGTACGAGTATTTTTCTTCTGTATATTATTTACTTTATCCGCAAAAATAAAGAATTAGATTTACGATACTATCGCCAAGTGACTGATCATAATTAGATTTATATAAATAGCAATAATATAAATGTTGCTACGAGCAAAGTACTTTATTTCACCAGTCACTTGCGAAGCGTTTACATTATTTTGTATTACAGTTACTCGTTTAACGTTATTTTTAACGAATACTGCGAGCAAATAAATCTGTAATTTTATATTGAAAATCATAAAGATCGTAAAAAATAACATAAAGATAGTTTAGATATTGTTTGCAAAGTGGTTGTAAAAAAAAACAAAATATTTTTATATAAATTGTAGATATATGCCAGAATATAATACCGATTTAAAATTCTTTTTAGTTGTACGAAATACTGCATGATCTCTCATAAATCCCCAAACACTCTTCAACTTAAATCCATATTTCCAATTTTTTTAGGACCATCTATTGTTTGTATCGAGATGTATTGTGTAATCGTTATCAATCATGGCGTGTAATTTAATTGATAAGTCTTGGTTGTACAAAGTCCCATGGGAAGTACTTGCGTTATGTATTATAGCTTTAGTCTATGTATATGCCACTCATTGAGAATTCCGACAAAATTTGGCCCGAAATATGGGTATACGAAATAAGAAATTTTGCCCTTATATGAGCAGCTTTTGGGTCGGATGAGGTCTCATTCGAAAGAGGAAGGTCCAATGCAGCGCGCGCTGGTCAGTATCGAACGAGATTGTGTTCACATTTATTAATATCAACGTCGAAAGTCGAGAAAAAGATTGACAAAATACAGCCATAGAATCGAGGTCTTTTTAGCTTACTAAAAGAGTTGTGCGATTCCAATACCGACCAGCACACGCTGCATTGGACCTTCCTCTTTCGAATGAGACCTCATCCGACCCAAAAGCTGCTCATACAAGGACAAAATCTCTTATTTGGGAATTGCATTCCCAAAAGCGAGTTCCCGCCAATTACATGGGTAATAGCAGAGCAAGTCGTTCTTCGTCTTTGTATTGTACACATACAAGATTCGATTGAAAAAAAAGGAAAAAGAATCGACAAAAGTGTTCGTGGGGGACACGTTAATTCTAAAAATGAAATCGCGATGCGCGTTGTCGTACAGTGTGAACCTAATTGGGAAGGAATGAGATACGTACGTAGAAGGAAAGGAGAAGACGGTGGTCGATGTCGGTGGGGCGCGTGTACGATATAGATAATATCGAGTAAGAGATTAGAATTTGAACAGTCTGCGTTTGACAGCGTTAGAAATGACGGCCGCGAACAAGGAGGAGGATGTGGAGGATGCCTTCGAAAGGAAGTCGTCGAGACTGTCAGGTATTTAATTAATTTTTCAGTCAATTAAGTCAATTTAAAACAATTAATTGCACGCATTTCCCCATTCGGTTTAAAGAGCGACGCGAACCGTACAGCGAGTTTCGAAGTTCGATAATGAGAATCAATTGCATGCAATTTAAAAACTCTAGTATACATTAGCATCTAAAGGGCAACACGTTCTATACTGTTCTCTTTCAAGTTCGTGCACGCGTATGTATCCGAAAACATCTCGTGTACGCAATTAAATTATAAGGAAAACCGATAAAATTGTTATATAATGTTTTTTTTTTTCTTTTTTATACGATACGCGATCTAGCATTCTGAGCTGAAGTTTGTGTTCGCGAACAGCTCGAAAGCAAGTAGAATTTTCCATCGTTCGATAAAAAATATTATGAATTATAGTTTGTATCGATCGAAAATTTTAAGGCGATCGATGTGGTACGAATTAGAAATGCATATACGTTGCAACGATTTATATCGAGCGATTAGAAAAATTCTAACAATACAGAATTTAGTCTCGTTTTCGTTCGTAATGATTGCTTTATTTAAAGATATAAAAATGGTAGCTGCCTTTCGAAGAAAAGAAATCAATGGCGCGGCAACGATGCTTCTTTGCATCGAAGTCTCTGGTTAATCTTAAACAACGATATAAACAATGCCTTGAAACCCACGTGCGAGGAACTATTATTCGACTTCCAAATCTTACTGAAAATACTGGACAATGCGTGTGAAAATTGGTCTAGAAACTATAAAACCAGCGAAGTGAAAATACTAGAACTGTATGATAAGTACGAGGAAGTTTGTTTTTTGTATTAGTTAATCTCGATAGCTGTAATTACTCGCGCCAGTGTTTATTGTGAAATTGATAACAACGCGAGAAGTAAGGTAGAAAGTATTTTGTATTTAAAAAACACAGTTAAATGTAATATTTACACACAAGAAATTAATAAGAGTGGCTAAATTTTGCAATATTTGAGATCACCGTTTAAAACAATTTTATCTTATTAAAATATTAGTGAACGAACAATATTTACCAATTTTCACTGGTAACAATGTCGATTTTTATTTCTCATCAAAACACAGAAGCGTTGAACTAAACTGTGTTTTAGTGATGACGATATCGAAACACTATTCACTATTAAAAGTACGACGTTTCATTTGGCTAATTTCTAGGGAGTGAAATAAAATCGTTGGTTTTTTTATTGAACGATTTTGAACGGCGAATAGAAAAATTGATCCGTGAACTAGCTTTTACATTTGTTACATTTACAAACGTGGATAAAAGTTAGTTTACGATCGATTTGAAAATTGTTATTTCTTGTTCGTAAATGAAATTTGTTCGCTTTTGATTATGGTAAATGAGCGCATAGCGTGGTACTCGTACAACACGGTCGAAAAAATTGCAATAGACCTTGTATAACGTGGTTTCGTATAGCGCGGTGGATGCACACAACCAACCACTCGCGTCGTCTACGCGCTCTCTCTCTTTCTCTCTCTCTAGCTCGTGTCACTTCTATTTCTCTCTCTCTCTTTCTCTTTCTTTAGCTTGTATTCTTATTCGTGTGAGATTGGAGTGTCGGGTAACGCGATTTCGTATAACGCTATAGATAAATACGTATTTGCGCAACATCCTACGGATTTATTATTGCTCTTTATTTCTTTTACAATCTCTTTTTCTAAATCGTGCCTCCTAAAACGCGGAACGAATTTAAAAAAAGAGGAACTTTTCAACGCCCGCCACGTGTCTCGATCGTAAAAATAAATTTTTCTAACGCGTCGATTTTCCACAAAAATTTTTAAAACTAATTTTTTAATATTTTTTAAATTGTTCGCAACGATTGAACTTTAAATTTTAAACGATGTCGACAGGAATCCTATAAAATAATAAATCGGTATATATCTGCGCGATCGAGTGCAAAAAAAAGAGTCTAGGCGCATATTTCACATTGCAATTTGAAGGAACGTCGAGGACATCTTTACGGATGGAAAAGTGTCATGGCGCGGAATTTTTTTTTCTACGATCGATGACGATAGATCGCGTTTTTAATGAATTATCGCTCGAGAAGCGAACGATCCAGTTAAATAAATAAAATAATCGCGTAAATTATCAACAGAAATTTTTGCGACGGTGAATAACTAAAAAATTTATTTTAAAATAATAAATTTTGAATGCTGAAATGAATTCAAGCGAAACTTTGATCCCTATTGGAATAATACGTTCCATGAAATTTCCATTACAATATTGCTGGGACGCGTTGACCTTAAAATGGCATAAAATTGTGCTCATTTTTCGACAGACATTGTTCAATTTTGAAACTTGAAAATATCTTTTGTATATTTCAAATAATTTTTTCTTCTATACCTCCAAATGAATTCTATATAAAAGAAAAATTAAATAAACACATTATCTATGTTTAAAATAATATGAAGGAAGTATTCTCATTGATTTCTGTTAAATTGTCAACTTTTGGTTACTAACAAAGTGCCAAGTATTCTTTGCATTTTTCAATCGTTTCAATTTCCTAGATAAATGTTATCTTCGTATCCTATTAGTAAAATTCTGTTATCAGAAATATACCCACTTGGAAGCACTATTACTATACAGTAACTTCGGTAAAAAATTGCTCTTTTATACACTTCAGTTGGCTGTATTGTTAAAATCAGACGGTTAAACGACGCGTAAACGGATACATAAATTCATGAAAAAAATGCGAGAGATAATGTTAACTCGCGTCGCTTTCGAGCACAGTATCTTACAGTCCAGGGTAACATAGTATATCTAAATCTACGAGATCCCTGATAACTCGAAGATACACGAGCCCATGTTCGATACACACGATCGTACACCACGGATGCAGAAAGTTTATCTTTTTGTACGAACACATGGTATACCAATATGTTGATAAACACGCTTATGTAACTGTACAACACTAGTGGCTCGTGCATTTGTAAAAACGTTTTGTTTTCATTTCTGTAAAATAAACGACGAGCGATAGCACGAGGATGACACGATTTCCATGCATATCAAACTCTTATAAACGCGGGGAATACGTAAATAGCCGCTGCGATCACCTAATGACTTATTTTGGTAATGGAAATTACCAGAGCGATTATAAAGATTTGCAGAAAGCCTTAAATATTTCTGGTATTTAAGAAAGACAGTGTTTTGAGAGACAAATACGATGATACGTGATAGCGTTAAAATGATTTCGAGTTTTGGAAACTATGACCTTGATAAACAACGCATGTTTCTATTACCAAAAGTAGACAAGTCTAGAGTTTGCATCCTCTGAAACAAATTCTTAATATCGCTGTTAATCGGTATTTGCACCACTTTTTTGACACGGTACGCTTTCACCGTGTAAAAAGAGTCGTTATTATTTGTTCCACCTAGTATACAGCGTAGAATGCGATACGATAATAATTTATACAACTACTCGGTAGTTGTTCTTTGCGTTATCGTTCATTTATCAAAGAATCGAGAGCAAGGCTAGGGCACATGTTTTTATAAACATTATTTGTTACTATCACGTTTTCAATCGATCATCGAACCAGGGCTCACCCATTGGGACACCATAATCTATCATGCACCCCAATAAATCTTATCAAATACGTGTATTTGTTGTACTTTGCGGATTGCTTCTTTCACTTTTTACCTTGCCGTGCATTTAATCTTGTGCATTTTGCAATAAAGTTCACGGACTGTCGAGATAAAGGCAACACTATGAACGTTAGAAAACCTTATATTTTCATTTTTTGGAACACAGGGGAGCCCCCAATTTTCGTAAGGGTATTTCTTAGGAACCTCCAACCATTTTCAACCAAAATAGATATGCAATAAGTGGAATTCCACGAGGATAAACGCGTTTAAAATCAAAGAAGGTCTCGCGAGAAACACTGCTAAAGATTGGAATTAAATTAATGAAACAGAAATCGACAGAATTCCACCCTTAATTTAAAATAAATTCTTTCGTCCGTAAGAATTACACTTTAAACGATATTATTAATTATTTTATTTGCACAGTGAAAGTATTTTTGTTAAATAAAACACTCTGTTGTTCCAGGTCTACTTGGAATCAGACATTTGCAGGTTTTTCTATGCTTCATGGGAATGGTGATCGGATATTGTCTTCGCGTGAGCATGTCCGAAGCTATAGTTGCAATGACGAACAAATCCAGCAACCCCGACTATACGGTAAATTTTTGTAAATTTGTAACTTTGAACAAAACGTTTGTAGATATAATAAAATTGAAGAAAACTTGAATGGTTAAATTTAAAAAAATTACTTTCCCTCGACGAGACTTTAAATACACAAAAAGTTCAGTGAAAATGTTCCATCGACTGTTCAACGTCTTTGTAAAAGAATTATTATACTCTATTATAGGGCGATCAAACGAATTACTGAAATTGATTTTACACCCAAAAGATATTAGAGTCGCTTCTATTGTAAAGATAAAGTTTAATCTTGTCGCTCGATAAATACTTCAGTTTTTGATTTGTAATAATCTCTTGTATCGCTTTTTTTACAAGCCAATTAGAGAAATACGTTTTATGTGCAAAAACGCTACCGTCGAACGAACATTCGCACTTGGGGAAAAAAATCTCAAAGTATAATCTACCGGCTTAACCCTTTGCACTCCGAATTACATTTCAATTTTCTTACCTAGCAGCTCCCAACATAAAACAAAGCAATTTGAACGAGTAGAGGGGCAAACAAATTCAATGAAATATCTGTTTTATTTACACTACTGTAGTATTTTGTAATTGTTAAGTGTACGATATCTCTTTGGTTTGGTCTTGAAAAAGGAGCTCCTGAGATAATAACTGACGACGAGTCGCACTCGACATAGAAGTGCAAAGGGTTAACTACTGTACGAGTAGCGAAACTTGCTATCTACAAATAATATTAAAAATAAACTAATTTCATAAGCAATTGATCGTGCAATAGATCGAATTGAACCTGATATCGAATAATGAGAATTTGAATATAACGATTGTTATTGTTCCGATCAGGTGTTCGATTGGGACCAGAACGGGAAGTCGCTGATTCTGAGCGCGTTCTTTTGGGGATACACGGCAATGCAAATACCGAGTGGTTACTTGGCGAAAACATGGAGCGCCCAAAAACTGCTCAGCTGCGGAATGCTGGTTTGCGGCGTTTTGAATATTCTAATACCGACTGCCGCCTATTATGGCAACCTGATCACGGTCTGTTTCTGTAGGGTGGGCATGGGCGCCTTTCAGAGTTGCCTTTTGCCCTGTATACATACCCTCCTCTCGAAATGGGCACCGCCATCCGAGAGAGCACGACTCGGTGAGAATCATTTAAAATAGCAATTATTATGCCCCACGACACGGCTAATTACGCATCTCTGGCCAGCCTGATGCAACAAACACAGTTGAATTTTATCTTGTTACGTGTTACAGACTTCCGTCTGCACCCTTGGATTTTTATTAACCCCTTAACGCTCATATTTTTCGGGATAACCAAGAATGATCAGTTTTCTTTATTGGATTTGTTTCTAAAACTGCGGTTTTTGTTATTTACAATGTTGTATCCAACGTATAATTTGAAGGAAAACAAATATTATCATCCCTTAAACTATTAGATTAAGCAAATATCGTTTTTCAAAGCAGTCAGACTCGGGCATGAATGTTAAGGGGTTAAAAATGTACACCCGTCTTAACGAGCACACTATGTAGCATGTTGCACCAATCTGGACTCAGTCGTAAGTCAAAGTTATCGAATGAAGGGTAGTTGGTCGATCGTTTACTGACGGATGTCGATTCTTTTAACGGAAGACTACCTTTAACCCTTTGCACTCCTGTGTTGGAGCGTGACTCGACATCAATTTTTATCCCAGGAACTCCTTCATCGAGTCCCGCTCGAAATTTTTCCAATTCAAACCGATAGAATTCCATTTCATCTTCGTATATTCCGAAAGAAAGCACAAGGTTTGTGCAGTTTGCTCAAACAGAGAGACAATACCTGAAAGAAGAAGGAAAATCAATCTTTTTTTTTTGTGAAACAAGCTTCAAGAGATATCTTGAAAATTACAAAATACAACATCAGTGTAAATTAAGCAGATATTTAATTGAATTTGTTTGTTCCTCCGTTCGTTTAAATTGCTTTATTCTTTAAATATAATTTGGAGTGCAAAGGGTTAATACTAGAAAAGATTTTAAAACATACATCTACGCTTGAAGATCAATTTTTAATAATAAGATCCGAAGTCCGCTGTAATCGATCATGATTTTTACGTCCGGGAGCACTTGTCGATTAACACATGTTTTTTTATTATTCTGCAAGTGTTCAACACGTTTACGATATTGTACATGGTACAGATCCAGTATTTTGTTTCTCTCCTAAAGCAAATTTTCAAACTTCAATTACTATTTATGAAACTGATCGATTAGTGGGTCAATCGTGTAAATAAATAATTACTTAGAAAATAGAAAATAATAAAATGAACAAGTAGAATTAATAGTTAGCCCTAGCTATATTATGACTATATGTTACTCGATATTCTAAGACTATTATGGAATTCCAAAAAGATTTCTTTAATTTATAAAACAAGGGAATCGTTTCATATCTTCTCGAAACGATAAAATTTTGTGATAAGACTAAAAGTACTCGAAACTCAAATCTGACGAATACAATCTTGTAGTAAGAAGAGAGCTTTTCAATTAGGAAGAGCACACATGTCGATATGTAAGAGTATTGTTCATGTATTTTTGCATCGAGCATACTCCTCGACAGAATGATAACGCATCGTATATTTTGTTGTATTTTGTACTATAAATGGAAGGAAATGAACACTTTTGTACGTTGATATCTTTGAGTATGCTCGTATACATATACAGGATGCTCCAATAAATCAAAGAAACAAATCGAAAATATAGAATAACATTGTTTTGTTCGAGCTTTCGTTTTTCGCGATGATTTAATCTGAGAATTTTTGGAGCTTCTATAAGAGACAAATTCTATAAAAGATATTGGAAGGCTAATGCGTAACAAAGGAATTCCCAATCGTTATTAGCGATTAGATTAAGTTTGACAACCAAGAAACATTACTACGATATCTTAATGGACATCGTAATATAGATTATGACGCTCGCTTGTGTTTACCCACTTATAACTTACAGTGGCAAATACAATACACTTAACACATAACCGATTGTGGAATTTCCCACATTGTATCACGCAGAATTGTGTTCTTACAAGCACAAAATAAATGTGGTTGTATTAACAACATTAACGGGCACCAGATAGGACTAAATTTTCGAAGAATATTCATATTAATTATGGTGCTAGTCTTCTATAGATCTATTTCAGACTATTTCACCATTGAAAAAATAATTTCACTTCGCTTTTTGAACTTTTTAAACTTTTCGTGTCAAAACACTTAATTGATACAAAACTTTTTATATTTAAAATAAATTTTCCAAATAATTGCTCTCGACACTATACATCGATAAAGAAAAGTTGTAATTCTAAAGGAAGGAATGTGTGTTATTTTAATTTCAAATTACGTTTCATAGTGTTTGTGACAATGATCCGTCGAATTCGATTGCTTGTTTGTTATAGGAGCATTCGCTTATGCTGGAGCACAGTTCGGTACTGTGATTTGCTTTCCAATTTCTGGAGTTTTAGCGGCATCGAGTTCCGGCTGGCCATCCGTATTTTACGTTTTCGGCGTTCTCGCTGTATTTTGGAGCATCTTATTCTTTTTTTATGGCTTCGATAGTCCGTCCCAACATCCGCGAATAACGGAGAAGGAAAGAGTATACATAGAGCATGACTTAATGAGCGCCGAGGAAAAGGAAATGCTGGATAGCGGAAAGGTAACAATTTTTTCTCTGAAATAATATCATTATGTTTTTCGTTCACAGTCAATTAATAGTAGTGCTTTTGGTCCCTCCAAAAATGCTTGTAATTTACCCCTGTAATTTCAAACGATTTGAAATTTTTTAATTTCGTCTAAAAATGTCAGTATCTACTCGAATTTTTTTCTCGAAACTGGCTAGGATTTCAGGGGTATGTGTATTCACCAAAAATGCTTGTAATTAACCCTTCTAACTAAATATAATTTTTCTAGAAAGATTTGAAATTATTTAATTTCGTCTAAAAATGTCGGTATCTACTCGAATTTTTTTCTCGAAACTGGCTAGGATTTCAGGGGTATGTGTATTCACCAAAAATACTTGTAATTGACCCCTGTAGCTAAATATAATTTTTCTAGTACGATTTGAAATTGTTTAATTTCGTCTAAAAATGTCAGTACATTTTACAAGCAGAAAAATGCTCGTAATTGACTTTAGTGGATACAATTTATCCTTCTTTGGCAGAGTATCGTTTTTCAACACAATTTCAAGGGTGCACTTTGCTTCTCAACATTGACATAAAAAAAAATTGAAAATTTTAGGGTGCTTTTATAATTATGGCACACAATGTATAAATAATCTTTATAATACCAAACTATTGCACAATAAAGTCTAAAGCGTAATCATTGTATCTATCAACAGACGCAAAGAACACCATGGAAAGCGATTTTCACATCGGTGCCGATGTGGGCCCTTATAATCGTCCATTGTGGTCAAAACTGGGGATACTGGACACTTATCACCGAAATGCCAATTTACATGAACGCTGTTTTACGTTTCGACATCGAACAGGTAATTTAGGAAAGTTCCAGAGAAAATGATTGTTCCAATTATCCTGGTGATATTTAAACATTTTTCCATTTATTATCATCGACACATTAACGAAGTTTCAGCTATTTTCTTTGCATACTCCTCGAGGATCCTTACGAATTTCTGTTTTTACAGAATGGCATGATAGCGGCTCTTCCTTATCTGACGATGTGGATCTTGAGTTTTCCAGCGAGCTGGCTGTGCGATTATTCTTTGAAGAAAGGTGTTTCCAGGGGAGTAGCCAGGAAAGTGTGCAACACTATCGCTCACTGGGGACCAGCTATAGCTTTGATCGGTCTTGCAGCTATGCCAGTTCACAATTCTGTGGCGGCTGTTACAATTCTCGTAGTAGCCGTAGGATTAAACGCCGGATCCCTTTGTGGATTTCAGATCAATCACATCGATCTAAGCCCGAATTTTGCCGGCACAATGATGTCTATTACGAATTGCATTGCATCTATAATTGCAATAATTGCGCCGCTTGTTTGCGGTTTGATCGTTCCTGACGAGGTACGTTTAATCGTTAAAATTAAGCTTGCTCGTTAAGTTGGTAACAATATACGTTTTCTTTCTCTTTTTTAGTCGAACGTGAAGCAATGGAGTTACGTATTTTATTTGTCCGCTGTGGTCTATTTTGTGGGAAACTTAATTTTCATCATATTCGGCCAAGGCGAAGTTCAACCGTGGAACAATTACAGCGACGCAAACACTCGGAAGTACAGTATGAAGGAATCTACGACAATGTAAATACATTCGACGCGAATATGCTATTTCTTGCGAAAGTAGAATATATTTTAATGTTAAGAATTCAAGCAGAACACGTGAAACGAGCTCTGTGTTGGCGAAACGAGAAGCAGATAAATTGACGAACAAGAACGGGTAGAACTGCACGGCGTGATCGTCGATTTCGATCAATTAATTTTAAGAAGATCTACCTGCTAAAGTGTGTTTTACTAGTTCTCTTTGGCAACACATGTAATGAACTGTAACATACGAGGTGCGACAATTTGATGATCGACATTGTCATAAATTTGTACAATAACTCATAATAACGTTGTTATTACGACAACAGTGGACACAATGTGTCATTTAAGGAAAAGAAACTTGATATTACTACATTTTATTCTATCTAGCAAGTACAAATGGTATAATATTTTACCATAGAAGAGATCAATTTCGAACTGTAAAGTCAGAATAATTCCCTCGCACGTATCGAACAGCGACTTCAATTTGTACCATTTTTTACCATTTATGTAAATATCGGAAACCTGCATCAGTACTTGGGATATTTTTCATATTTTTAAAGATTGACTAAAATTAGTAATACCATTTATCGTAATTTCCTGCTGGTAGCTTTAAGTTATATCGATGTTGTATAAAACGTTACCTATAAACAAACAGAAACAAAATGTAAAAAAATGAAAAAAACCTGTATAATACGTGTGCCGTTATATATAATAATAATGTTACAACTTTTATATAATCCTGTCAATACTATTGTTTGTGATAGAGTTAATAATTACGAGGATTTCATTTCAATGCTTGAAAAATATAAAATGAGGTCAGCAAGCACGCAAATCGTAGCAAAAGCTATCGTCGTGAGTGTATGCAAGGTTCTCGTGTGATTATTTACAAGAAAATTGATCTCTTTTCAATGCTGCCTCTCTTTAGACGCGTGCGTGTACACAAGTTAAAAAAATAAAGACGATCAATTCAAAATTTCTATAGTTTAATAGGTTACACTTTTGTTTTGAGGGGACCAAAAATTCAGTATCTTTTTTTTTATCAATGTATAGCATTTGACGCGAAGAATCTAAGAATATTAGTTATATAGCATGTTATATAGCAATTGTAAGGGAATCCTTGTAAGAAATCTTTAATCTTCGATTTCGTGACGGTTCTAATCAGCCATTTAATGGTCAAAGTTATTTAATGGTCAACAATGGTTATGGTCACTGATAGCTAAAAATGAGGTTGACATCACGGTCAGCAGTCTAGTGAGACTAAAGAAATGACAAAAAAGAAGTAGAACCAATCGAAATAGTTATTTCATAAGATTAACTTGACTTTGTGTTCCCCCACCCTTTCATTATCTTACAAAGGGGTATAAGTAGAGCCACTGTTGATAAATTCTTCAGTATTCCTGGGACGTTCAGGGGATCGGGAGCCTACGTTTGGCCATTAGTGAACCGCTGACCATCGCTGACCACTGCTAACCTTTACCGACTAATGATGAAGGAGGATGAAGGAGGACGAAGGAGGTTCCTTCGATCTCCTCGTTTAGTTCTGTCACGTCAATTTCGAATAAGTATGTTTGTTCAGGAATAGGTTCGCGACCCCAAGTTTGGAGCCAAAGAGAAGGAAATTCCTTCTATCTCCTTAGTTTAATACTCTAAGAATGTGAAAGGATGATCGATAGAACTTTGATTCCATCTATCTCCTCTCGGGTTTCCACTCGTAGCAACCTCCTCGTGGTGAGACCTGGTAATCGGTGTTACCCACGATAAAAAAGCTTTTCTATCATGGGTAACACCGAGCTAATGGCTGCGTATTTAAATATCGGATAAAATTGTTAATAATATGACGCAGTTCTCTCTATCAATTTATTCAAATTGTGTGAATATCCAGATACTCTATCAGCGTAGACAATAACTATCCGTTTAGCCCATATGCAATTCACTCGAAACAGGAATCGGTACAATAATATTAAAATAGATCAACTATACTTTGTCGCGTCGTTAATAAATGTATCTTACCAAATCTGCGGAACGATGTGATATAAACATGTCTGCTGTCCTACACATCATGCACAGCAAGCACGTTAGGCATTACACAGGCAATTTCATAATCGATTGGCCGTGGAGGACGAATTTCATGGTCGCCTCGTTCTCCAGATTTGACGCCGCTGCTTCATAAACTTCTTCGGTGACATCTAAAAAAATGAAGTTTATCGTAAGCCACCGATGATACTGTAACACTTCCACGTGCATTTTATCTACCTTTCGTAGATAATAAGTCAACTCTTCGTGTACTTTGAGAAGCAATGCCTCGAAAAGCGGACGAAATATTAGCCATGTAATTCTTCAACAATATAGAAATTAGTAGATCGATACGTCTTTTGGTATATTAATTTCTTTTAACTGTAAAGCTGACAATGAGTAATAAAGTTTACGCGCACAAGAAGCATATAAAAAGCATATTAAATTCATCCCTTTCTTTCTTTCGTTGGAACGTCTGTGGGATTAAAAATTCTTTTTCTAATCTTAGATACACGCTTCGTGATTAAATTTAAATGCTGTTGATACGCACTATTTGGATTTGGGGGCCCTACGAAATAATTTAAATTTATTAATAATATTTTTCTTTTTCTAATTAAAGTATATCTTTTTAAATTGTTGAAATTTTATTGAAAGTGTAAATATACGCTTCGTGATTAAATTTAAATGCTGTTGATACGTACTATTTGGATTCGAAGGCCCTACGGCTTTTAAATGAATCATAATACATTAATTTAAATTCAAAATAATATTTTTCTTTTTCCAATTAAAGTGTATCTTTTTAAATCGTTGAAATTTTATTGAAAGTGTAAATATATACATGTGTTACCGCGTCACTTTCTTTTAGTTGCTTCAGACCATCGCTCTCTGCTTAGGCTCCTAAGTTTTCCTTGGTCTGGCGCCTATGATCTACAACAGAAAATACAGAGTAGTATTTTAATTGCGTTAAAAAATAACGATGGGCTTAGGGGTGTATCTAGCACAAAGTCAGAGTAATTAGAAATCTAGGTAATTTAATAACAATAGCACTCGTAGCTCGTATTTCCCATTGATCGTGATTCTCAAGTAGAATCTTATCGGTGCAAATATCAACTATCGCGAGACTCTGCTAGAAAAGTGAACGTTTATCGTTACGAGACGCGAAATAAACACGATGTGCATCTGAAATTCGATCGATACAATTGCGGATTGCTTCGTAATCTACGACTAAAGTTCGATCGAAAGGTATCTATGCATTTTATATTCGGTCTAAGATAGGGATAAACAGTGGCCTTTTTTTAAAAAACAAAGGAATATTAAAGTACAAGCTTGTCAGAAGTAAATTTACAGAAGTAAATTTATATTTACTTATTTTTTTTTATTACTCCCGATACTAAAACTTATAATTTTGTAGATAGTAGCGTATCAGCTGATGCAATTCACGAGACCGAAATTGATAATTTCTACCAAACATCGAATAATACTTTTACATGTAATATTAAATGCAATAATCGTGATATCGAACGAAATAATACTAGTAACTTTCCGTTTTGCGATAGTTTAATTTTCATTAGTGGACTGTATAACAACACATGTCTATTATGTTTTTTTCACTCAGATAAGAGAAGAAAATTGATAATAGGACGTTGTACATTCGCGTCGGCGAGCGTGCAAGTATGAAAAAGAAGAGTGGGAGAATCCCTTTTCGGCGATGGACTATAAAACCACGATCGACCGATTGATGGATTGTAGTGTCTTTTTCGCGATTTACCTCGGAACTCGACCCTACCGAACGAACAAGTTGGTCGTGTGCAACAGTGACTTCATTTTATCAACATGACGCACGCCGTGAAGAGAGTCTCGATCATATCCATCTCGGAACGAATGAAAATACCGACCAGCAAACCCCAAGGTACGAAACATTATTTCCAAAACAAATATTTCGACGATTCAGAACAAAGACCCTCACGACTAATAACACTATTTCTACCAGTGTTCGACGTCCAGTGGATCGATTTCGAGAGCACAAGTCCTAAATATCGAACGATAGATTTATTATCATCGTGAAAAGAAACCGAGCCGTTTATCGCAAACAACTTCGATCTATTTTCGCGTTCACGGTTCCACATCGTTTCTAACTGGCCTTCTGTGCCCGTCCAGCGACGCGATAATTCGACGAGATACTCGACGGAAGGCAATCTGTTTCTGATTTAATGACAACGATTACAGATAAGCCGTTATTTGTCACGATTTGTGCACAGATTAGCCGCGACAGTCGTCATTTAGAACCGTGCTTCTCACGTGTTTCGTGCTCTCCCGCCCGCGTAATCATTTTTCAACCTATTAAGATACTCTTTTAATATTTGCATCGATACCAGATTAACTTCACCGGTTTCAGACGCCATACTTAAACTCATGGAACTCAAGTAATCATCATTCGTCATCAATGTATCCACATGAATATATATTCATATTTATTTAAATCCTTTCGATTCAGGCGTTTCTCCAAGAGATCGCAGAAATTATTCGCTGAATTTCCTCGTTTGGATTTTGTATGTTTTAAATCGCGGTAACAATTAAGAACAGGTTGCACGATTCCAAGCAACGTTCCTTACGATAATGTATGTATCTTCATGCACAGTGTGTAGCATACCTACGTGACGAATCGCTTTAAATTCCGAGACATGACGCGAACAGATCCTCAATGTCAGATTTCCCGCGATGTCCTAGAGATGCGAAACAAACAAATTGCTCGTCCGCATTCTCTGCATTCCTGTAACGCGGGAATGCAAGGAATATAGTAATGCAGCCGGTTATCTGAAAGAGGCAAAGGTACACATAAACAAGAGGGCCTAATCAGTGCTTGCAAACTCGTTCAAATCGATTCGAACTGACACCGTTTAAAAAGGAAACAAATATTCCCCTTATACAAAATATTATCCTCGATCGTCTCTGTTTCTCGAGGTGTAATTATTAGAAATCGTAAGTTACAGCACGAATTGTTTGGCCCGACTTACGCAATTCGGTTGTCAGGGTCGATTCCATTGAAAGCAAAGGAAACATAGAGAAATAATAAGTAATTACAATTTATTTTGTCCTTAGAATTGTTTACTCGTTCCTATTATCTTGCGAAACGATCCGAACCATTACATCTCGCTCTGTAACATTTTATGCAACCTTTTTCTATCGCGAAAGCAAGACTTTATGGTATAGAAAAAAGTTATTTAATAAGAATATTTAGTTTTCGTATATCCAGTGAAAATTATTAATCCAACTTGAAAAACTTCGTTCAATGGCTGTGTACACGTTGACGATTGCATCTAAGCAAATTTTTATCTATACATTTCGTATTTTCCTTCCCAAGATCCGATTAGATTTTTATTGAAATCGATGCGTGGATAACGATGATTACCTCTTATACATTTTTGTTTTTCTGGTACGCATATAAAAATTCTAAAAGTCACTGTAAATAAATATTATACGAAAGGTTAAACATTTTCGCTGTTCCATTGAATTATTAAATCGCAACACCGAAGATCCATTAAACAAGTTGAATTAAAAGAAAAATTGATGCTTCGAAGAACGTGACTTTCAAGAAGAATTTCATTTATCTCAATGTGTATATTGCACCGTGATCAAATAATTATTTGCTCGAACATTTCCTCGTACAATTTAGAACGTTCAGATAATTAAGACAGCCTCTATTGCTTTGCAATTCAATGTATGTGCGATTATGCTCGTCGATTACCGAAGTTATTTCTCAATTTCGTAGATTCCAGATGCTCGACAATCCGTGAAATTTATTTACGTTGAATATTTTTTTAAATTAAATCCTTTTTACTAGAATATTTCAGGCGTGGATATCAAAGTAAAATACTTTGATTAATTTATTAAATAATTAGAACTTAATTCTCTGGCGACAGAAAGTTCGGAAACGCTTCTGTTTCGAGACACAATTTGTCGTTGGCGCGTGTCGATAATTGTAAACATTACGGGTCTGTTTATTCTCAATTCCAAGCAAATGTTGTAAGCTGTGTTTATTGTCTTTTTTGGACGAGCTTGTATATATATTACCACATCTGTTTAAAGACAACAACAGTTGCAGACTTTTTACGAACGATTACTTATACTTTTCGTGCAATCTGACGATTTAGGTGCTCGAAATTTTAGCCAAGATTAGAACGTCTCGAGTACGTCGAACAATAGTAATTCGAGTATGCTTTCAATTAATTTCTTTTATTAGAGAAGACACGAAAGGAGTTCTCTTCAAGATTCATTTCAACCAGAAAAAAGCCATCGTTATCCGTGAATCAATTTTCTTCCTCATCATCTTTTTAGGCGAAATAATTTGCAATTTTTTTTATTTTTTTCTAAATAAATAAATTATTTCTTCTCTTTCTGAACCTTCGTTATCCATTGTTTGTTCGTCCACGTATTGATTCGTTCAAATAAATAATTAATTTACGCAAGGGGTTGAACAACCACCAATACCGTGAAACGTGCATTTAATCGGAGAAAAGCGAACGATTACAAAATATGTAAATAATTCTTCCGTTCGATCGACCGTTTTTGTCACGGAAGAATGTGACTGATTAAACCAGAGACCGGATAACCGTGTCTGCTCTACCATAAACGCCTAGACCGTAGCAATTAAGTCGTCAATCAGCCGCGACACTTCCGCGCGCGCGTTGCTTTACGTCCTCTCAATTATTTAATTACGTAACATAAGTTCAATTCAAGTTTAAGTTTGTACAACGGTTAACTGCGATATAAATTAGCTACTAAATCGTACCATAAGGAAATAGAAGTGATTCTTTCACATACACACATAATGGATTATGAAACTCCGAACCGTGCAGTAAAAAATTGTAATGAATATCGCATGTAAGTTGTAATCTATATTTGTACGAAACTTATAAGATACTTTTCGTGAATTCCTTTGTGTCGATTTTCACACAATTTTTTCTGATCTCGGTTCAACTTCTCGATTAACGTTTCATAAGTAACAGAGATATTGTTATGTTAGAACCACAGCAATGTTTCTGGAATTTCTAATGGTATTATTTTGGTATTCCGTTTGGGTAAGAGTAAGGGAAATTATTAAAAATTATACCGACCAGTCTTAAGTTCATCGTTATCCAAAAACCAAAAACAGTAGATCAATATAGGTAAATACACCAGTATTTATGAATTTTGATTCGAATAAATTTTTTGCACCGTTAGACACAATTGGTATTGCACATAATTGCATGTTTTGTTCCTACATCCCGGCATTTAATCTTTTCTTTTGGCGCATGCATATCTCGACCGGAAAAAGATACAAAAGAGAAACATTGTTCGGTGAATAGAAATAAGCGTTGCAGTTAACAACGATCAACGCTATTAACTCTAAATTTACCATACCATTATTACCATTAGAGTCCGTAAATTTAACATACCATACTTGAACTAACAAAACTCGTATAAGTATTATTTGTTAACAATCCATTTAACTAAAATTTCTTTTTTGTCGTTTGCAGCATGGTTTGGATGTAGACACGTGCAGGTCATTTTGATGGCCTTGAGCTTCATGTCCTGCTATGCTATTAGGGTCACCACATCCGTGACATTGGAAGCAATGACGAATGCTTCCACTGCAAATCCTGACTTCGAAGTATGATCTACCTACGCATTTCCCGGTTAATTATTTATATATATTCGTTCTTGCCGGCGGGTTTACCTGTAACAGAGCCTTGAGACTTACAGTGATTCATTTGTTCGAAAGTTTGAAACTATCGTTTTCAAATATTACTCGTAAATAGAAGTCAATATTCATCGTAAGCTTCTTTTGAAGCCGTGAAATAAGAAAAATGTTTATTCGAAGGCGTAAATTGTGCCTGTACGCATACAAATTTCTTTCTCACGACATTAAATATGCGATAACGATTATAATTGCTCGTACCGGAGTGATCTGTGGATCTGCGAGCGCACAGCATCCGTAAATGTACAATTTGACGTGAAATTAATGACAAATGGTGAGCTAGCTCTTTCTGCTGTAAACAGTCCGACTTAAAAATAACCCCTTATCGCAAACATTAAAATGCATATATCTCGAGACCGTTTGATAGCGACCCTCGTACTAACATTAACATTATTATTTTTTAGGATAAGAATTGTTCGTTATAATTATTAATTATTGATATCGATGGGTCTTTACCCTTTATACAGGGTGTCTCCTCGGAAAAATTTTAAAGGGAGATCCTGGAGGCCAAATTAAGACGAAAATCAAGAATAGCAATTTGTTGATCGAGGCTTCGTTAAAAAGTTATTAACGTTTAAAGTTTCGACCTTACTGAATTTTTTTCTCGAAACTGGTTAGGAATTCGGGGGTATGTCTATTGACAAAAAATGGTTGCATTTGACTTCAGAACCTAGAAATAATTTTTTTAGAACGATTTGAAATTTTTTAATTTTTACGAAAAGTTTATTCATTTATCGATTTTTTTCTCGAAACTGGTTAGGATTTCGAGGGTATGTCTATTGACCAAAAATGATTCTAATTGACCCCCGCAACCGATAATAATTTTTTCAGAACGATTTGAAAAATTTTAAATTTGTCGAAAAGTTTATTCACTTATCGATTTTTTTTCTCGAAACTGGTTAGGATTTCGAGGGTATGTCTATTGACCAAAACTGATTGTAATTGATCCCCACAACTGAAAATATTTTTTTTAGAACGATTTGAAATTTTTTTTTTTCACCAAATTTATCCACATTCCTGAATTTTTTTCTCGAAAATGCGTAGGATTTCGGGGATATGTTTATTCACCGATAATAGTCGTAACTCACCCCCGCAACCGGCAATAATTTTTTCAGAATGATTTAATATGTTATTTAATTTTTTAATAATTTTTTAACGAAGCCTCAATCGAGAAACTGATATTCTTGATTTTCGTCTTATTTTCGCCTCCAGAATCTCTAAAATTTTTCCCCGGGGGGTGGCCGAACACCCTGTATACAATTGAACAAAACACAACTAACGCGCAACGTTCTCAAACATGGAAATTCTAAAACATTGTTGATATCCACGCTATACGCCATTTTGTTCTGTTCAATTCTAAGGGTTGAGATTAACAGGCACAAATTAATTGGGTTTATCGAATGTAATATCAGAATTCATTATAGAAAGTATCAAGAAGTCAATGATTAAACTTGGAAGCTAATTTCAAGTTAAAATTTGAATACTTTATTCTAAAATGATAGTCCGAGACGTTGGTATTGTTTGTTAAAGGAATTTTCATGGAACAGCGAGATCAAAGACTACATTCTGAGCTCGTTCTTCTGGGGTTACGTGTGCACACAAATTATTGGTAGCATAATAGCGCAGCGGTGGGGAGCTAAAAAACTGTTCTCCCTTGCCGTGTTTGTTTGCGGCGTGGCCACGCTTTTGGTTCCCGTTGCTGCCACTTACAGCGGCTGGGAGGCTGTTTGCGTGACAAGAGTGATCGCCGGGTTATGCCAAGGCACTGTGCTCCCATGTCTTCACACGTTGCTTTCCAAGTGGGCACCCGTCGAGGAAAGGGGGAGAATGTGTAAGTATTCTATACTATCCGTGGCGTTACCTCCCGTGCTCGCCACCAGAGGGCTCGCGTTGAATTATTTTCTAATTTCATTTGTCTAGTCTTAGGGCCCATTTCTTGTTATATGTTATAAATGTTGTAAACATAAATATTCGAACGATGATGCTCTGTTTACGTTAGTATCAGTTTCGTTAATTATACTATCCGTGACGTTACCTTCCATGCTCACCGCCAGAGGGCTCGCGCTCTCACAAGCGCTCTCACAACCCCTCGGTTGCTATATATACAATCCTCGACAACTTCCCAATATCCCAATCCTCTTTCTCGAGTTCCTAATTACTAAAGGCATTTTCTATTTGTTACGTGTAATTCAGCTACCTTCGTTTACGCCGGAGGCTGGATCGGAAACGTAATCTGTTTGCTGAGTTCCGGTTTACTGTCGGCTTCTTCTTTGGGCTGGCCCAGTTGCTTCTACTCTTGGGGTAGCATTGCTATTATTTGTGGCAGCCTCTTCTTTATCATTGGCAAGGAATCACCAGCTGTACACTCGAGCATACCTCAAGACGAGAAAGAATACATTGAGACCAGCCTCGGTATTACAGAAACGGAAGAGGTATTTACAAGAAAACAGAACAATATTACGCACTCTGCACAGTTTTATCAGTAACCCAAACATATACATTCCTTTATCAAGTTATCTTTCGAGGAGTTAATCAATTTGATAAACGAGCAAACGGCCAATCGTACCTGCAAACCTTCTGTTCGTCATCTTTTCTGCTGTACACAGTACATTGGACTAAAGAAAAGAAAATGACGTTGATCTTGTCCGCGGCGTTAATTTATTCTCTATTTTATTATTAATTTTTCCGGAATTTCTCTGATGGGCATATTTGCTAATACTTTGATTCAATATTAATTTTTTTAATCAGAGTCGCAACAACTAGAATTGATCATTTGGATATTTGAAATGAATTTATCTCCCTGTTAGTACGGATAATCAACGTTTTACTGTAATGGTCGACTTGTGATCGTGTTGTGACATTAAAGTGATTGTTTTTATAGGCATTATCGACACCATGGTTCGCGATGCTAACTAGTTTGCCAATGTGGGCATTACTGATTACGCAATCTGCTCAAAATTGGGGCTTTTGGATGCTCTTAACGAAAATTCCATCGTACATGGGTTCAGCCTTAGGGTTCGATATAAAAAAAGTAAGTAATAAACTGTACATACTCGATATTTCATAGCATGTGAAATAACAATGGTTTCTAGACATGGAAATAATAAAAAAAAATTTTTTAAAAACTAATTCGTATCGTGCATCGATAAAATTCGACAAAAATTACTAACAAATAATATTAACGGACTGTGATTTTGGAGATGTGGAATATTCGAGTATATTTACTATTTCACGTGTGTATTGATAATGTTTTGGGCCGTGAATGTTAATTATGTCCCATATGGGTCGTCAATGGCAAATTTTACGTTACTCGAATATCTATCTTTGATAATGAATCGTATGTATTCAGGACGATAGTGGTCAAGGTCATCGGCGATACGTTTCTTTAATAGTTGTATGATGCATATTCAGTGAAATCTTATTTTAAATTATTCTTACTGAATACCACATAATATAAATAACAGTTTCTTTTTACATCGACAAATTAAAATTGCAGTTGCATAAAATTAAAAATAGCTCCAGTAAATTTTATTAATTTTTATAATAATTATCCGAACAACAGAGGAATACCATTTTCTATTAAAACAAAAATTTACACCTTATACTATAAATAAATAAGGTATTAATTCTATAATCGAACAATGAAAAAATTCAGTTTTTGTCGAGGAAAAAAGAGAAGGAAAGATTGATTCGACAACGTTCGAAATTATTTCTCAGAGTAATTCCTGATTGCATAAACTTTCAGAGAAAAATTTCTCATAAAATAAATTGCTTCGAGTACTTGTTTTACAAAAATACTGTTCGGTATTTCCAGCTGATTTATTCACGTTCATTTTAATTTATTTCATATGTAATTAACTAACTTTTTTACTCTCCACAATAATTGAATCTTAGTAACTTCTTGGAAAATCGTTGCCGTATCTAATCATTAATCTTATACGTTTTACTGAAATGTTTTTCTTTAGAATGGAATGGTGAGTTCATTACCGTATCTAACAGCGTGGATTTGCAGTTTCCCTATCAGCTACATCTCAGATTTGCTCATCAAACGAAATATTTTTACGATTCAAACATCGAGGAAAGTTTGCAACACGATTGGCCAATGGATTCCGGCGGTTGCGCTAATCTGCCTTGGATATGTTGATAAGGAACATCCTGAAATAGCGGTAGTACTTTTAGTAGTTGCTGTTGCTTGTAATATTGCTATTTACTGTGGACACAATGTGAATCACATGGATCTTAGTCCTAACTTTGCTGGTACTTTAATGGGAGTTACAAACACAGCTGCAAACGTGTGCAGCATTTTGGCTCCGTTAACTGCTGGGATTATTGTCAAGGATCCGGTATGTATACACTTCTCTAACATTTAAGATAATTCAACCATCGAATACTATATGCAGAAATTTTATTTATCATTTTCTATAAAGCTGAAACTGATTACTAAATTTTGATCATCTGTATTTTCCAGACCAACATTTTACAATGGAGGAACATATTCTTTTTGTCAGCTGTAATATATTTCCTCGGTAATCTTATATTTATTTTGTTCGGCACGAGTAAAATTCAAAAGTGGAACGATCCGATAAAAAAAGAGAAAGATACAGTTTTGAACTGTGTAACGGAATCATCGATGGAAAATGGATACATACAGAGAGCAAAAGAAATTAAAAATGCGGAAATAGAAAAGAATATGTAATAGAAACATGACACGACAAAAAAAGAGAAGAAAATATAAAGTTCATCTGCATTTTATTTATCTTAATTGTTATAAAAGAAGAGCATACGCAGACCTAATATTATTATAGACATTATTTCTCTCATTAGACTACAAAATGTGCTTAAGACATGACTCCTGTATATAAATAGCGGTATGAATGTATTATATTTAATATTTATTATAAAAGTATAGTATAAATAGTTTTACGTTAATTGTCAAGAATTATCTGTTAAAAGAAGCATAAATGTGATTTCTTCTAAAAATATAAATTCGTATTATGAAAGTACTTTTAGAAAGTATATTCGAAATGTATTATTCTGTTTTTTTATGTGTACATAGTACGGATTTCCAAATTGTTCGTATAAGAAACATAGTACATAAAATAGTTAATAGTAACGTAATGTAAGTTACTGTAGTTAACATACTCAAATTACCAACTGGTATTTTCCATGCAACATCTTCTGTATCCTGGAAAGAGAATGTATAAAGATTGTAATATATACTCATCTGTAAAACTGCGGAACAAACTATTTTTGTATAATGGTACTTAATGTAGTAAAATATACTATTTACCCAAACATATGGAATCTCTCTCCATTTAGGAACAACTTCTATGCACGGAGAACACAAATCTATCTTTGAAACTCTGAATTCCCTAATCCTTTCCTTACAACCCAAAAGTAAATTTGGTTTCGGTAGAGTTACAGTCGTGTACATATTATTTTCATTAGGATACTGGTAACGCTGATGTACAGGAAGCTTTAATACAGATTTTACACCAATTAAAGGCGAACATATAGTAACATTTTGAGATTTTGCTTTTTCCATGAATAATTCTGTGTCCGTTTCTCCCACAGAACATGCTGTGGTCTAAAATGTAGCAAATAGAAAATATCTTATATAATAGAAATGTATTCAACGATTATAAATTTTGTTACTTACAACACCTAGTCTTTTTAAATCGTTCAATTCATTGATATTAGTATACAAGGAAGATGGTAGATTCAAATGCAGGGCAATGTTACACCCATCTATAAAATTATCAAAATCTATTTGATATATTAAGTACCTGCAAACAAGTTTTCTCTTAAATGTGAAAAAAACCTAAATATATGCTTAATTTAAAAAGTACAAACAATCTGTATCAATTGAATTCATATTATCCAAACTTAATAATTTAATTATTTTATTAGCACAGAATTTTTTCCAATGTTTACTTGCTTTTACTAACGACAAGAACAAGACCTTATTTTAACACCGCCATTGTAAAGAACATTTGTTTCAAATCTATTTTTATATGACCTTTCTTTATACTTAAGAAGAATATGCTAGCAATTGATTTTGCTGCTACTTTTTCCAATGATTTATCGATAATAATTTGACAATTCATAACAAGTTTATAACATACAGGCTGAAAGATGTATTTACAATCGCAAATGCAACAAAAATAATCAAATATCAATAGTAGAGATAAAATAATAATAATTGTACGTATGCAGAATATAAAGTATAACTTGTACATTCCAAAATATTCATTGTTTTTGTAGGTGTTTCTGAAAAGTTGTAGATAAAGTGTACAAGTTACGTATCAGTAAACGTATGAACATACCATTTACTAACATAACTACCGAATGTGTTCTTTAGTGTTTTTCGTTCACATTTAGCAATGAAATTTACCGTCACTGTTCTTAGTTATCAAATATTATTAATTTTAAACATTCAAATATTCAAATTATAATTTAACTTTTATTATAATTTTAGGTAGTAAGTAATCGATGATTAATTGTATGTTTGTTTATTAATTACTTTAAATAGCAAAAGAAATCGATTAAACAATGCGTACAATTTGTTCAAATAAGGAAGATTCTTTTTAATATCTGACTTACCTATGGAATCCTTCCCCCTCTACCATCGACGAAACGTGAACATTCAGACTCCGACAAAACTCAACATTTTGCAAAATTAGAACAAGAAACATACTCGTTTGCACCGAACATCGTTTAACTAAACGTAATGACATTGTTTGTATGAAAATTTTTATTAAATACAACCGAAATAACACATTTGGTTAGTTTTATGAAAGGTGAACACATACATGTTGCGTTAACTGCCATATTGATAGGATCAAATGGAGATGGTAACGATATATCGATAATCGCAACATCGCAGATTGCGAACCAATCCAGGACTTCCGGTGAGCAGAATGTTCCAGAACACAAGATGGCGAGAATTAACGGTTTTTGGTGGATTCAGTCGTAGCGAAGTGTTAATCGTTTGGTATGCTTTTTGAATATATTTTCTGCTTGCAAAATGCTTTTCTACAAAAAGAATGGGAGCTATCAAATGCACGACAAGTATTTTCTGCATGCAAATCACTGAAATTGGAAGATATTAAGGGTCATCAGGAACGGCGTCTACTCAACATAGAATTTTCTAGGTCAAGGTATGCACAAGCATTCACATCTTTCAATCATTGCATGATTATTTCTTTTGGAGAATAACAAAACTGTGTTGCATATTTTGGTTCGTGTACGTTCTGTGTGTCTATTTAACACCATTTCTACCACAGTTCTATGCATATTTCGACTAAAAGGTGTTTTTATGTAAACCACTGCCGTAACAATTGTTAATACGAATTATGTTATTTTTAATATCACGTTATCGAAAAAAAATAATTTAAAAATGTGTGTTAGTGTTGAGCAAAGTATTTTTCAATATTCCCTTTTATGTTTGCTTTTTCTAATATTTTAGTGCACAACCTTTCCTTTCTGTTTTATTTGATGTGCATTAATTTGCTGCTTTTTTTTGAAAATGTCACTTTCTTAAAGGGAATTCTTTTACTTTTTTTTGTGTGCTCCGTCTGTTTGTAGTTTTCAGTGAGTACAGTGTGTTCTAAAGTATTATTTATATAGCCTTGGGTCTTATCCTTTTTTATCGGTGTTTGGTTTGCTAATGTTTTTTCAGTAAATTAAATCATTTTTCGAATCATGATTTCAATGGATGTGAATGATTTCCTCTATCTCCCGCTTTTGTTATCAAAACCCATAATCCTGATTTGTTTATGGTAGAAAGAACCTTCCTGCATCGGATTATGTATATTATTACATAACCCATCGCATTTACAGTAAGTATTTTTATTATTATTGCCGTTAGAAAGCAAATTGTATCAGATGTGCCTATCGTTAAACCATAATGTTTGTTAGACTCATTACTTCGCCAATTTTTAATATTACTATATAACGTTGTATTTGTACTATAGATTTTAGTAATTTGTAGTATATATTCTTGTAGTGAATTTTTAGTAAAAAAAAATACCCAACGGAATAATACAATCATGTATACAGGGATTTTTTGGACTGGTGGTGTAACTCGAAGAAAGACGAATCAACATGAAAAAATAAATTGAAAATAAAATGTTAACAATGTTAATAAGTGTCTTATTTCTATAATTTACCTCGTTAGATATGTTTGTAACTTAGTTGTAATATAGTTTTGTAATTTATCTATAATATGTATTTGTAATATTTTATGTAATTTTTAATGTATCTTTAATATATTATTTATACATTTAACAATGCGTTTTTATACCAGATAAGTTACTGTGTATAGTGTAAATAAGATTATAAAGTGATTGTAAGTAGAGGTGATACAGGTGATCGAAACAGCCCTGCTTGCTATACAATCCGTGTAAAAGAACAAGACTAAGTTAAAGTCATAGATCAGGAGCAGAATATTGAAACCAGAGTGATAATATTGCTCCTGAGAAGAAGTTTGAAAACAAAGACAGAACGTCAAACAAGATGTAAAGACAAAGCGAACAAAAAAAACACGAAGGAATTATTTGTATAATTTCTGAAAAATGGGACCCTTCGGGGTGTAAAAAACACATCTCTGTGGATGTGTACAAAGTGTATCTATAAAAAGAAAACAACAGAAGAAATGAAAAAAGAAAAAGAAATCTATTTTTTCAAACTTCTACAACGGAGGGCTTGTATATATTTGTGTTAAAGTATATCGAAACAAAATTTCTTTTCAATGATCAAAACGTGACCGTAAGTGTCTGAAACGTGTTTGTTGTTTACAGGAAGTAAAAAAAGATTCGATTTCTGCTTTTCAACCTGCATGGAGGGAAGGAATTCTACACGGATGAGGAAAAATTTTCATTGATGGTGGTTCGTGTAAAAATGCCGAAGAACGTAAGCCCACGTTCCATAATATTACGTTATTGTGCGTAATATTGCAAGCGAGCCAAATTGAAGCCGAGGGAGATGACTCAAGCCTCAAGGCTTCGTACACTTCGGTTTGCTTCGTTCGGTCGACGTTGGCCCGGTTTATCTCTGGCCAATTCTGAAATAATATTAGATTCGGTCTCTCGTACTCTTCGCAGTCTGTCGTTTAAGGCTGCATTGCCTGTTCTTTGTCTTCTTAAACGACGTTCGTCCGCATTCACATGACCGACTTTGACGTAATAATAGGCTCATAGAATCTCGATACAAGAAATCGAAAATCCATTCCAGTGGAATGTAATTTCTTTGATGAACACCCCCGCTAGTTTTTCGATCGTTCTTAGATTTTAAGAATTATTTGTATTCTCACATATCTGCACATGCAGTATGGGATTTATATTCGGCCATTGCGAAGCCGTTTTAAACGGATGTGCGACATTATAGTAATAACTATTCTCGTACGAACTAAGATTAATGTTCGTTCAGGATCATTGCCCCGCTGAAAAGATCTATGGAAAGTGCAAATTTGTTGGCACTCTGCTTTAAGTAAGCTTTTAAAATATTTAAATATATCATTCTAATCGATAGTCCACTCGTGGAATTGGTATTCATATTCATATTCAAGAAATTATAATATCAGGAATAATTTTGTTTTCTGTGACTCGTAGGGCAGAATTTATGCTGAAATTCAGGATTGTTTTCGGACGAGCATGCGAACGATTTCGAAAACGGCGAGCGTAGCAACGGTGACACGTTTCCCGACCAGTTTACTCCGCTCGTTTAAAGATAACACAGATTCTCACAGCCTTGCCCAGACAGTCATGCATTTTTACGCCGACGGTCATCGAAGAGTAGATGGACGATATGAAATTTTTTTATTTAACTTTGGATGATATCTGTAAGTGTGATTGTCCGTAAGTTAATCTCTCGAACGATGATTGGTACTCCCTTGAATATATTAGTAAAGAGAAACCCGGAACTCTGAGTCTTGGCAAGCCTAACTGCCAGCCAGCCACCGCGAACCGAGCCCAAGCGAACTGAAGCAAGAAACAGAGGCAGAGTTGGGTGGGTTCAGGCTGCTCGAGGCTACCTTTCGGGTTCCGGCTGAGCTCCTGCCATCCCAATTAACATCTGCAAGCCAATTTACCTGACAGGTGTAGGAGGTTAGCATTATCTACATAAGTAGATACAGTAACAAAGTTTAGACTATCGCATTACATTATAGATATAATAGAAACTGTAAAAATGAATTTTTTTTATTTTTATTTTTTATTATCCGTTCGAGTACAATCTATGAAACAATGATATTTATGAATACACTTGTGAATACATTTAGCATTGTATCACAGTGGCATTTATTTAACAATTAGTTAAATTGGATATGGCGAAACGAGAAGAGTATAATATTCTATAAACGCTGTTCCTGTTTTGGGGAAATATTTTAATGGGACCTTCTAGAGGCCAAAATAAGATGAAAATCAAGAATATCTATTTGTTTATGGAGGCTTAGTTAAAAAGTTATTAACGTTTAAAGATCCGCCCGTATTGAATTTTTTTCTCGAAAATGCGCAAGATATCAGGGGTATGTTTATTCATAGAAAATGATGATAATTGACCCCCGCAACCAAAAATAATTTTTCCAGAACGATTTGAAATGTTTTTTTTCGCCGGAAAATCAGTTCACATTCCTTAATTTTTTTCTCGAAAGTGAGTAGGATTTTGGGAGTATGTCTAATGACCAAAAATGGTTGCATTTGTCTTCAGAACCTAGAAATAATTTTTTTAGAACGATTCGAAATTTTTTTTTTCGCCAAGAAATTTAGGCATCTACTCGAATTTTTTTCTCGAAAATGGGTAGGATTTCGAGGGTATGTCTATTGACGAAAAATGATCGTAATTGGCCCCCGCAACCGAAAATAATTTTTCCAAAACGATTTGAAATTTTTTTTTTCGCCAAGAAATTGAGGCATCTACTCGAATTTTTTTCTCGAAAATGGGTAGGATTTCGAGGGTATGTCTATTGACGAAAAATGATCGTAATTGGCCCCCGCAACCGAATATAATTTTTTCAAAACGATTTGAAATTTTTTTTTTCGCCGAAAAATCAGTTCATATTCCTTAATTTTTTTCTCGAAAGTGAGTAGGATTTTGGGGGTATGTCTATTCACCAAATATGGTTGCATTTAACTCCAGAACCTAGAAATAATTTTTTTAGAGCGATTTGAAATATTTCAATTTCGTCAAAAAAATTCAGTACCTACTCGAATTTTTTTTCTCAAAAGTGGGTCGGATTTCGAGTATATGTCTAATGACCAAAAATGATTGTAATCGAACCCTGCGAGCGAAAATAATTTTTCCAGAACCATTTGAAATTTTTGAATTTAATTTTTTAATAACTAATTAACGAGACGTCAATCGAGGAATTGATATTCTTAATCGTCGTCTTGTTTTGGGCCGTAGAATCTCCCATTAAAATTTTTCCCAGTGGTGGTCGAACGCTCTGTGTATTGCATATAAAGGCAACACTATATCCTCAGAAAATGTGACAAATATTAACAGAGAAATGTGACGGGATTAATTTATCAAGCGTTTAACGTTAAATGTACTATCCAACGGCAGTTTTCGGTGGCATTTTCGAAATACACCAATAATAAACCATCTTGAAGCTGTCCATTAACAAAAATGAACGTAATTTTGAAAATCGTCGCCATGAAGTCCTTCCATGCAACACGATATGAACGATATTTCTATCATTCTAACATTCCTCAAATATATTTGTATAAACATCTAAAATAGAGCTTCTTCCGTTTCATTAATTTTCCATTAGTTTCGATTCGATATCATTTTTCTTCCTTAAGGCCACTTTCAAGGTTATGGTGTCATATGTCC